GATTGGGTCCAGACGGTTCTCAGCCGCGCTACGTGGAATTTCCTGAAACGGGAAGGACACCGCGTGGTGAAAGTCTGGTACAATTCCCTGTTTCACATTGAATAGAAAAGGGGTTGGTGAAATACGCATGGGGGAGTTGAGTTCTCGTCTTGCACCGAACTGTACTTGGATGTTCATCCGCTTGTTGTCATAAGCGGGACTACAGGCGATGCTACAGGGGATGGCTGATCTATGGCCATGCTTACCAAGTTGGCAGAGCGTCCATGTACGAAGGAAGCTGCTCTCCTGGCTTCCTGAAGTCTTGGAGAGTATGCATTCCTGATAATAATAAAAAAATGCCCCCGGCCAACTTTTCTCGTGCTCAAAGATGCACGCTCACACTCCTGGTTTGAGCTACCCCGCCAAACGGCCGCACCTTCCAACGAAGACCCCGAAGACAGCAACTGCATATTGGGGTTCCTGTTGCGCCAACATGCAAAAGGATGCGGCGAACTGGCAACTCACTGCGCATTCCGCATGACCCTCAAGGGCTTTTCCCACCAAACCTGGGTTTAGGGGCAATGAAGCCTTAGGGGATATATGGCTGTGGCTCAAAAGACCGGGACCAAAATGGAACCTTGGTAAGTGGAAACATGGACCAAAACCCACGTAACCCCTCCTGTTTAACTTTGAGCCACAGCCATATGTTTTTTCTTGCTTGATATGTCTTTTGTTGTTCCCCCCCCCCTCCACCTCGCACCCCCAAGCAGAGAGCTTCTCTTTTCCGGGGTTGGGATGTCGCCTGAATGAACCGTCGAAGTGATCCACTCCGTTGTCACTTGGCGCCTGGGTATGTTTTTGTCTTCCGGGAACCCTCTTTCTAAGGGAAATCCACATGACAACATACATATACAACAAAACATATATATATATATATATTTTTTTTGGGGGGGGGTGAGGGGTCCCAAAAAAAGACACACCCACCTCGCCAGTTGCTAGACTTTCTACTTGGGAAGGCAGGCTTGAACCTTGATATTACCCCCCAAAAGCGCCCCAAACGGCTGGGTTAGCGAATTCGGGATCCACTGAAGCGAGTTGGCGCCGCTTGAGGTGCAGGACATGCTTCCCGGTGAAGTGGTTTCAAACAACGATGGTAAGGACTCCCTTTAAGGAAACCATGAGTTGTGGGTTTCAGTGTTTTTCTTGTATAACATGATTGCGGAGTGTGGTTGGGTGCTACTAAGCCAAATTACGTCGGGATCATGAGAGGATGCTGTTCGTAGTTATTCCGGCACCAACATGGGTCTCAAAGCAACTCAACCAAGATCAAGGAGGATACAGCCCAGAATCCTCGGAATCGGAACGCCTGCAGGGCTACCCCAAGCTGTTGGGAAAAGGGAGGTTATTGCTTTTTTCCCACTTGGCAAGCGAGGTTTATGTCCATGCGCAGTGAGTTGCCAGCTCTAGTCCCTTGGGTGTTGGCTTTTAATGAATTTCGGTGTCTCAAAATAAGGGGTGGCCCCCAAAAAAACTGGTGGTTTCCCTGAAAGAACAATGCTATGGCCATCGCACAAGCTGAGGCTTGCACGAGCGCTCATAGTGCTCGAGTTCTGACTATTCTTCCGCTTCTTCTTCTTGCCCTTGCCTCAAGCAGCAACTTCCATTTGGTTGAGGCCCCAGGGAAAAATATATATTTCCAGTAGTGATGAATTCCTTTTAAAACCAACAAGGGAAAATAAAAATACTCTTAAGCAAGCAGCACCCCCCAAAATGGCGAGTTTTGGCTTTCTTTCGGAACCTTTTAAGGGTCCACCTAAATTCTCCGTGACCTTTCCAAAATGCGGTCATTACCAAAAAAGGTCATGACCCCACCTTTTAAGGGACATGGAATCTCCAAGCACGTCTTCTTGGGAGGCTCTCGCAAGTGGCACCTTGCGACTCTCTTTCAAAACCTCCCAAGAAATGGGCTGCTCCAAGCCCCGTTTGCAACAGGTCGGAACATGATTTGTTTGTCAAATGGAATCCCCAAACGTTTCTGCGAGACGATTAGGTCGCACAAAAGACCAGCAAAGACAACCTAGAGTCTCCATGACTCTTCAAAAACGGTACCGTTTCAGTTTGGTTATGGACCCCCTGCTTGAAGGGTCAGAAGAAGGCTCCAGATATCCTTCCGGGTTGGTTCCGCCGCCCTCCCAACTTGAGAGCCTGGCGTCCTTTGCCTGGGCAGAGGCGGGCCGCTCGGCTTGGCCGAAGCAGAGGCGTGGATGGCATGGCTTTGGGTTGCATGCCCGGTGGTTCGACTACCATATAGTACTAGGTCCTCCAGTAGGAAGGTACCACTGGGGGACCCTCCCCCCAAAAGTACCGTGGGCATACCGTGTTTCTAATAGTACTGTAGGAAGGTTAGAATAAGTTGGTACCGTTTCTTTTTTCTGTAGTGTATTTTAGTAGGGGAACTCTCCCCCCAAAAAGGCACTACTGGGGGACCTAGAGTAGGCAAGGGGAAACGATCAGAAGTAAAACCTAAAGGTAGAAACACTGAAAGGTTATCTAGTGCTGAGCGGCGCCGAATAAAAGCACTGGGGTGCTTGCAACCCACTGGCCTGACGTACCTTGCGCCTCCCGCCTAAGGCGTGTCTTTTTTACCCCCAACTCTTGAGGAATGTCCTCCTCCATTTGCTTTTTCGTCCCCTGGGAAACATCTCAGAACATATGTCCAACGGACGAACATCAGGCACATTCCCTGCATGGATTGCTCAGAACAAGTCCACGACTTGTTGTTTCCCACCAAAACCGGTCTTCCCAAAAAGATTCAAGCCCGAAACGGAACTCGGGGAGTGAGACCAAGACAATGTAAGCAATGCCACCTGCGGAATCCAAAGGACTTCTTCCTGGTGGTCATCATGTCAGAATGTCGGACGTTCTAGAATGCCTAGAAAAGACAACTCGGTGAGGAAAAAGGTGGTTAAAGGGGTGAGTGAATGAACTGGTTAGTGACTGCTCTGAACCAGTATGCCGAAAAGGATTACTCCGGAGCAATGATGGCAAGTTCTTTGGTGGGCACATTGGCCTCGCTGGAACAGGTCACAGCCGAAGCGATTTCGCGCAACATCGCCACATAAGGCTGCGAACTCTTAGTGGGCTTGTCTCAAAATTTGGGGTACCCTAAACTGTCAGGTTTTCCTTTTGGCTTCCCTTAAAAGCCAAACAAAAGGCTTGGCTGCTGTTGATCCCACTGCAAAAAATCTCAACTTTTTGTGGGTCCGATGGCAAAAAGCACGGTTTCCCAAAAACTTAAAGTCCAATGATGCAACCAATTCGCCCCAGTAAGCGGCTCCCCTAAAAAAAGACACCCACAAAACCTTAAACGTGAGTCCAAAAACTCGACATCTGAGTTCCAGGGATGTGGGACATGGTCCAACCAGTGCATGGAGCCTAGAGAAAGGGAGACAAGGCCATTGAGAAGGACAGCCGGACGCCGCAACTCATGTCACTAGCAGTCCTTCGGCATGTAAGAAAAAAAACCAAAGGACCTGCTCAGCAATTTCTAGCCTTGGTCAGCTGGTTGTTTTATGGAAGCAACGTCCCTCCCATTCGTTCCATTCATATTGAGAAACTACTCAAAAGCAAACATAGGGAAACCAAGTGAAATCATCCCTTTCATTGGTGGTTTGGGTTGGCTCAGAGTCTAGGACTGGGAAACCCTGGCAAGTTAGTAAGCGGGGGTCGCCACTTGGGTTGCCCCTAACAAGTATTTGACCCCACATTCACGGGAGACTCAAAAGTGGTTGCTATGTCCCAACGGTTGCCGTTACCACTTACTTGGCGAGTCAAAGACCCAAGTATTACCACTCAAGTAGCTAACCAGCATCAACCATCCCAGGATTTCAGTTTGCCAACTAAAGGGGAGTCGATCAATTCTCATAAACCCAAAATGACCATGCCATGTGACTTTTCCCATCTAGTGTCAAATATCAATCTCTCTTTTGGTGGTTTCCAACTGATGGGCACGGACCTGTTGATCAACCGAACCCCATATTTATCCATGCCACCAGGGCCGGGAAGGAGAGATCTCCCGCTGCCCACTCCCAAAAGGCGGCGCTTCTTGTTGAGGGCCGGGCGGGTTTCGGACTTGCTGCTCTTCTGGCCTGAAGACTTGGCGCGCCCGAAACTCACCCAGCGCTCTGTGGTTCGACGAAAAAAATGGTTCGGGGAGAAGGCGTTGCCCCCTTTGGTGCGACAAAAATGGGTCAGGTCAGGGATATACGGCCTTGCCCTCCCCATAAGACCAAGGAGAACCAAATGGCAAACGTTGGGGGGTATCCTATACTAAGAAGGCAACTGCGGCAGTTCCCCCACGTAGCTAGGTTAGTGGAAGTTGGACCCTTGGGCTGCGTTCGGGTGCCTTACCTAGGTAACCAAGAACCGCCCTTTCAAAACCAAAACAAACATTTGGTTTGATTTGGGCAACACAAATCAGATCCCAAGACAAATCCACAAGGAGCTCATCACGGAAGAGGAGCATCGGGGAAGCACTGCAAAAACAAGAACGTCTACGCACGCACTGGTGCAAACCAGCTAGGTACCTGTTTGAGTGGTTTCACTGGTTTTAAGACACACCCAACAGGGGAAGAGAGTCCATTGGTCCCCTCATACTTGCATATTTTCTCGGACTCTGTTGAAGATTTCTCGAACGAACCAAACTCAAAACCATGAAATTTGCTGTGGAAGGGCGAAATTTGCTTGCGCCACCGTTCAGAAACCCAACGGAGTGTTCTTTATTCCTTGTAAACACAAACAAACAGTATTGTTTCCCTGCGAAATGCATTTCGTCCATCCACAGTAACCCCCTGGTTTATTTTCTTTCGTGGTGGTGTCCTTCAACTTTCCGAGGGAACACCCCTACTAGTACTAGGAAAAGATAATCTACTTAGATCCGGGGTCATGCAGCAAAATGAACTTCACCCAGTTTGGAGCAAAACCCTCAACGTGGGGCAGCCGGAGCGTCGGTCGCTTGTGTTTTACACGGCCGTCGCGTCTGCCAGCCCTCGGAACCTCGGCGAGTGCTTTCGTTCGGCGGCTTCCGGCGCAGTGCAGGAATTAGTATACTCACTTCCTGGGTGGATGGGCCAGCAAAGACTCCTGTTGTTGGCTTACCACGACGAAAAGGGTGCTCGCAGAAGTATAAAGTCCAGGAACTTGACCCCAGTTTTCTGCCTTGCCTTTTTTGTGTGGGCCATTCGGGCAGAAACCAGAGGTCCAGAAACGCGCTAGCTCAATAAGTAAGGACACGGGGGGATGTCTCAAGGGGAAGAACCCGCTTTTGGGACGAGTCTAGGCAGGGTTCCTTGGAAGACCCCGGCAGAAGGCTAGATGTTTGGCCGGAAAGTGAAACGAAAGCAAAGCAAACCAATCTGCAAACAAAGGGCCTAAATAGTTACACATATTCATCCCATGATCATCAGTTAATTTGGTAAAGTACCCCACAAAACCACAAACCATTCTGAGCCGCCATGTCCTTTCTCGTTCTCTGGAAGGAAAACGAGACAATATTTCCCGCTGTGATAGATTCCCTTTACAACTAGATGAAATAACACATATTCATTTCAACTGGAAGGTAACTTGTTCCCCCTGTTCCCCATGGCTTGTGTCAATCTTTGGCGCCCCGAATGCTTCCTTTAAACTTCGGCCCCTTTAGGGGGGTTCAAACAAGAAGAAGCAACCATCTTCTCCTCCCCAGTGCTTCCAGTAACCCTCATGGTAGGTAACCATCACCAGGTAAGACCTAGAGGTAAAGAATACCTGGTTAACTACTAAAGCGGTAACTGGAATCATTGGGCTGCAAGTTTGAACGGGAAATATGATGTTCCCTGAAAAGGTGGAACACGAGCCCCCAAGAACATCCAAACGCAAGGGGCTCCGGTGAGCGGCAGAGTGTGCGACTTGGTGACTTCGTCCCAACACTGGAGATTTTGGCCGAACTTCCCATGCGCATCCCTTCACGGAGCAAAAATGCCGAACAAGCTGCGTCTGCAGCAGCGATCCTCAGATAGGGAAAGCTGCATCAGAAAGCCTTTTAGCAAGGTACCTGCCTGTGCGGGAGCTTTGAGAGCTTGTGGTCCCCCCATTGTGGAGCTGGTTCCCTGCTAAAAGACTTATAGCCGCTGACTCAGTTGCCCAAGGACCCAGAAATACAAGGCTAACTCTTTGGGGCATTCGCTTGGTCAACCGCGGCAAAGCATGTCACCTACTCGAGTTATCGAAATGCCGGGAAGCACTCGACAAAGACATTTTGCAAAGGGTCGATCGGGTACTGAGCAAGTGGACATCTCCATGGGCAAATAACCCACAAAAGCCATGGCTAGAAGTCTCCTAAGTGGACTATAACTCACCCCTTAAAACTCCCTGCGCCCTGGGGAAGTTCTCACCTTTTACAGACATATAGCCCATGTTACCCCCAAAAGTTGAAAAGTTGTGTTTTTTAAGAGGTAAGAGAACCAGGCTTACAAACCACTTGCTAGGCACCCGATCAGTAGCTCCACGAGCCGAGCTGCGGTAGCTGCCCTCCAAAGGCTCGTGCGGCGCCGCGGGGTCCTGGTGACAACGGCCGGGCAGTACCGGGCTCAAAATGGTGGTCCCTCTGGAGTAAAAAACCAAGACAAGTCCAGGTGCTACATATAAGTTCCCCTTGAAACCAACAGGGGAGCATGAAACAAACATAGCTATTAAATGCTATTAAGCAAATGGAAGTGTTTGGCGAAGGGGCGGACCAAAGTCTCCAGCTTCTTGATAGGGTTTGCAGCAGCTTGAGCATCTTCACCAAGCTTGGGTGCTTCTCCCAAGTCTCCAAAGCTGCTTGGGTCACTCCCTTGTTGAAGCGTGTGGTGGAGGTAGCGCCGTCGTCGCTTCATGTTCGGCTTCCATCCGTCGCCCGATAGCACGAAATTGGCTCGCTCCCTGCTGGGCCTCCTTCAGCTTGCAGCTCTTGCACCACTTGGTCAACGGCTTTCTGTGGCTTTGATAGGGAAACCCCTGTTTGAGGGGGAAAAGCGAACAGTGGTGCCAGGTTTTAACAGGGAAAGTCGAGAGGAAAGAAACACGCACAGTGGGTCCACTATTTTGAGAAACACCCAACGGGGGCATCTCAAACGATTGGCGGCGGTACAACCCGACTGATCGAAGGACACCCTCTCAGTGTAAGGCCCGTTCAAAATGTGGCCTTTGGTTCTATCTGGCTGCAAAAAGCCTACCTGGAAAAATACGAGTTTCAACATGTGGGTCATCCAACGTTGAACAAGGCACAGGTGGTTTCCAGGGAGAAAACCTGGCCCCCAACTCAGCACACGCAAGTGGTCTCTACCTTCCTGTGTTGAATGGCTCCAAACAGTCTGAAATTTTTGGTTGCCACTAAAATGAAGTTCCTCCAAAAAGTATCAGGTCCAGGAAAGACCCCAAGGGCTAGGTTTGAAGCCTTTAAGATAAGGCCGACAAAAAGCCAAACTAATTTTGATTGGGGGTCTTTTGGGGTCGCAAAGGGGGGGTTCCTGATCTTAATCCGTAACCCGCAGTGAAACAAGGGATCTGCCCTTTGCTTGTTTGATTGCATTTCTGTGCGACCCAACCGAAAGCTGCCAGAATGCCCACCAGACGGACGCTTTGGAAAGTTCAACACCAAGACTCCTGATGAAGACTGACCGGAGGGTTTCAGAAAACAATGTTCTTAGTGTGGATGGTTGTGAAATCCGTTCGCACCACCAAATGAAGTCACAATTATTGAAACTGTTGGTATTTACAGGGGAATCGAATGAGAAACCAGGGTTTCCGAGTTCGGCGGTGCGAATTGGATTTCGCCCCCATCCACTGTCAGTAGCGTGGTGCGTGCCACCTCAAAACGGACTCCGTAGATTGCCAAATGAAGCATCTCTCCAGCCCAACCAATCCATTCCCCCGATCCGATCCCACTCCCCAATCGGCCTCTCCCTAGTAGTGAAGTTCCCTAGCCAGAAATATCGCCCACCCCTATCCAGTGATTCCAGAGTACCCACTATGATAGGTAACCAACAGGAAACCCGCCCATGTAAAAACCAACAGGACAATGGCTGGTTACTTGTCACAGTGCTAACTGGGATCCACTGGGTAGAATACAGGCGCCCCGCTGATGGGTGCTCCCGTATGATAAAGCTCCCTGAAGCGAAGAATCCCCCCTCCCCCAATAAGCAAAGTCGGTTGTTGCTTGGTAGAAATACCGTTGGCTCTCTTTGTTCGAGGTGCCCGTGTTGGAGGTTTTGAAGTGAAACCAAAAGAAAGTAATCATTTTGTGGGTCACCTAAACAGGACAAACCCAGTTCTTGTTGTCTTGTTTGTCTTTTTGGCGGGAGGAATACACATTTAATATATATATATATATACACATACATACACATATGTGTGTATATATATATATATATATATGTATCATTAATATGGATGAGCTGCGTGCGCGAATCTCCTGCACCTCGTCGCCGATGCCGGAGCGATCAATGTACCGCCCGCACCTCACCTGCGTTGGCCACCCCACAAGACTGCCCTCCCGGGTCGGATTTCAATAAAATGAGGCCGGAAGACACATTGGTGACCTTTTGAGCAAATAGATGGGGTTCCCTGGTAAATGGATAACATAAAACCAATCTGATCCCATCTATGTTTAGCCAAACTAACCTAAACGGACACCTGCGAAGGCAACAAAAAATCGAACAAGGCCTGAACGGGGGGGGGGGGGGGAAGGGGTCTCGCGGGGAGCGGTTTGTAGCGGCTCTGAGGCTACCCTGGACTTGGTGCGAAACGCAGAGCGACATACCCCCCCACCGTCGGACGTGGAAGCCTGCAGACCCCATATGGAATCGTGCTAGTTGAAAAGGAAGCAACGGTGCACTGAGCAATCTTGCTGGTGTTTCATGGAATCAATTTGAGATAAACCATCCCTTGTGGTTTCGTTTCAGGGGACCAAAGCCTGGGTTCATTCCCACATTCCCTACCAGTCGCACCAGCAAGCAATGCTTGCATCTTGGAGGGAAAGGTGAGCGTGCCTCACACCCTCTCGTTCATCTGCGGAAGTGGGCACCTATACAGTCTGATAGGAAGCAACATGGGAGCGCCGCATGTGGTCCCAAAACCCACACCCAGGTCCTTGAGGGGAATGGCTGGTGCTTGTTTGTTCCCTAAGCAAGTTGAGTCACAACATGGCCATGTCGAGTCTACACCTAACGGTGAAGACTTGAAAGGCTGGAAAGCTGCAAACAGTGGCAGGGACACCGAATTGTACCCTCGACTTCGAACAACCTCTTTTTGTAGGCTTGATTGTTGAAAAGCAAGGCTTTTCATGATTTACTCCGCAAAATCCGTGCGGCTCTGAAATTCCCTGAAGCATCCCTAAACAGAATCTGTGAACCAAGCCCCCACACATGGATATCAAATGGCCCTCAAAGTAATTGTCGTCAGTTTGCAAACCATTTGAAAGCCATTGCGGGCCTGGTGACGGATATCTGCACGGGTGTTTTTTTTGGGGTCGGTGTTCCTTTTGGTTTCCCGTTCAGACAACCACACAAGGTGTACCATCCAAACAAAAACACTCGCCATATTGATACTGTGAACAGTCAAAAGTCTAGCAGTGTAAGGGTGTGGCTAGCCGAAGAACGTCCTTCGAGTCCTTCCATGGACCAGCCGAGGCGCGTAGCGAAGCAGCGACCTGGGAGACAGGCACCACATGCAAAATGTTTCCGGGTTCACTGCCATTGTCAGTAGAAATACAAGGGGATCACCTTTTGAGGCCTTTGACACAAACGTGGACCACAAGGAGAAAAACCAGCAGGTCAAAAGGACGATTCGCTTTGGACTGCCTCAAAGGACACCATGGACCACAAGATTCTAAGATGGTGTCCACTACCCCAAACCCCCAGAAACGTTCAACGAGATATACAGCTGCTACATAGAACCACTACAGGTTCCATACCCAGCATGGGGTAGAGGCATCCCAGACTCCTGATAACAAAACAAAATGGCCACTAACCGGTAACCCTCTAGCGCCCGGGTGCCAACAACCGCTTTGTCTGCCATGTCGAAATCCCGGCCATGTACGGCAACCAAACAGCCGTGGTTGGTGCACTCCCATGTCCTTGTTGTTTTGTGTTTTGTTCAATGCATGTTCGTTGTTGTTTGAACAAACATGTTTTTCCATCCTAAATACATCCCTTTTGAGTACAGGTTTGACATGATAATTACCCGTAAACAACGGGTTTTTGCGGCGAAGGTTGATACCTGTATTTTCTTGGTGGATTTCTCATGCTGGCTTGAATATTGCCCGCCCAAGGAGGCAGTACAGGTTCATCCACGAGCGGTGGGGCTAAAAAAACAATCGTAGTGTTCCTTTGCTAGGTTTTCCAGCACAGTAAGGGTACTTTTTTTCTGTAGTCTACTTTAGTAAGAGAACCCTCCCCCCCAAAAGGGTGAGAAACGGCACTACTGGGGGACCTAGTTTGCGTTTCCCTTGAAAACCATACAAACAAAAGGTACCCTCGAACAAGACACCCCCGAATGGGCTCGTACTCACACAGGCAGGGTACGTCAGGTAGGTGGTCAAATAACCGCCATCTCGGACACCAGGCAATCCACTACAGAGGAAACTGTTTTTTGTTTTTACCTCAAGGTGGTTTTTTGCCCGGGCATGGTTCTATGGTTGTAGGCCGCCTTTCTGTGGATTACTTGCCCTCTACGAGCCATTGACGAATCGGATCGCCACTTCGAATGGCTCTATGCCCCAAGCCAAATCCCCTGCCTTGAACATTTAATTGCCTCAAACAACAACATGGGTGTGGCTCAAAGTTAAACAGGAGGGGTTACGCAGGTTTTGGTCCATGTTTCCACTTACCAGGGTTCCGTTTTGGTACCGGTGTTTTAAGCCACAGCCACTTCGCAACCCACCCAAACGCCCCTAAGAGGAAGTCTCTGGGTTTCTCAGGGTTTGTCAGGGAACCCAATAGACCCCTTTCTTCTTTTCTGGTCATTTTGGCAGAATCCTCCAAGCTAGGGGCAGGGTTTGTCAGGGAAGTGGATAGCAACCATGACTATACCACTGACAGGACTTGCAGGACTGACACAAACAAGGTTGCTAATCACTCACTAGCCTCCACTTATTTGGTCAAATCCCCATACAAGTAAGAACCTGGCGGTACACACCCTGGCCATTCAACTAGGGAGCCTTGGGCTCAACGCACATGTTCCGCCAAGAAGCTGCTTCAGAAGGTCGTCGGGCGACGCCCTGAGCCGATGGTGCTGTGTTCTCTTAGGCACCAAATTTGTAGGATCCAACTCACTTCCGATCGAATGGCATTGGCCACAAAAAAACCAACCTTTTTGTGCAGGCCACTAAATGGTTCAAACCTAAAACTTTTAAAGTCCAGAAACTCAGGGAGTGAGATTCTAAGTTCCCGCAGCCCCCGCTCTCTGTTTCCCCGTGAGACCCTCAATTCTGGCCACAAGGCCTTATTTGGTGGGGGAGGGGATGGGTCACATGACAAATGGAGCCTCTGGCTGAGTGGCTGTATCTCGCTGTGTCGCAATGGCCGGTGGTGTCCAGATGAACCCGCAAATCACTTGTCAAAATAAAGCTAGGTGAATGTCGCCTTTGATCTCGAACCTCGTAACCTTCGGAACACAACTGTCTCCTTACCAACTCACTAGCTAGCAAGAGGTTTTCTCCAATACCGTCCAAGACTGCACACTCCATACAAAAGGCAATGGCGTCCTTGTGGTCTCAAGCAAAAGGCTATCCATCCTTGTAATGTCCCCCTTGAGACTAACACGAGACCAAGACAAGCATTGTTCTGAGAGGAACCTCCTTTTGGTTTCCGGACCCCTTTTAGGGTTTAATGTTCATTTGCAGGCAGTAACGGTCAACCCAGGATGAATAAACCCTATGTTGGGGGGGGGTGGGGTGTCCCTAACTTAGTGGAGGTTCATCGCCTTTAAAGGGGAACAACCCACATATTAACAAGCAGGGTTCTCAAGTGCCCAGTGGCCATGGGGGAAAAAAGGGCATCCTTTTTTGGTTGGTTGAGTTTAAAGGGGGAACCCTTCCCCAAACAAAGTTGGAAAAAAGGGGCGGAATCCGCTGGGCAACATCCAAAATGGGGGCGGCCGCTTCGCCAACTCGAGGCTTTCGAGCGGCGGGTCATCGGCCACGCGGCAGCGCTTCGCGAAGTCCTAAGGCCGCGCTTCGCAAGGTCTTGGAACGCTTTCTCACTTGGCGGTGGGTCGAAAACATGCAAATGGAACCAAGGGAGAATATCAAGGAACCAAGTGGGCCAAACAAAAAGGCAAATGGAACCCTGTGGGCCAAAATGGAACCTTTGTGAATGGAACCAAGGACTCGAACCTGCGGTTTTTCTAGTGGTTTAATGTTGAGCCCTACGCCACTTGGCTATGAATATCTACCAGGGACCCTTTGGTGGACATCGACTTTAGAAGGGGATTCATGTCCACCTGTCACTTCTTAAGTGGTTCCCCAATTCAGAGCCACTGCCTGACCCAAAGCTCACTTCCCGAGTGGATGGTTCAAACAAAGTCTGAACCTGGATGCGATAAGGGTCAAAACTCGTTGGATGTTGGGTCTACACAATCACTTGGCTGTGGGTCAAAAATAGTTGGTAACCCCAAAAAATTGGCTGCCCCGGTAAATGGAACCAATGATTAAAACCTGCGGTCCCCTTGTGGTTCAATTTTGACCCATACCCACTTGGCTATGAATTTCTGTCACAAACCCTTTATCCTTGGTGGACATCATTTGGGGATTCATGTCCACCAGACACCTCTTGAGTGGTTCCCAAATAAAATTCAGGCTACGTCCTGATCCAAAGGGTCCCCTGGTACCTTCAAAGGATGTACTGAACGACCCCTTTTGACACCCCCAAAGCCATCCTCAGCACGTAGCAAGGGACCCTCTGGGTGAGTGGACTGGTCAGAAAAAGGTCCAAACCTTTTGTTAACCACTGAAATGGTCGTCCCAACAAGCTGCAAGCCCCTGCCCATTGCGCTCTATCATAGAACCATGGTTTCTCACCACGTATTTGTATCCTGCCCCTTTGACTAGGGGCTGATTCCTGCGTCTTTTTGCGGACGCCTGCCGGTTCCCAAGACTGTTTGCTTTGTTTGCGAGCCAAATAAACAGCAGGAAAAAAGCGACAACAACCTGCTTCATGTTTCATCTACCTTTGAATAGCGCACAGTTTTTGTTTTGGGGCAAACCCATATTTTCTAGAAATAATTTTCACTCTGGGCTGCTGCCTCCCCCCTCCCTGACCAAAAGCTCAGTCACCCTTTGTAGGTTTAATGGCAAAGCCATTTGTTTTGGAAAGGTCTCGCCGGGTCCATTGGGTCACAAGACAAGCCAGTACAGTAACTTAGACAATACCTAAGTAAGCAGGGGAATCCATCTACGGTAAAACCTAAAGGTCAAAATACCCAAGGTGTACCTACTAGAGTGGCCACACGCCGAAGGGAACACTACTTGGATATTCGGCCAAGTTAGCAAGTGGTTCGCCACTTAGCGTATAACCCCATAATAACAAGGATAACCCCCACGGAACGGGGGGGGAACTCAAAAGTAGGTTAGAACCCAGGTTGCGGATATAACTAGGGAAACGCTAAACATGGTCTAATAGACGCGGTCTGGGATTAATTATGCGAAATTCGGCAAGGTTCGGCGAGATGCGTCAGTGCTGCATCCGTGCTGCGTCCTACGGCACGCGTCGGCCCTGCGCCGGCGCTGCGTCAATTGTAGCGAGTACTGCGAGGCGTGATGCGGCGTGATGCGTCCCACGTCGCGCGTCGCCGATGCGTTGCAGACGCGCCGAACGCTGCATCTTGCTGCAAAACGCATCGCGGTAGTTAGACCACGTTTAGTGTTTTCTGAATAACTTACTAACTTGGCAACGAACATCCAAGATTCAGATGCCCAGTGGCAATGGGGAAAAAAGGGCCTCCTTTTGGTTGATTGACTTCGAAGGCGAACCCTTCCCCAAAAAAAGAAAGAAAGGCGCCACTGGGCAACGAAGAAGCATGCAAGGGAACCACCGTTTCTCCTGCGGGTCCAACTCGCAGGTCACAGCCAGAGGCGTCTGAACCGGGTCGAAGGTACATCGCTTCATGGGTGCGCGGGCGAACGACCCATGCAGTGCTTCGCAGGAAAGAAATGACGGCAGGCACTCTGTGTGTGTGTGTGTGTGTCTGTCGAGTCGCCATCCAGGCGCACATGTATGTATCTGGAAAACACATATATGCGTAAACAAATATGGGAAAGCATAAAAATATGCGGGTGAAAGCACACACACTAAATGAGTATGGCAAAAAGCACAAAAAACACCATGTATCAATGCATCAATAAGTAAACAAGCAAGTAAACAAAATCAACAAAAGACACATAGATGGACAAACACAACACATGCACTACAGCATGCACACATGTATTGTTCCAATGGCTCCTGAGCCACAACGCCGCGTTCGATGTATCTGCAGGGAGAGCCAGGAAGAAACATACTAACAGGCACTGATGTTGATGCGCAGTGGCTACTGCCAAAACGGAATCAGACACACGAATACATGCCTGGTTTAAATCGATCCAACCATGTCTGGCAGCACTTCTCGGTTTCTGGTTGCACTAACGCTTGGGAATCTGTCTGAAAACACTGACATAAATGCTGTCCTCGTCTTTCTTCTACATCTGGATCATTCCACATACAGGGAATATTCGCCAACCGTGATATAACAAGGAAGATACATCAAACAACACGAGGGATGATAGCCGACCCATGCAAGGTATTGGTTCGGACTACCCCCCAAAAAAAACCTGTACTGGTCAAACAGGCCCCCCCCCATTGTGGCAACGAGTGGAGCCAAACCTCAACTAGGTTCTCCAGTAGAGAGGTCAGAAAAAGGATACCCCTTTTTCGGCTTTTAGCAGGGGAACCCTCCCCCAAAAAAGAAACGATAAAAGGGCACTGCTGGGGGACCTTGTCTAATTATGTAAGAGGGCTGAATCATTTTCGGGGCAGGCGACAGATCAAACCCGTGCCCAGACCTCGCAGCGGGGACCTGGTCAACCAAGGGTTTGCTACCAAACACGGAGGGAGGAAATCCGCAGGAGCAGTCAGCCTCATGGGTAGCTGCAGCATTGACCAACCCTGAACCTTGGATGCGTCTGTCTCATTGCACGTAGGCTTCCACTACCCCCTAAACACTCTTCTGAGAGGGGCTAGTGGTTGCCTATCCCAGTGACACCCTTTCTTGGTGCTTTGGATTGGTGGGGTGGATTGGGGTTTGAACCCCTGGCTCTTGTAGAGGTATGGAAAACCATCCCCAACCATCTTCTGGATTACCCCATGCGCTACCGAGAGCGCGCGGAAGCAACCGACAGCCCATGCGAAGGTCCCGGCTTCGAGGGCCGAAGAGATCCTCCCACTCCTTGTCCTTGTTGGGATCCTGCGGATGGAAGCCGGGCACTTGGGTTGAAACCGGACGAAAGGCATGTGCCTTCTTGAGGGATCCCCTCTTTTTTGTGGTGGTTGTAAAGGGAAACTAGAAGGACATTGCCCTTTTTCGGGGCGCCGCTGTTTGGACACGTGCCCATAAGGGCCGAAATAATCAGAAACTGGGCCCTCATCTTATTCACTGAGAGTGGCAACCTTAAGACCCCATTCCCCACAATCATGTTTTTGGAAGGCAAAAATCCAAGAGAAAACTACGCTCTTGGGTGAGCCCACATACTTTCCAAAATTCCTGACATCGAAACACATTGCCAATTTGGCCCCAACCCATTCAGATTTGTGGTTTCTTGAGCAGGAAATTCAGGGTGAGCTTTCCCTGGCCCACAGTCTCCAGTGGGAACCATCTTGGTCACCCAATTTGGGTGGTTCCTTGAACCCAATGGACTGCTCTCAACACATGCACTCGTTTCCTGTCGCTACTGAGGCCACACCAAATGCATTTGATGCAGAGCAGTGGCAATGCAAACCATGATCAGGCCAGAGGAGCTTCAGGGCGCTAGGAGTGCTCCCTCGGCCAAACTGGCACGGATATCCGCCCGCAGCGTGCGATATGCCGTTCCTAGCTTCAAGAATGCATGCTGCTCCCGCAGCTGCTCAAGTTGCTGCTGCTTGGCCGAGGCCTCCGCGAGTCTACCCCGAGAACGTAAATATCTCACTCTGCCGCTAAGGCAGGCAATGGCTCGAGCTCGTTCACAGCCCTCAGAGTCCATGCGTGCGTACCTCATCTGATTCCCCTTGAGCATCGACAGTGTTTCGCGAACACTATCATGGGAGCACTTGTCAAGCCCCAGAACTGCCTCAGCTTGCCCCTTCTTCTGCAAAAGGCCAGCGCTCAACAGTCGCCGCAGCACCCTAATCACGTCATTCTTCGAGGAAATATATAGTCTGTAATCTGATGGTGAACACTGCGTAATATGCAGCTCTGAGAAGCATACATCTTGCAGTAGGTTGCGTATTGAATGCAGGACCCCATCAAATGCCTGGGGAATTTCTAGTTGCATGTTTGTCGATGATGGAGACACTTTGATACAGCCCTCTGCATCAAAGAAACCTGCAACATGCTCCCAACTGCACTTGACATTCAGCCGCTTGCATCCCCCATCCTTCAGGAGCTTAATTTGCCGTGACATGGCAATCTGGGCTTTCCGACAGGGCGGCCACCCGGCAGCCAGGAGCAACTGTTCGCGCTTCACAATCGAGGCAGTTGCCAAAGCCTTTGCTGCCTCTTTTCCCAAGTCGCCAGACAGATTCCATCGCAGCTGCGCCCTTCGTAAGCCATGCCCATCCTGCTGAACATGAATAGCTCCTCCAAGCGACTCTCTGAATAGCATCAAGATCTCTGCGTTGATTGCCAGTTGTGCAACAAGTAGAGAACAGCCCCGCAAACCTGTCTCTGGGCTCACACACCCATCGCCGTCAAAAAAACCGCTCAAGTACTCAAGGCTATCCTCCGGGGTAGTTTCATCCTTCAAATCGGCTTTCTTCAGGGGCAGCTCATATTGCCGGCCGAAAGCGGAGAACTGTGTCTGGCGATGCCATCTCAATCTGCCTTACTCGCCATGTCAACTTGGACGCAAGAATGAGCAAAGTGACGACTCCGCAGAATTCACAACATGTTCCAAGAAGAAAAGACAACCTCAGCCGCTACCCCTCCCATCACTCAGCAACCCTCGTCTGGGGTGAAAATTGTTTTCCAGAATTGTGTTTGGAAACCACCCACTCGCTCAATTGCCTGTCGGTTTGTTTGTCCGCCAGTGTGCGCAAAATGGCTATCCCGATTCAGCCATGCTGATCCGAGCTACTCTGCAAGGTTCGTAGCCGGTCGAACCCTCGCTGCAAAGACTCCGGCGACCTTCTCGCCACAAATGCAGAGCACCGCTGCCAGCCAGCCATCGCTTTGAGCGGTGTGCAACGGAGCGATGCCATGGCCTCATCCGAGTGCCATGCTGCGGCTGTGTGCTCTGACCCTGACCTGTGGCAGCTTAGCTCGCAGGCTGGCCAGCGCCTGGCAAGCTCAACATGTATGTCGAACACTTCAACACGGCAGCAATACATGGAATTTCAATCCAAGGCAGCCTCCACTAGGTAGGTATCATGTAGGTGTCCCTAGTCAATAAACGAAATGGTTCCTGTGGACCTCGTATGGCCTCATTCACAAGAATATGCATCACGCCATTGACTCCCTGGCACACACACGCACCATTCTGAGTGAATGTGCTGGAGGGTGTAAAGCATCCCAAGCGCGTTCAACGTGCGGAAGCCAAGACTTAGGAATGCATGCCCATGGTTGCGGTGTACAAATAGAGAGCTCGCATCGCAGTCTCCTGATACACTGTGTGCAGCTTCACCAGATTCCGCACACACACACACACACACACGCAGAAGAAGTGCAGCCAAACAGTGGTGTAAAACTTTTCCAAGGCAAACATCGAGGAGAAACCACACTACCTTTAGATGAGCCCGCGTATTTTCCCATTTTTACGAGCGGAAGAAGGCCATTTGGGTCCCCCTTGTGGGAGGCGTCCTCCCCGCGTGCCGCGTAATTGGCGAGCTTCTCCTCAGGGCCTCGCAGTCAGAATGCGGCAGTCTGATCCCTTCGGAGTGAAGGTTACACTGTTGTTTCACAAGAAACCCAAAACATCCCAAAACAAATCTGGGGGAGGGGGGGGGACCGGGGGGAATCCGAAAAGGGATTCCCAAACAGAATAATGTCTGGTGTTGGGATCCAAGATATCCAAGATAATTTGCTGAAGGGTCCCAAAGGTAAACCTGCAACCTGAAAGGAACACCCATGTTCCTCCAACAGGGGCCCTCATTCAGGCACCATGTTTGTTTTGGGAGGGTAACTTGGTCAGGTCTCATTCCGACCCAATTCCCTTTTAATGAATACTTGAAGGATTATTCATCAGGGTGTGGCATGAATTCGGTGTCAATGCTGATTACTTGGTAAACTTATTTAGACCTTTTGGGAGAAGGTTCCCCATGGACAAATTGGAAGGGACTGCACGTCAACCATGCTGTGCTGCCCCCATTGTGCATTCAGGGCAAACCCAAGGAATCTGATAGGGATTGACAGCTGATAGCCCGCATAGCCCTTGAAGGTCACTGGTCACTGAAGGCTGGCAATGGTTGAGTCATTGCCCAGCGTGTATCCCTGGGCTGTCCAAACTGATCCCCCGCTAAAAGTTTAACTTCTGTGTTAAATTCGGACACCCAACCACTAAACCTACTAAAAACCACCTAAAAACAAATAAGGAACCGGATGGAGCCACCCCAAAACCCTAAAGCCCCAATTAACCACTAAAAGGCCACCAATGAAACTGGGACTCCGCACTGAGCAAGTTCCCCCTGAGCGCGGTGAAGCGGTTCCGGCGCCACCTCGCGCGGGGTCCAAGCCCCCAAAAGTGCCTAAAGTCTGGAAACTGGACTCAGGAAGTGAGTGGTTCTCTTGGACAGCCTTCGCCCCCAACAAAAAGCGAATTCACCCCATAAGTTTGGGGCAATAACCAGTTTGCATTGTTTGGCCCAATTCACATTGTTGTCAGTTCGCCCACTTCACGTTCTTCGGGTGACCATTTTCATGGGTTCTATCAAAATAGATTGGTCCCATATTGGCCCATGACTTCACATAGTCTCTGGTGCCAGTTTGCGTTTTTCATCGTTGTTCCATGTTCCCATGAAATCACATAGCCCAACGAGCGGTCCTAATACACAATGGAAGCGGCTCTCTACCTTGGCCATGCCCACCTTCCTTCCAACTTGCATACATGAATCAAGGACGGGCGGAGTCGTCGCTTTTGCCCACCGTCGAGCTTGCAGCAAGCGACTTTTGGTCTCGAACGACTTAGCCGGTGATTGATATGAAGCAAGGTCACTACGTGGTTGAGATTCACCTCCTTGCTTGAACAAACCGGACTAACCGTTAAAGAGAGAATGCAATAATATATCAGGCCATGCATCCTGCCATCCACGAACATAGAACCTGACCGAGGAGTTCTAGAAGACCATTTAATGTAATCATTTGCTTCTTGAAGGAACCATCCAGTCCTAGCCCATGTCCGTTGCATGCGGGCAATCGCTTTTCTCCTCCGAACACTGGTCGACGGTCGCGCGATGTCCCTTGCCTAAACTTTCTTGTCGGGAAGGGGCGGCTGTCAACAACACTCTCCTGCAAACTTACCTGGAACTGCTCAAGCCTCACTTTTTGAAGTGAAACTTCTTCTGGGTGACCTCCATGTTGGTTTCCATACAAATTAGGAGTGCAACAAACATTGACCGAGACCCCCAAACCCTGTCCATCTTTCATCTTGTCTGCTGCCTATGCCGCGCCAAGGATTAATCAACTCGGATGGTACACGTCGTTTTCTCTGGGTGTTGGTATTGAGGTAACAGGAACCCAAGATGAATAAACCCGCGGTTGATTCATAGAGGCTGTCCCTTCTTAGAGGGAATCCAAATCACTTTGGGGGGCCCCTCTTGATTCGCCACGAAGTTATGGATCTAGAGTTTACTTTACCTTGATGACTATTACCCACTGCCCAAAAAGCTTAACTTTTGGTGAGATCGTGGAAACACAAAAATGTGTCCAACAAGTTGAAGGTTCAACATAAGGCACTCAAGTTGCCTCCCTTCTCACTGAAAAATCTCGCGCCGAGAGCTATGCCAGCATGGCGTTCAAACATTGCACTCGTGCTTTCACAGCTTGAAGCGTCTGCCTGGCGCATTCGGAGGGCAAATGCCCTCTTTCCAACAATCACAGAAGTGGACAAGGGGCCTTTTCAAGAAAACTGTAGTCTTCCAACACCCACCTGCAGCTTCCATGATTGACGGAAAGAGGGTAGCAAATACGGACAGTTGAACTCAAACAAGCATGTGCGCATGCAAAGACTCTTGGACCGTGATATGCTCTCCTTCAGATTGACATATAACCAAAACACCGTCATTGGAGGAATTTCCTCTGAGGCAATCCGTTGGGTTCCTTCTCTTAGTTGGCAGGGGAGCAGCCAATTGCACATGAGCAATTGACGAGGCATGCTTGGGAGAAAGAAACAAGCGACAAACCATCCGCAAGCACAAGGCGGACTCCGACCATACTGAAACCACTCCAAGAGAGCACCACGAGGTGAAAAAACAAAAACATGCACACAAAAGTAGCACATCCACTCCCGCCGTTCCCCTACTTGGTAAATTGGATAGGTGCATCAGAGATTAGATTGTAGACAAGAGGTTAAACTCTCCAAATCACCAAACACACAAATTATGGTGACCTGAAACTCTGAAGCCTCCATCCTGATCGTCTCTAGCCAGGGTTGCCCGCAGAGTTGGATGAGGCAATGATCGGTTTGTAGTAACTGCAAAGGACCTTCAATTATGAGGTGGCAAGTGTATCCAACGGATGCTGTCAACTGCAGGTCTTTCTGCAACCTTTGGAGCACAAATAAGCGCCAACGCAACAAGTTTACATAGGCTGCTCGCTTTCCTGTTCTCGCATGGTCAAAACGGATATGCCCGAGCTTGCAACAGGCTCGGCATCAAAACCATCTAAGACAATTGCGTCAGGCCTCCCACCTCAAAACAAGATTCAGCATCTATGCTCGTTCGTCTGTCCATCCACAGTGCCTAGTGCTGAGCTATGTCTTTTTCAGGGCACTACATATCCAGCCCACAGACCCTTTCCAAGGGCAAGGGGTTATAAACCTTAACTTATTGAGACGGGGTAAGACCAGGCTTGCGGCCAAACATGGCCTTACCACTTGGGCGCGGGTCTTTGGGGTCTAGAGGGTGGTTCGTAGGGCCCCTGACTTGTTGTTGCACCCCCAGCAAAGACCTGGTCCACAAAGGTCGCTCCTGTTCGACCTCATTGGCACTGGCACGGATGGGATGAGGTGCTATTCAGGCCTTCATGTAATCCACCTGGATTGTTAGGGAGAGTGTGAACTCCAAAAAGTACGGGCTCCCCTCTCAATTGGGACAACCTGCAAGAAAAAACAACCAGGGCGCCATAAATCCTGGGTTCCCATTTTGGCTTCCGCCGAAAACCCAACCCAAAGCTTTTCCCCGGGTTCAAACCAAGCCCGAAGCCCAGACCCCATCCGATTTGGGAATCTCCCCAACACAAACTCTTCTTTTCTATATCCTCCCCCGCATCACGCGCGGATTTCCAAACAAATAACCCCAGCAAATGAAGGTAAACAAATGGTAGGCATGGCAGTTTAAATGTAGTTGTGCGTTAACGTTGGGTCCTCAAACATCCAACAACGCGCCCGCAACAAAAGTAATCAACAATAAAATAAACACACATATCGATAAACATGATAATCCGATAACATGAACAACAAATAGAGCCATGAGTCATCAAGCAATACACAAGTGTAAATGAGCAAGGTTAGATTATCAAACATCCAATAACAAGCCACACAACATATATTTACACAACCAGCTAAATCATATTTGATTGATCTTAACAACATGCAACACCCAATCAGTTTGAACTGAACAATCAGAACAAAAAAGAACCAGCAAGCTCTTGCTCTTATTGTTTTATTGCGTTCTTGAGTCACCAATAAGAGTAACATGCAACCAGTTCAATCCCCGCCGCCTCAGCTGCAGCACCTCCCGTGCCGCGGAGGTGGCGGCGGCCGCGCGCTTCTTGCAGCTGCCGCTGAGGCCCTCCAGCCGCGGCAGGGCCTCGCACGCGAATTCGATGCGGGCGAGGTGCCAGGGAACTCGAGGCCGTGGTGTTCATAAGCAAAGGACACGGGGAAGACTGGTTTGCTGAGGTACCTAGAAACAAAAAATAGGTTTGGTGAAGTACCTAAAAACCGCCATTGGTTTGGTGAAGTGCCTAAAAATAACCCAAGGGCAAAGACATAATCATGGGCAAACAACCTGGACCTTCATTCGTTACATAAATTTGTGCCCCTTGGGTGTTTCGTAGCTGAAATTTGCTAGTCGGGCGTTTTTCGGGGGAACTGGCACAAATTTGGATTCGAGCAATTTCGGCTATTGCGGCGGCTTCTCTCTTCTCATGTAGTCTGTTGCGTGGACACATGTGGAAACATATCCGCAAAACGGGCACAAATACCCGTAAAACGAGCGCAAATACCCACAAAACGAGCGCAAATCCAAAATATGTAACAATTAGTATTTTGCAACAACCCCGTGTTCATGAAACGAGAGTTTTTTTGGGGAACCAGCACTTTTTGGATCATTGGGCAAGAATAGTTGCCCCGAGCATTTTTCTTTCGTGACACAAATTTATGTAACAATGGAAGGTCCAGGAAGCTGTTCAGTGGATTAGACATATGGTTGCTCAACCACTTACTGTTGATTGCTCAGCCACTTCAAGTAGGAACCAGCCCTGTCAAGATCCCCCCAAACTTGTTTCGGCCTTATTTGGAGAAGACATCGGCGGGGCCTGACTATGCAAGATACGGGGCTGAATAATTAGAATTGTCTTGGCCCGATCATGACTAGCTTGGTACTTAAGGTACTCCGCACGCCCATTCAAATTGTTTAGTCCCTGAAAGTCGTGCACCTTTCATCTTGCGGTTCCTTTCCGGCGATCGCTTCCGATTCCCAAAGCCCCTCAAAAGGTCAAACGGCTCCAGCAAGTAGTACTTCTCCTCGATGCGTGAAGGTTTGTATTGAACGAATCCAGAGGGCATCCGGTGGTGTTGTGCGAGGTGGGTTGGATCCTGAGGCGGGTTGGATCCTCTTTCTGAGGGCCATGGTTGGGATCATTTGAGGCGATGACGGGCCCAACCCTAAGCACTCAGCTGCTTCCATTTTTGGTAGGGAACCAAAGGAAAACCTCATGTTAGTTCTGGGGGGACAAATACCGAAGGGTTACCTACTAGGAAGCACAGAAGCAGAGGAATCGGCATCTTGACTATGGCAAATTTGTCCCTCCCTCCCTCCCTCCCTCCCTCCTTCCCTGACTTCCTTCCTTCCGTCCTTCCGGCCTCCGCAACGTTCTCCATCTTCGCCACGCTGCCTAAGACCCGCAAGTTCTTTGCCGTCTCTGTCTCCTGGCGAGCGGCTGGCCGGTGTTTGTTGCGGGGACCTACTCGAAGGGGCGACTCAGGGGGTACTTTGCCATTGGTTAGGAAGCATCAAAGTGGTTCTGTCAATGGCTTTGAAAGTGGCTTGTAAGTAGTAAACGTAAAAGCTTCTGGTCCCGAACCAGCTAAGGCAAACCAAACGGGTGCAATGATCCAGCCAAACCAAACAAACAGTGGGCTTGCACCCAAAGACAAACCAAACAAGAAACTGGCCACCACAAGACTCTGATACCTCAGAGTCAGCCTCCATATGGGTTCGCATTTCCTTGCCTCACATGTGTTGAACCCCAGGCCCGTTATTTTCAAAACTGAGTTCGGGTTCAAGCAGAGGCCGTTTGCTCCTCCGGCATCCTCACATCTTCCCCATCCAGCACGTAGACTTGCCGGAAGGCCTGGGCAAGGTGACGGCAAACGTTGGAGCCTCAGATCGGACCCGTTGGACTTGTACAAGTGAAAGTATAGTCAGGGGGCAACCCCAACATGTAACGAGATGGGCAGCGGTTGGCTACCAACAGCCCGAAATTTGAAACCGCGCTCCATTTAGATGGGCAAAACCATTTACAGGCAAACCCGTTTCTCAAGGGATAAAATGGCACTTTTCTCCGGAGACGTGATCCGGAGAAGCTCCCGGAGAATGTGATTGGGGACCCGAATCCCGAATCCCGAATCCCGAATCCCGAATCCCAACTCCGGGCCGCTGAGGACCCAGGCACCGAATCCCGAATCCCGAATCCCGAATCCCAACTCCGGGCCGCTGAGGACCCAGGCACCCAATCCCGAATCCCGAATCCCGAATCCCGAATCCCGAATCCCGAATCCCGAATCCCGAAGTCCCGAATCCCAATTCCGGGCCCTTGAGGTCCCGGGCATCCAATCCCGAATCCCGAATCCCGAATCCCGAATCCCGAATCCCGAATCCCGAATCCCGAATCTCGAATCCCGAATCTCAACTCCGGGCCGCTGAGGACCCAGGCACCCAATCCCGAATCCCGAATCCCGAATCCCGAATCCCGAATCCCGAATCCCGAAGTCCCGAATCCCAATTCCGGGCCCTTGAGGTCCCGGGCATCCAATCCCGAATCCCGAATCCCGAATCCCGAATCCCGAATCCCGAATCCCGAATCTCGAATCCCGAATCTCAACTCCGGGCCCTTGAGGTCCCGGGCATCCAATCCCGAATCCCGAATCCCGAATCCCGAATCCCGAATCTCGAATCCCGAATCTCAACTCCGGGCCCCTGAGGACCCATGCAGGCACCCAATCCCGAATCCCGAATCCCGAATCCCGAAGTTCCGGGCCCTTGAGGTCCCCGAATCCCGAATCCCGAATCCCGCATCCCGAATCCCGAATCCCGAATCCCGAATTCCCATTCCGAGCCCTCGGCTCTCGGACAGCCAATTGGCGGGCTGCGTTCCGCCCAACCCCCCGCCTCTGTTTGGCGGAGCTGCGCCCCCCCCCAACCCCCCCGCCTCTGTTTGGCGGAGCCCGGCGTTCTTCGTCGTTCTTGTTCAGTTCTATAATGGGGGGGGCTGCGCCCCGCCCAACCCCCCCGCTATGTTTGGCGGAGTTGTTCAGTTCTATCATGGGGGGGGCAGCCCCCCCCCCAACCCCCCCGCCTATGTTTAACGGAGCCCGACGTTCTTCGTTGTTCTTGTTCAGTTCTATAATGGGGGGGCTGCCCCCCCCCCAACCCCCCCCCCGGAGCGTTTGGCGGAGCCCGGAGTTCTTCGTGGTTCTTGTTCAGTTCTATAATGGGGGGAATGGGGGGAGGCTGCGCGCCGCCCAACCCCCCCGCTATGTTTGGCGAAGCCCGACGTTCTTCGTCGTTCTTGTTCAGTTCTATCATGGGGGGGCTGCGTCCCCCCCAACCCCCCCCCCCCTATGTTTGGCGGAGCCAGACGTTCTTGGTCGCTCTTGTTCAGCTCTATCATGGGGGGCCCCGCCTATGTTTGACGGAGCCCGACGTTCTTCGTTGTTCTTGTTCAGTTCAATACTCCGGGCCGTTGAGGACCCAGGCACCCAATCCCGAATCCCGAATCCCGAAGTCCCGAATCCCGAATCCCAATTCCGGGCCCTTGAGGTCCCGGGCATCCAATCCCGAATCCCGAATCCCGAATCCCGAATCCCGAACCCCGAATTCCCATTCCGAGCCCTCGGCTCTCGGACAGCCAATTGGCGGGCTGCGTTCCGCCCAACCCCCCCGCCTCTGTTTGGCGGAGCTGCCCCCCCCCCCCCCAACCCCCCCGCCTCTGTTTGGCGGAGCCCGGCGTTCTTCGTCGTTCTTGTTCAGTTCTATCACGGGGGGAGGCTGCGCCCCGCCCAACCCCCCCGCTATGTTTGGCGGAGTTGTTCAGTTCAATCATGGGGGGGGGCGCAGCCCCCCCCCGAACGCCCCCGCCTATGTTTAACGGAGCCCGACGTTCTTCGTTGTTCTTGTTCAGTTCTATCATGGGGGGGCTGCGCCCCCCCCAACCCCCCCCCCCTATGTTTGGCGGAGCCAGACGTTCTTTGTCGCTCTTGTTCAGCTCTATCATGGGGGGCCCCGCCTATGTTTCACGGAGCCCGACATTCTTCGTTGTTCTTGTTCAGTTCAATAATGGGGGGGGCTGCGCCCCCCCAACCCCCGCGCCTATGTTTGGCCGCCCAACCCCCCCGCTATGTTTGGCGGAGTTGTTCAGTTCTATCATGGGGGGGGGCGCAGCCCCCCCCAACCCCCCCGCCTATGTTTAACGGAGCCCGACGTTCTTCGTTTGTTTTTCTTGTTCAGTTCTAAACGGGGGGGGCTGCGCCCCCCCCAACCCCCCCGCCTATGTTTGGCGGGCTGCGCCCCGCAACCCCCCCGCCTCTGTTTGGCGGAGCCCGGAGTTGTTCGTGGTTTTGTTCAGTTTTCTATAATGGGGGGGGCTGCGCCCCCCCCCCCAACCCCCCCGCCTATGTTTGGCGAGCTGCGCCCTAACCCCCCCGCCTCTGTTTGGCGGAGCCCGGCGTTCTTCGTCGTTCTTGTTCAGTTCTATCACGGGGGGAGGCTGCGCCCCGCCCAACCCCCCCGCTATGTTTGGCGGAGTTGTTCAGTTCTATCATGGGGGGGGCGCAGCCCCCCCCCCCAACCCCCCCGCCTATGTTTAACGGAGCCCGACCCGAAAATGGGATTGGGCTTTGGGATTCGATTCCCGAATCCCGAAATTGGGATTGGGATTGGCGATTTCCCGTTTTGGGATTCAAATCCCGAATGATTGGGATTGGCATCCCGTTTTGGCATCGAATCCCGAATCCCGAAATTGGGATTGGGATTCGCGAATCCCGCTTTGGGATTCGAATCCCGAATCCCCAATCCCGAAATTGGGATTGGGGTTCGCGAATCCCGCTTTGGGATTCGGATCCCGATTCCCGAATCCCGAATCCCGAAACTGGGATTGGGATTCGCGAATCCCGTTTTGGGATTCGAATCCCGAATCTCCAATCCCGAAATTGCCTGGAGCACCCTTCGTTACATAAATTTCTGCCCTTAGCCCAAACGTATTGCAAAACCAGGGGTCGTCACCAAAATACCTAGAGATTCGTTGCGGCAGAAATTTCTGCCGCAAATCAAAAAAGGCGCCTTTTTGGATTTGCGGCATTTCTTCCTGATTTGCAGCGTTTTTTTAAATTGCGGCAGAACTTGTTTTCAGTTTTTTCTACCCCCCGATTTGCGGCGGAAATCGGCGGGAATGCGGCGGAAATCGGCGGGAATGCGGCGGAAATTCCCGGAAAGCAAACGGTGTTGCGGCGTTTTTGTTTTGGTTGCGGCGTGTTTTTTGGTTTGCGGCTGATTGTCTGGAATGCGGCGGGAATTTCCGCCGCAATGCGTTGCGGCAGAAATTTCCGCCGCAGGAAGTTCTAGGTATGGTAAACGTACACTTTTTCCTGCTTCGAGCGTTTTTCCCAAAACCGGGCTGGTCGGTCCTCCAAGATGATCGGTCGCTGAATACCTAGAGATTCGTTGCGGCAGAAATTTCTGCCGCAAATCAAAAAAGGCGCCTTTTTGGATTTGCGGCATTTCTTCCTGATTTGCGGCGTTTTTTAAGAATTGCGGCAGAACTTGTTTTCAGTTTTTTCTACCCCCCGATTTGCGGCGGAAATCGGCGGGAATGCGGCGGAAATCGGCGGGAATGCGGCTGAAATTCCCGGAAGGCAAACGGTGTTGCGGCGTTTTTGTTTTGGTTGCGGCGTTTTGTTTGGTTTGCGGCTGATTTTCTGGAATGCGGCGGGAATTTCCGCCGCAATGCGTTGCGGCAGAAATTTCCGCCGCAGGAAGTTCTAGGTATTCAAAACGAGCAGAAATCGAAGTGCAAAACGAGCGCAAACATCCGAAAAACGAGCGCAAATACCCGCAAACGAGTGCAGAACGGGATGTGGTCGAGCGTTTTTCGGGGGGCGAGCGTTTTTTTGGGGGTCGAGCAGAAATCGGTAATTCGAGCGTTTTTTTCTCGTACCTAAAAAAAAGGGCACGTTGGGTGCCTCAGGTGGGATTGGGGTTCGCGAATCCCGTTTTGGGATTCGAATCCCGAATCCCGAATCCCGAAATTGGGATTGGGGTTCGCGAATCCCGTTTTGAGATTCGAATCCCGAATCCCGAAATTGGGATTGGGATTCGCGAATCCCGTTTTGGGATTCGAATCCCGAATCTCCAATCCCGAAATTGGGATTGGGGTTCGCGAATCCCGTTTTGGGATTCGAATCCCGAATCCCGAATCCCGAATCCCGAAACTGGGATTGGGATTCGCGAATCCCGTTTTGGGATTCGAATCCCGAATCCCGAAATTGGGATTGGGATTCGCGAATCCCGCTTTGGGATTCGAATCCCGAATCCCGAATCCCGAATCCCGAAACTGGGATTGGGGTTCGCGAATCCCGCTTTGGGATTCGAATCCCGATTCCCGAATCCCGAATCCCGAAACTGGGATTGGGATTCGCGAATCCCGTTTTGGGATTCGAATCCCGAATCCCGAAATTGGGATTGGGATTCGCGACTCCCGTTTTGGGAATCGAATCCCGAATCCCGAATCCCGAAATTGGGATTGGGATTCGCGACTCCCGTTTGGGGATTCGAATCCCGAATCCCGAAATTGGGATTGGGATTGGCGACTCCCGCTTTGGGAGTCGAACCCCGAATCCCGAAATTGGGATTTGGATTGGCGACTCTCGTTTTGGGAATCGAATCCCGAATCCCGAGTCCCGAAATTGGGATTGGGATTCGCGACTCCCGTTTTGGGACTCGAATCCCGAAATTGGGATTGGGATTGGCGATTTCCCGCTTTGGGATTCGAATCCCGAATGATTGGGATTGGCGACTCCCGTTTTGGGATTCGAATCCCGAATCCCGAATCTCGAACTTGGGATTGGGATTCGCAAATCTCGTTTTGGCATTCGAATCCCGAATCCCGAAATTGGGATTGGGATTCGCGAATCCCGTTTTGGGAAACGAATCCCGAATCCCCAATCACGAAATTGGGATTGGGGTTCGCGAATCCCGTTTTGGGATTCGAATCCCGATTCCCGAATCCCGAATCCCGAAACTGGGATTGGGATTCGCGAATCCCGTTTGGGATGGAAATTGAATCCCGCTTTGGGATTCGAATCCCGAATCCCGAAATTGGGATTGGGAATCCCGCGAATCCCGAAATTGGGATTTCGCGAATCCGATTCGAATCCCGAATCCCCCCGAAATTGGGATTGGGGTTCGCGAATCCCGCTTTGGGATTCGAATCCCGAATCCCGAATCCCGAATTGGGATTGGGATTCGCGAATCCCGTTTTGGGATTCGAATCCCGAATCCCGAAATTGGGATTGGGATTCGCGAATCCCGTTTTGGGATTCGAATCCCGAATCCCGAAATTGGGATTGGGATTCGCGAATCCCGTTTTGGGATTCGAATCCCGAATCCCGAAATTGGGATTGGGATTCGCGAATCCCGTTTTGGGATTCGAATCCCGAACCCCGAATCCCGAATCCCGAAACTGGGATTGGGGTTCGCGAATCCCGTTTTGGGATTCGAATCCCGAATCCCGAATCCCGAATCCCGAAACTGGGATTGGGATTCGCGAATCCCGTTTTGGGATTCGAATCCCGAATCCCGAAATTGGGATTGGGATTCGCGAATCCCGTTTTGGGATTCGAATCCCGAATCCCGAATCCCGAATCCCGAAACTGGGATTGGGATTCGCGAATCCCGTTTTGGGATTCGAATCCCGAATCCCGAAATTGGGATTGGGATTCGCGAATCCCGTTTTGGGATTCGAATCCCGAATCCCGCCAGGCGGGGCGATCTCCGGATCGCCACTCTTTCTCCGCCATAACAGGGGGTCATCTAAAAAGGGGAGAACATGAAACCTATAAAAAAAAAAGAGATAAACAGTAGGAAACAAGCCCTCAGCCGACCGGGGAAAGAAGTGATAGAGTCCTCGGTTTCCCTCACCTACTTTGGTGGTCCGGGAGTTAGCTTACCCGCCCAGACTCGCAACCATGGCTACTCACAACTTAGTCTCAGGGTAAGGAAAATAGAAGTAAACATGGCTGAGTGTCGGTTGGGCTAAGTGTGAAATTTGGCTAGGTACTGAGATTCGCAAGTCCACCTTGGTTTTTATTCGCCCTGCCCAAGGTGAGGATCTAACGGATTGCCTTTGAACATCCCATTTCGTCTACCCTAAAAGTAGTTGATTTGGCACAAGACCCCAAGCAAATTTAGTCTATATACCCCAAAATATGAATCAGCTTAGGAGGAGACCAAAAAGGAACAAGGATTGTCTTTGAAGCAGACGAAGAAGGAAGAAGGATTGCCTTTGAACTGGGGAGGAGGCAGACTGGCAAGCTGCTACCCCCCTGACGCCCCAGGACCCTCCAAATCGACTCAAAGGCCCCAGAGCTCGCCTGCCCCAGCAGCTCCCCCAGCAGCCCTGAGTTGGGCGGCACCAGAGCCGCTGTGGCCTAGACCGACGCTCAAAGGAGCTGCGCACGTCGCCTCTCTCGACCGGACTTGTTTCTCCCAAAAAAAAGTATGAGCAGAACTAGGGATTTTTATCTTGGTCCCCTTGCCACGGACACCAAGAGGAAATGGTTACATGAAGGGGCCTCGCACCCCATGTCCTTCCCAAAAGCACAGATTAACTGATGTCTTGTGCATTGCCAAGGTGGGCAACAGGTGCAAAGCACGGGCCGGCCAAGCTCTGGTTGCATCAGTTCAATGCTTAACATGGCAACATACTTGGTGTGTCTGGCTGGTAAACGTGGCTATAACTCACACGACTTAGGGGACTTGCAGCCGTGGCAAGTGGCCTAGAATCGTGATTACTAGCCACTTACTAAGCACCCTGCCTCTTTAAGTGTGTGAACCTCCCAGTTGTTTATTGGCAGCCTTTGTTCCTGGCTTGCTTGATGAATGCCAGGGTAGGAATATGTACATCCAATCTGACACGCGCACACACACACACACACTCACACTCACACTCACACTCACACTCACACTCACACACCCACCCACCCACCCTCCCACCCACCCACCCACCAACCCACACACACACACACACGCACGCACGCACGCACGCACGCACGCACGCACGCACGCACGCACGCACGCACGCACCCACGCACCCACGCACCCACGCACCCACGCACCCACGCACCCACGCACCCACGCACCCACGCACGCACGCACGCACGCGCGCACGCGCACGAGCACACTCACGCGCGCACGCACACACATCATTAAACGGCAACAAACGATGGGCTCGTCCGCACTGTGCGTGACACGGGCATATCGGAATCAAAGCCCCTATTCCTTAGTCGCATTCTACCACAAGAACACTCATCACATGGAACAAGTCCTGTCCTACACCGTGCAGCTCCGCACTCGAGGATGTACATCCACTCGGCATGGGGTTCTAACTTGATTCTCTGCGCAGGCAAGCCGAACCCAAATGCTTAGCAGACTCAAGCCACAGCCTTTCAATGATGTTTCACATTCCCTCATCGCGACAGATCGTTCATGGAGAGCTGCAGGATGCAAGCAGGCTTCACCTTTCCGCGCTCGATGTGATTTGCGCACCCTCAGCCAGACCGGCCCGAATGTCTGCTCGGAGCGTGCAATATGCCGTTCTGAGGTTCAAGAGTCCATGCTCTTGCCGCATCTGCGCAAGCAACTCCTGCACTGGCGCTGCTGCCTCTACTTTGCCCCGGGACTCCAATTGGCTCACCTTCGCATGAATCTTTGCAATGGCTCGAGCTCGTGCACAGCCATTTGTGTCCAACCGCGAGTAGCGGCTCTGGTTTCCTTTCAGCCCCGTCAACAGCTCACGGATTTGCATGTGGGAGCTTGGCTCAAGTGTCAAAACCGCCTCTGCCTGCTGCCTTTTAAGCGAAAGGCCTGCGATCAGTATATGATGCAATACCGCAACAACATCCTCCTGCGTGTTGACTTGCAGTACGAAGTATTTGTCTGAGAAATTCCTTACCGAAAGCACTGAGCGGCACACGTTCTGCAGCTTGTTGCAAACAGCGTATAGAACGTCACTAGTCACCTGTTTCAGTGCCAGTCTAGCTGCAGCCTTAGCCGGCAAAACGCTGATACAGCCTTCCGCGTCAAAAAATCCAGCCACATATGCCCACGAACATTGCACATCACACAAAGCACTTGGTTTCACATTGCCAGGAACCATTGTCCTACACAGCGGCCAGTTAGAGGCAATAAGCAACTTCTCCCGCTTCACAATAGAGGCGCCAGCTAAGATGCTTGCAGCCTGCTTTCCCTCTGAGCCGTACACTCTCCATCTCACCACGGGCTGTTGCAAGCCGCGCCCATCTGTTTGCCGACAAATGGCACCGCCAAATGCCTCTCTAAAGCGCAGCAGAATCTCGGCATTTGCAGCTACCTGCCCAACACTCAGCGAGCAGCTCCGCAAGTCCGACCGTGGGCTGACACAGCCATCGCCATCAAAGAATCCGCTCAAATACTGCAGAGTATCCCCCGCCACAGGTCGCGTCCGCGGTTCCTCCTTTGATAGTGGCAACTCATACTCGCGCCCAAAAGCTGAAAAGTGCGTCAACCGCGGCCATCTCAGTCTGCTCTGCAAAGATCGCAGGCGGTCAAACCCCCGCTGTAGCGATTCGGGCGACCTGTTCGTCACAAATGCAGATGAGCGCCGCTGAAAAATGGGAAGGCAGTGCCGTGAACATGCCAGATTCCTGCTGCTGAATGATGCCATGGCAGTCCAATTTGGCTGCAGACCTAGCAGGTTAAATGCGCTTTCTCAATGGCGTGAGAGCCAATGAACCAATCAAGCAAGCCAACAAACTAACAAACTCAGTTGGTGACGATAGCAAGTTGTGATGTAGTGTTACGAGAACCATATTCACTTGAGTAGTTAAACTACTTAAGCTACAACATAAAGTCAACTGCTAATGTGCGAAATCAAACGTGATAAGATTCAGGACCTTGATGCGCCCCATTCCCCAAATGCTACAACTGCAACAACAGAAAATAGAGTCCCTCCGGCACCGCCTAGAGCTGTCCAACAGAAATGTCTTTGCCAGGGTTTCATTTGTGGGTACCCCAAACAAAAGACTTAAACATCTTAAACCCAGCCCCACGAAATGTCATAAGCCACTCCGGGCCTTACGTCCTTGCAAGGAACCGGGAGTACCCCAAAAAAAGGCTCATCCCTCTTGTCGTCAACAGGGCAGTGCTCAACCGGGCGTCGTCGGCGCTTGTGTGAATGCCAGGCAAACCCTCTTTACTCTTATGTGGAGGAAACAAGACCCTTATTGCAGACCCTCCTTACTTAAAGGCGGCACAAAACAACACTAGAGCCATGTCCTAAACATGTCATGATTTGCTCTGTCGCATCATTCTGCTTACGCCACCAGCTTACGCCACCTTACGCGTGTGGAGTTGTTGCTTACGCGACACATTTGGAGGTTTTGCTTACGCCACCAGCTTACGCCACCTTACGCGAGTGGAGTTTTTCTTTACTCGCTGGTCGATATGACATGACTCTTACTAACCATGTACACGGAGGTTTTGGACGCTGCTCACTAGCATCCCAACAGGAGGCCTTAGTTTTGGCAACCCCGCATCACTTCAAAGAGCAGAGCGAACAAATGCTGATCCGCATTGATTCACATCACCACCTTCTTGGTGCGTCTTTGTTGGAGCCCAACAAGTGCGCTCCGCCTCTGAACACCCCCCCCCCCCCCCCGATGCTACCCGCCACGCCCTGCCGCCACGCCCCGGCGCACCCAGTCGGCGAGCTGCGCCGTAAGGCTCTGTCGTAGACCCGACTCCTGCGTGGCGGTTGAAACCCAGCTGCGACTTTCTCGGGTTCGACAAAGGAGTCTGCTGTTTGGTAGGGGACCCCCACAAATGGTGATTTGCCTGGACTTATATAGGTCTGTTTGTTTTTTTTGGGAGACCCCCACAAATGGTGATTTTCCTGTTGGTTGCCATGTGAAGTAAAACCACAAAAAAGGGTCTACGCCCCAAATCAGACACCCATATTGAAAGATCTGCTTGTGGGTGAAGGTGGCGGGGTGGCCAGTGAATGTGTTCTGCGAATGTTACACCAATTCCGAAGCCAAAAGTACGGGATCGCCCCCAAGAAAAAGAAAAAAACTGAGGGCGAGCTCGTGTTATTCTCAGGTGAGCTCGCCGCAAAGTTGGCACGATCCATCACGATCCATTTCGTAGGCTATAAAACCATGCTTGTAAATCAATCTACCACTTTAGTTGGCCTGCATGGCTTCCCCTGAATCAACTACTGGTGGCCTGCAGGGCTTCCCCGCCCGCCCGCCCGCACGCTCCGTGGGGACAGGCTCGATGCGGCCCAGTCGGTCCACCTCGCTTGGCGGATCGAATTGGAGCCCCCGGCGCCTCGCTCCCAAGGTGCTGCGGTTCAACATGGAACCCCAAAAAGCTTTGGAAAGGAAACAACTTGCTTTGGTTCGGCCTTGGTTCGGCACCCCAAAGAACTTTGTAGACGACACCGCCTTTTGGGGAAATTGGACCCCCTTTGGAGTTCCATGGTGTTTTGTAGGGAGTAAGTCCTTTGGGAGGTTTGCCCCATGAAAAGCTTCACACGACCCCATGAAACCAACTTGTCTTGGTTCGGCCACAAAAGGAAAGGGGGGGAGGGTCCGGCCTGCTTGTTGTTCCAAAGGGTTTAGGGTCCGGGAAGGGTTTGTCCCTGCGTCTTTTTGAGCCACTCTGAATCTTGTTTGTGCAGGAAATGCAAGTTTGAAGGCAAGGATTTGTCAAATACACATCTGAATGCAAGGGCGCTTGAAATAGCGTTCTCCCCCCCAAGAGGCCTCTTTGGGTCGTCCTTCCAAAACACTGAAAGGGGCATCCCCAGTTTGACACAGGCTAAATTCTCTACATTTATTGGGAGGCTGTCCCCAATCTATTGCTCCAGTCTTCGCCAAGAAAGAAAGACAATACAAATCCAGGCCAACCCTTCCCCCCCCCCCCGGCCCAAGTGGATGTATGCCCAACATGCATCAATCCGCAAACAATCAAACCCGGTGTCTGAACTTGAAATAAGAGATGACAAAGCAATGACGCATCATCCTGGAACCTATGATTGTTTCACTAACGGGCCGAATTAGTTAGACTAGGGTTTCGGGCTGCTATTGAACCAACTGACACCAGAAGTCGTGGTCGGTCGCAAGGCAACAGTGTTGTCGAATTTATTTTCTTCTGTTTGCTTAAGCCCATCCTTTAAAACAAGAAAGTGGTGATAGATTCCCCTTCAAACCAACAAGGGCAAATCGTATGTTTAAACCAGAGACAAAGAACCATATTCATTTCAGCAAATGGGCGTGTTCCTGGCCAAGTTTTGCGAGCTCATCGCGGCAATCCACTTGCACGCCACCCGAGGGCCCCAACCACCGAGGCCGGCAAGCCCTCCAGCAGCTTGAGCACGAAGGCATCGCCAGCCTCACAAAAAGAGGCGCGGCACGTCAGCGCAGCGACCGCTTTGCCCGTTGACTTTTGGGGGTTCTGCCTAACCCACCCAAAGGGTCCCCAAGGGTACTCCAGATTTTTGTGGTTTTGGATGTTTGATTTTCGGGTACCCAGAAAATCCTCTAAGGGTACTCCAGATGTTCGTGGTTGTGGGTTTGGTTCGCTCGGAAAGTCGTGAAATACGGATTTCTCAAATTCGCATATGAGGTAGATGGACACTCTGGGACACTGTGACAAATGTTTATATCAACCATCCTCTGCTGTCCCACACAGAACCAAGGTGAAATCACCTACTACTAAACAACCTGTTGCACATAACCAACTTGCCAACTTAGCATACTGACTAACCAGCTACCTTCAGACTTAACTTAGTATGCCAGAACCTACATACTGAATAGGTCTGGGAAACTTCTTACAATTCACAAACGAATCCACAAAAGGCACCTTTTTCACATCATCCTAGGCAAGCATCGCGGGCAAGCTTGTATTTGCCTCCAGGTGAGCTCATTGTAAACACTCACTGAATATGTTGAACTTCCCCAAACTTGGATGTTCGACCTAGTTAGTAAGTAGGCTGCAAACACGCTTGTAAGCAGAAAAGCCAACCCCGTTTGTCCCACTCACAACCGTGGTTACAACCTACTTAATCCGGCAAGTGGGCGTGTGTTGTTTTGAGGGTATACCGGTCCTGGGGTTGGTTCAATGCGAAGCCAAAAAAACACCATCCATTTAAATATGTTTGGGTCCCGCCATGTTGACGCGTATTCAGGTTAGGTTGAAGCAGCCAACAAAACACCCACGCAACCAATGAACCCCAGCCTCGCGCGCCGCACGCTTCACCGCCTCGAGCTCTTGCTTTGCCTCGCCACGGAGCAGCGCGTCCTGCGGAGCGCAGACTGCGCCGGCAGCGCTGCAGGTGCCGCGAAAAGGTTCCGAGGATTGCTGGGTGCGTCTTTTGCAGGGGAAGTGTCCATGTCAAGCAAACAAACAAAAGGGTACTCTCGACAAGAGACAAACCCTACTCTCAAAAAATAGCATCCTGAAACGAACATCCAGAAACAAATGCTCGCCCATTGCTCATTGTAGGCTAGGATGGCAAGTTGACACGAGTAGGAGAGTTTTACCATGTACTTACTCTGGGCAGTCTGGGGCCAGGTCTTGGAGCTAGACCTGGAGCTAGGCCTGGGGCTAGGCTGGGGCTAGCCTGGGCAAGGTCTGGGGCACGGTCTGGAGCTAGTTCTACACCAGCAGCATGACCTATTCGCCACCCTGGACACGTGCAACCAATCCGCACGCCTCAAGGCTGAGCACTGCCGTGGATAGACCTCAGCCGAGGGAAGCTTTCCAACTCAGATCCAAGCAATGGGAACAAATAGTGCAGAACCCCTGGCCCTTTTCGTTGTGCCCCTACTAATAGCACGGGTGCATTAATCCAGGGTTCTCATTACTCAGTGGGTGGTTAGGAATCGATAGCCCACTTATCGTCGTATAACCATGGCTGTGAAGCACTGGCCCAAACTGCCAGAAACACTGCGAACCATTGCTGAGCCTATTTGGTCAGAGACTCATTTCTTGGGTTCTTGGGGAAAAACTGGCTCCTTGCCCAAGACTAAGTCCTGCCTGAAGTTGCCGTCCGAGCGACGGTTGTAGGCATGTGCCTGCTTCATCATGGCATCGTCCTGCAACGTGAAGTGTGGCCCCAGATCATTGAACCTGTTGGACTGATCGGGGAGGTTTCCCCCAACAGTGATCCGGACTCCCTCCAGCATGGGACACGCCACCCCCCCAATCCAATCAAGCACGAGGTTGTGAATCCTTGGTCAACGTTAGGATCTTGTTTCACAGAGTATAGCCTAGCAGCATGTTGCCTTCAGAGACAACACAGCACCGCGGCGGCCGCTGCTAAAAGAGACGTAGGCTGGCAAGCTCGACTGAAGACTAAAGTCCAGGTTGCTGCCAAACATTGTTTGGAGACATCATGTCTGATGGCAACCATCTTCTCAGTGTGCTATACTTGCTGGCTCGCCTGCAAACAGTTGAAACGGAATGGTATTGGCAGTATGGGGCACATTCACCACTGCATCATTACATGTTAAGTTAGTTGAACCGTTGACACCGTGCCTACTACAAGTCGAAGCAGTGGACGTGCTCCCGTCTCCAGCGGCTTCCCCAGTGCTTCCAGGCAAGCCACTATGTCAGGCAACCAGTGGAACCCATCATGTAAAACCCGGAGCTATAAATACCTGGCTACCTTCCTTTAGTGGCAACTCAAAAGCACTAGCTGAGCCACTCAAAATATAAATACCTGGTTACCTACGCAACTGAACGCACTGGGTTTGCTTTAAACTGAGCCACTGCTCATGGCACACGGCCGGGTCCTTCTTCACCACCTCCTCCAGGGCTTGGAAGCCCTTGCTCAATGACCTGTCGATCGATTTGACACCTTCGATGGCCCTCCAATGGCCCAAGACACAGGAAGTGGGATCCACGACCATGGATAAATTTCCACTCACTTCCGATAGCCCTGCCCCTTGCTGCACCACTCATGATCGTCCGGCTCAATGCCCGCTTGGCCCTATGGCATCAATGAAGCAACATATGCCACTGACACTGGACAATGCGTGCCCCTTGTTTCTTGCGGGGTTGACATTTAGTAAGTCCCCATGGCCTTTTATGGACTATGCTCTTCTTTCAGAGTTGGTCCCATCGCTTCACCCATCGTGCATGTCAGGAACCACCCATGTTCCCTGGAAGTTGGACACTTGTCTGAAAATAATGTTTGTTTTGGAGACCATGGGAAAGAAAGGACTACCGATTTCTTGGGACCAAACCTCAATCAAGTCTCAGCGAGCGCTGAGTTCCGGACACAACTTCCGCCACTCGATCTGCTTGAGCCTGCGAATGCGATTTTCAGGGACTCTACCATCTCCCCCGAAAAAACCGCCAAAGGGCTACGGGAATAATAAGTGGTTTGTTGATTCCTTGCTGAAGGTTAAACTGTTAGGGGGGTATGTAAGTACGAGTCAAAACCAAACCACCAGGATATGGACCGCAGGTTCTAGTCTGTTTTTGCGTCTACCATGGTTCCAAAATGGTTCCTGCTTTTGACAGCCATGTGAGAAAACCCCCGAAAGGTTAAAAGTCTAAAGGTATGGCTGGGAAGCGTCAAGCTTAGTAAGCCTTCGGCCCATTTTTGTTCCGCCAACTAAGGCCTGAGTGGTTGGGGCGGGTAGTTGGCAGGGCCCCTGAGGATTGAATTGTCAAGCTCCTGACATCCCCCACTTACTCCAAGGGCCCGTTTAAGCGCCTGTTTTGTGTGGTCATCAAATTCACTGATCGAGGAGCAGTCCTTTAAACCAGCGTTTGAAGTGCAACTATGAGGGTGCAACTGAAAGATTAAGATCGTGCCCATGAATCAAGGACATGTTTTCTCTCGGGTTTCCCTCGAAAAGCACAAGAAAGCCAATAGTAAACATAATGATACATCATACATATGTATATTATATATATATATATATTTACGAATTATGTAGAATTGAATTATTTTGCATACCAGTGTACTACAACAAGTACCCCCAAAAACAAAGGCATCCCAAAAACGCGGCAATCGATTGTGGCCCGGGTCCCGGCCTCCAACTTGGCCTCCTCCGCCATGTCCAGCAACTGCTCACGCTCCGCCTGGCGGCGCGTATAGGCCATGACTTACCGAGGGCTTTGTCTCAGCGAACGCGTGGATCCAGTGGATTGGCAGCCAAAAACAGGGCTCACTGGACTTCCCCAAGTCAACTGTTTATCAACTTACTGCTGGTTTTCATTGAATCGATCGCCACTTTTGGAGGTTCCGCAAAAGAGAAGTGGAGAAACCCAAGTAGCCAATTTGTTGGTTTGCCACTAATATGGTCCATACCCAAAACTCAGGGTGCTTTGTTGATCCGGGATCCCTTGGTTGCAAGGGATAAACTTGTGGGATATGTCAAGAGCTAAACGTTTAACTTTTAGTGCTTTGATTCGGAACACCCATTAGTTGGCAAACAGTTGTCCAGTTTTAACATCCCTTGGCAAAATGCACCACAGAAAACCAAGCGCCCTAAGGGTCCGATCGATGGATGGCGGGTCTTGAGATCCCCTAAAGCAGCACTTCGGGGCGTGGTACGGTGTCGGACCTCCGGGTTCTGCGATGCATTATACACCTGAACATTGCAACTTGCAAATGGTGGTTTCCCTTGGTGGAAACAAGCCATGTTTCAAATGGTTGCAAAATGTATCTTTTAAGGAGCCCTGTAAATATATATATATATATAAATCATGTGGGGGTGGATCAAAAGGTCCTTTACATGGAATGACCATTAGGGCAACCAACAAAAACGATGATATTCTCCACTAAGTGGACAAAGTACTGCCCATGGTCGTTTTGGGTCCGAAAAGAATATTGACCAACCCCCATGCATAAATCAAATAAATCATGCCAGCAGCGAGTTGTTCACAAGCTTCCCAACTGGCTGATGGAACCAAGGATTAAAACCTGCGGTCCCCTGGTGGCTTAATTTTGACCCGTACCCAACCAAAGCCCGGAAACTCGTCAAAACAAACTGGGCGGCCCAAACTTCTCGAAGCCCATCCTGCCTCCAGCTGCGCATCCGCCTCTCGCTGCGCCTCTTCCACTGCCTCAGCAAAGTTTGCTCGGAACGGGGGCCAGGGGACGGCGGTTTTCCTTTTGGTTTCCCTTTAAAACCACTCCAAAAAGGGTATCCTGAAAAAGACCGACCCACTTCCTCTTGCAAGCAAGGGACACATTGCGCCGGGCAACAGTCAAGGAGGACACCGATTTCAATCAGACACACCAGAGGTTGACAAGCCTTAAGGCCAAAACGAGGCTTGTCAAACGAGGCCAACTGGGTGGCTGTCTGCTTTTGAGCGGGGTTGGGTTCAGGGACATGCAAGTTTCCCCCCTTGTTTCGACACTTCCCAAAACATCGCTTCGCAGGTCTCAGTGGTAAAGCTCTTGATTGAAGGACAGCGCATTTCTGCGCCAACAACCTTTTCTCGCGATCGACTTCGCGTCAAGGCGGTCCGATTTGGGCGTTCCCTCTTTGCGAGGAAAAGTTTGGCATACTGAAAGACTTGAAGGGCCAACATACTAGGCAAGTGGATACTGACCATGGCAATAACCCGCTGAACGGGGACTTGCAACCATGGCATAGCACGGATACAAACCACTCACTAAGTAAGCAGCCCCTTCAAGTACCAAACGGGAAACCGACACTTTGCACCGGCTTGTGAACCAGTGCAGGCAAACCATTGCCATGGAAGCTCACTCGGAAATGCACGGCCACGCGAGAACCTCCTCTGTGATCTGACGATGCCACGGCTGTGTAATGTCCAAACCGACATAAAAGGAAACCGCCCAAGCCAAAATGTGTTTTTCACTGGAGGAAGTTTGAAGGAAAGAAATGATGACGGGTGCCGCAGTACAACTCATCATTCCAGGTTTCAGCACGTTGTCTGGGCAGCTCCCAAATCAAACAAGGACTGCTGAAAATGGCCAGCATCCTTCTGTCTTGTCTTCTAAACATGAATCCCGCTAAACTCACTTCCTGAGTGGATGGCCTAGCAACAGTCCAAAGCTTTATTTTAGCACTAACATAGTCCAAACCCAAAAAGTATAATGTTGAGGAACCCAGGAAGCGAGTAACAAAAACCAACACCCACTTTTGACTCACCGATCGCGTGGGTTCGCCAAGTCCAAGCATGTTGGGAAAGGCCATGTTTCAAATGGGCAAAACGTATCTTTTAAGGAGCCCTGTACTAGGCCCAAATGGCCCAAAGCTTTGGAAGGTTTCCCTTTGGCGTTTCGCCAATGCCAGGCGAAGCCATCGGAAATAAACCGAGGTACCTGGTGCCCCATAGGCCACTGTGACTCTCAAACTGGAGACAAGTTGCAAACCTGGGGTTTGCGCTCGTGTTGACCCCGGATCAGTAAGCCCGTAATTTGCGCACCGTGGAGGGACTACACAAAACTAGTCGTATCATTTTCTTAACGACTTTAACTTAACTCTAAAGTCGCCGGCACCGTCAACACAACTTGGTTTGGCTCTTATAGTGTATACCTGGACTCTCAAACTACCCATAAACAAAGGAACTCACCCCATTATTTTGAGGCACCTAATCCATGTTTAATTATGGACACTTTGAGGGTCTGCAACGAATGATTAGCGCATACTACCTAAAGCTCAGTTCACACATGCCGGGTGGAACTAAGAAATCCTGCTCCTTATGTCCTTGCTGCCGCTTGCCTATGTGTTTGCTTGGTCAGCCACATACATTTACATGTGCGCATGCACAATACATGCTCACATGCATGCGGCACATACCCCTTTCCCAAACATCTACACAATAAGACATACATGTATATTCATGTTCATCATACCCAATGTACATAATGTGTGTCGCATGCACTCTATAGCAGGGAAGTGGGCGTGCGTGGATCCTTTGGTGCTAAATCGATTCCTACGTGCGCGCGCACGCCGCGCGCGAAAAGACCGTGCTGGAAGGGCGATGCACCGCTCGCTTCTCAGCATCGGACAGGATTGGTGCTGGACCAAGGGCGTTCTTGGGCATATGGATCTGACAAAAAAAAAAACGACGTTCAGTCCTTTCATTGCCACTTCTGTCCTCATCTTGAAATAAGGGATCCAGGATCCCAGGGCTTGTCTCAAGCCAAAGGCTTGAGCTCAAAAGAGGAACCCGTCGAACGCCCGATCCAAAGCAAAACACCGGCAACTCCTCCGCCTCAAATGTCCGCCTCCAAATCCGAAAGCCTCGGAGCAAAGTGATTGGTTGCCGGATGGGTGCCTGGAGTCTCCATGACCCTTTAAAAAAGGGTCCATGACTCATGACCCCTTTATTTTGGGTAATGACCCCATTTTTAAAGGGTCATGGAGACTCCAGGTGTGCTTTTTTGGGGGTCCTAGAGCCCCGAAACTGGCAAAGGGCTGCTTTTGGTTTCGAGCCAACCAAAATTGGCACCCTCAAACCGACGCACTCAGAAAACCCTGAGCAGTTACCCGTTTAGTCTTGGTATGGTAGCAATAAACTTTGCCTTTTTGCAGACCCCCAGTAAATTTGAACAGAACCAACAAACTAAACAAAAACAAAAAAAGATGCCAAGAACAGTGAAGGTTACCTTGCCAAAAGACAACAAATGTTTTGGTGCGGTTTGTCATAAGTCTCTCCCAAGACAAAGCGTGTTCAATGTCCAAAGGCCTAAGGTGTGGGAAAATCGGTGAGTTCCGTGGCTGAATTTAATGATTCCACCTCCCCGCCCAAATGGACCACAAACTACCTGTTTGGTTTCCTCTTTGCTGTCACGCGGTTGCGATAGACGCACAACAAACCGAAGGCAAGAAGCCGCAACTGAAGGAGCATGCGCGTAGCAAGTTGTGCACAGGCAGCGACCGCCTTAATTACACCACAAGGGCAGCCTGCTGCAGCGCCTGTGCAAAGAAAAGGTCAGACAGCTATCCCACCATGCGGCGAGAACAGCTAAATAGAAACCAATTGTTGGCAATCGACGTGGCTGCGTGCCGCCGACCGTATACACCTTTGCGGCTATCAATCTTGACAGGACACATCTTTTCCGCTTGCACTGCCAGCGAACGTCACGCAACGGGGCGCACTGCACAGTACGGGTGTAATCGCACTGAAATATGATGCACAGCGAACCTGAAAACGTAACACACCTGGAGCAGAGCCAGCAAATTGATTACGTGTCTTCCGGCTGGTTTCCCCTCAAATACCAACCAAACATGCTTGGTCTCTCTTGAGTTCATGCTCTGCTTTCCGCTAAAATGCCAGGTTTCCCACAGAACTACCACCACTAGGTCCTCCAGTAGAGAGGTTAGAATAAGGGTACCTCTTTTTCTGTAGTCTATTTTTGGTGAACCCTTCCCAGCCAAAAAAGAGGTTAAAAAGGTCACCTAGCGGGGGACCTAGATCACAACAGGAGCCCCCGTCGTCACAAGTTGCCAACACATGCATCGCGCCGGGGTGCTTCAGGAGCACGTCCAGCTTATCGCCGAGGACTCCTGACGCATGCTGCGTGCCCGGTCCGCAACCGAAACTGGGTCCTAGCCATGCCCAAAAAGATGGGCCGTAGCAACCCACAAAAAGTGAGGTGTTTTTTTGTTTTTTGTGTGTGTGTGTGTGGGTCCGATGAAAGAACTGTCCCAAAAAGTGGAAGTCCAAAGATCCAACCAAACATAGCCATGACTGAAAGTCATGAGGGAAAGAATCCCTCGGCGAAGCTTGAGAGCAAAACATAGGCCGTGGATCACCGGCTGCGGTCTCACACCAAACTCAGAAACCCCGGCTTCCGACTCGAGCCACCTGTGCAAAGACCAACAAACCAACCATGGGGGTTTCGTGGTGCAGGATTGGTCCATCAGAAATGAATGTGTTGGTTTTTGATTGTACCCTTTTGTGGGTTAGGGGAACAAAGGGAAACCGCTGATTTTCAGAGTCCCATATTGCCTAGTTCGGTTCAGGTTCACATGGGATTGTGCTTCTTCGAGGGCACCCCATAATGTGCCCCCCTCCCCCGCTCCCCTGTCCCTTTCAGGCCCCCACCCCCGGCGAATTGGACACGTATACCCACAATTAGGCGATCCGGCGCGTTTCGCCCCTCGGGGAAACCCTTCGGTCCATTTTCCTTCCTTGGTGATCTCACACAGCGAAATGGAATCACCGGGTAAGATATGAAATGATTTTGGAGGAGAGCCCAAGCTACTCTAGAACAGTGGATGAACTTGTTCTAGGGGTACCTTCCCCATTCTTTCCAGTGATCCTTCTTTCTAGAAAACCTCCGGAAACCCAGGGAAAACAGCAGGTTGTTGAAAGAACGATTGTTGAAAATAATGGGGAATCAACCCCTAGACTTGTAAGAAACCCTCTTCAACTGAACTGCCAAGGGTCGCTCGAGGTGGTCCAGCCGCTTGTTGGTTTCATCCAGCTGGTGCGCCACGTGACTTGGCCACACAAGACGGATTGCACTTGGCATACGGGCGGGGTTGTTTTTCCAACCTTCAGGTGACCGACTCAATCGAATTCCGGGCCCTTGGAAACCGACAAAAAGTATGGGTTGCTCTTTGGGCAACAGGTCAAGCCTAACCCCATGGTCCTTTTGGTGCCTTTGGGGTCACACCAAAGGCCAGCCAGGAAATGTACTGATTTGCTCGTTGGTTTGGGGACATGGCCATCCACAATTAAAAAGCATCCTCTTGCTTTTCAGCTAGTAGACCACACTCATAAGGGCTTGCCGCAGAGTTAAGTGGCTGCTAACCGGGCTACACACCACTTAGCTGCTAAGCTAAGTCCCAGACAATCCCATCCAAGTGATTTTTCGTCTTAAAGGGGGGGGTCTGCAAACCAACGAATCAGTGGGTCTGGTCCTTGCCAAGTGCTCCTCACTTGCAAAGATGGACCAAATCAGGGGAACCAAAAGGTTGAAAGGTCGATTCGCTTTGGGCAAACGGGTTCTCCATGCCTGTAGAGAAGCCACGGGTCCCTATGTTTGGTCGGCTGAAGTTCCTACTTGACTTCTTGTCATAGCAAGAAAAGAGGTAACTGGGGCTGAAACACTTCAACTTTAAAGCCGTCTTGCCAGAATGCCCCCAAGGAAAGTTTAAAAGCAACCGGTTTTGGAGAATCAAGCACCACGTGGGGTGGTGTATGTAGAAATTGTGAGGGTGCAACCTACGCTGCTTCACCTGTACTGCCAAGCAGCGCTAGGCTGGTTGGGAAAAGGGGCCCAAACACTGCTCATGGCGCGAGCAGGGCTGAGGGTACTCTGCCCCTGAAAGTTCAACATGCTCGGAACTGGGGCAGTAAGACAGGGATCCTTACATTATACACCTGAGCATTGTCTTGTAAATGGTGGTTTCCAACTTCATGTTGGTGTTGCAAAAGCCTCACATGTTTCAACTGGTTGCGCAAAATGTATCTTTGAAGGAGCCCTGCTGATAGTGGTTAAGATGCATTGTGGATTCAGATTGGAGCCTGAATGTATCTTTTAAGGAGCCCTGTAAGAGAAACATCCGCCTCCGCTGACCGATCTAAGGGAGCCAAGGGACTCTAAGTCCTTCCGCGAGACCTCTTCAGTCCTTGGCCGCCACCGATCGGTTTTTTCGCAAAAACAAAGCGCCGTGGATGCCGTGGATATGTGGCGCAAAATTCGACGATCGGAGGGGCAAACCGCAGGATTTGGTACCCATGTTCCCACTTACCAGGGCAAGCCATTTTGGAATTCCGTTTTTTTGAGCCACAGCCATGTGGATTCCATACGCGATCGGCATGACTTTCGAAGCTGGTTCGACTGAGTGCGGCGCTCGAAGAAGAAGGTCTCAGCGTAGTCCTGAGGCTACGTGTCTCCAGTTGCTATGCTAGTAGGTAACCAGCGGAAGCCATAATGTAAAACCTATAGGGAAAACACTGATTACAATAGTGGGAGCTGGAAGTATTGGGTTAGGCGTCCTCGATTTCATTGGAAATCTTTTTTGCGGTCTCGGTTGAGGTGAATGATCTAGGTTCGGGTTGGTCCACTTGGAAGATATAAATAGGGGGGGTGAAGGACTGCCTCTGAACTGGGACACTCTCCGATCAAACTTACCAGGGGGTCTGCGTGATGGGTCAATTAGAGCGGTCCCCAAATCATGGATCACTGCATTTCCCACTTCAGAAGTTGCAACTTACTGGTTGGTTTCCATTGAACCTGCCACAAAGAAAAGGGAAGTGGAGGCAAACCTGATGAAACCCAATCCGAACCCAACTTTGCAACCCCGGTATGGTAGCAGCAAACTGACGGTTTTTGCAGACCACTAAAAACAAACAAACCCCCGCTGCTCATCTTAGGCAAGTGTCGCTTCGGTGGCAGATCCACCTCGGACGGCGCGCCGCACGCCACTGAAGCGGCTCGAAGAGGTTTGGCTGAAGCAAAGGGAACCTGTAGTGCTGCTGGTTGCATGCTTAGATTCTTTGACTTTTGTCGCTCCTTTGTGGCAAGTGGGAAACTAAAAGATGCCTTCCTGCCAGTAACATGAAACCCACCAAAGAGTTTCTCTTTTGGCGGCGGAAATGGTGCAAACCGGGACAGAAGTCATGATCCATGGCCGAGGGCATGCACAACTCGCTCGGTCATTTCTTGGGAGCCACCATATTCTTGTGTGCTTGGCCTATCCCAGTGCTTCCAGCTTGTGGGGTGGGAGGGGTGGGTGGGTGGGGTGGGGTGCGGTGGGGTGGGTTCGGTGGGGTGGGTGGGGGTGGGTTTGGGTTTCGGGCCAAAAAGGGGCGGGGGCGCAGGGGGTTGGGTGGCAAGTTAAAACTGTAGGGGAGGATGTGACCTAAGTTGACCCTTCAAACACACGTCACAATGGACGATGCCTGCCAGTAAAAGATGGGGTTGTCTTTTTGTAGGGGGTACCCCTTTTTTGGCAGTTTTAATAAAGGAAACACACCCGAAGCTTCCCGACCCAAGCAAGAGTCCAGAAAAAGAAGAAGAGTAAAGTACCCTCGTACCCAAGGGGATCCTGAAAAAACCATCCCCCCCCCCGCCCGTATATGTATATATATATATATATATGCAACCCCCCCCCCCCCATGGACCCTGGTTTTACTGCCTTTTGGGGATGGCAAATCTAGAATTTCCAAGTTTATATTCTCGAAATTTCCAATTGTGGGTCCCCAAAGCGTGATAATTTGGAGCCCGGAGTCCTCCACAATGTCCCAGTATGATACCCTTTGCACACAAGATGTTACTTCAACTAGAATTGGAATTTTGAATATAGTTTAGTATGGATATAGTTTTCAAAAATGTGTTTATGTTCAATTACAGCTTAAACAAGCAAATCCTTTCCAAATAGCAGCTACATGCAAATGTAAATATATATTTTCGGCTAAACTCCAACTAATCTATAACACAAGAAGTTAGATGGAAGTTTTTTCCCAAATATAATCCAAGTGGTAAGTATAATCTAAGACGAACAACTCAATTTGCTTTTGATAATATCAAGTGAAGAGACTCATCTCAAATATAATTCATATTAAATATGGCTAAACATTTGGAAATTAAAAATAGGATTTGTGTTGTTTACATTCTGGCCCTTTTGTAGCATAAGAAAGGTCCGACATTGAACTTGTTAGAAGGTGTTCCAAAGGGAAATTTCAAGGGAAGAGAGGTTCAAAATCTAAGACTATCTCGAAACAGGGATTCTAGCTAAACCGTTGCATTTAAAGTTCTATTTGCGCAGGAAAGTTAATTCTATGTCAAAAGGTGGAGGTAGTAGATGAGCAAATGTGGACAGGTAGTTGAAGAGGGTGGGGGACGGTGTGTGAACGTACATACATATGTATATCTATATATACACATACATACACACATATATAGTACCCCCAATGATCCTGCGCCTCCTCATAAAATACTGGAAAATGCAGTATTTTTGAGCGTTGCACCTGCCTTTGTTTACCTCCTGGAAAGGGGTCAACATGAGTATAGCTGACATGAAGCTCACCAAAAGCACTTGAAAGTTTGTCTTAACTTGAAAGTGTGTCCACTGGATCGCTAAGCACTTGAACATTTGCTACTGTCGGATGGAAGATTCAATGTTGAAGATTACACAGAACACTTTCCTGAGAATTGTCAATCCTGGCCAAACCCAAATAGCATTCAAGTTCTTCTAACACTTGAAAGTGCTTTACCACTGGATTGGGGATCAATATTGAGGAGCCCACAAACCACCACTTTCCTGAGAATCATCCATCCTGGTCAACCCCTAAAATGTTCAAGTTGTTCTATCACCTCGAACATCCGTTACCACTGGATTGAACTATTTCACGGAAAACTTTTCCGAGAATCTTATTGAACACCGAGAGTATTGGGACAACCCTGGAATTTTTAAAACTTTTTAAAAATTATGGGATTCAAGATTCAAGATTCAAGATTCCCAGAAAATATTTTCTCACATTCTTGAATCTTGAATCTTGAATCCCATAATTTTTAATAATTTTTAAAAATGTCTGAGTTGCTCTTGTATTCTTGGATGCATTCAAACTCTTTGAGATTGCAGGTGCTGATGTCATTGCTTTTATCACATCTGTATGCATGCATGCGTATCATATACATGTACGACCCTCCCCCCAATTTTGACACAAATCCAAGAAGCAAAACGAAGCATAAAACACTGGAAAATACAGGTCAACCGCACCAAACCAGGGTCCATGGGGGGGGGGGGTACCATATATATATATATATATGTATAACAAATAAATGATTAAACAAATAAAACAAAAAACACTTTCTAATTAAAAACACAAAAAATGTGGATTTCCTTGCGACACGCTAGAAATCGGTCTGGGTTTCTGCCACGCCACAGGAAGCCGCAATTTTGGATGGCGAGCTCGCTCTCTTTGGCCAGGTAGAACCTCGCGAAAGCCCCAGGTATCCGGGCGTGTGTGAGGCTCGGTTTCCTCAACCCCCGCAATGATTGTCCGACTTTTCTGGGTAAAGTGACACCAGTCTTGTTGACCCCAAGCAATGTGCCACATGCTCCAGGGTGGAATACAGAACATGTATGGCCCAATTCATCCATCCTTCCAACTGCTTCAGCCCCCCCGGGGAAAAAATGAGAAAAACGAATGTTCAGTAGTGAGATCGTTTCCCACATTGTTAAAACAAAAAAAAAGAAAACGACCAGGGGAATAAACAATAATCCCAGGCAATTCTTTCATCCGAATGCATCCCTGGGGAAAAAACATGTCCAGCAGTAATATCGATTCCCAAAAAAACACAACCGGGGCAGAAACAAAAACACTAATCCTAAGCAGATGGTTCCATCCCTGTCAGCTCAAACCCACCGACGGATTCAATCCATCCCTTCTCGATCCAAGCAGCTCTTCCCCGTTGGCATGCGATAGCTTCACCTCGCCATGTGAGTCGGCCCCATCCCACGTGAGCCCCGTCTGACGGGGTCTCCCCCTACACCGTTATCTTGGTTGCGAAATCTGCTTCCCTGCTGAAAGGTTTCAACTTTTGGTGGTTTGATTCGGAAAACCCGTTTGGCAAGAAGTGAAAGTCCTAGCATCCAAGCAAGATGCACCAAAGTTATGCCTGGTTCGATCTGGGTGTTTCAGGAATCGGACGCCCAACATGGGTGGGGTGTCCCTTCTAGAGGTGCTTGAAGAAAGCCAAACAAGGGGAGGCCCTCACAAAACATTGGTGGATTGGAGAGGGGGGGGGGGGCGAAAGGAGGGGTGCCAACTTAAGGTCGAAAAGGGGCAGCGTACATAAAGTCACTAAGTTGCCAACCATGGGCAAATCAACTGCCAATTTGTCATGCTTGCAAGTCTCCGCAATACGTTGAATACTTGCCCATTACTAACCACTTCCCTGACATACTGAATGGATCTTTGCTGCAAAAGGCACTGTCAGAACTACTTATTCCCCAAAAGGACATGGGAGAATTAGTGAGGCCCCGGCTTTTGTAGGACATTTAGTGGATTTCCCGTGTCTCCCCCAACTTCACGGAAAGCAAATCTCACATGAGGGACCAAATGAGGGTCTTTTGGTTGCCTCCGCTAAATAGAATAGCCGACTAGCCGGAAAAATTTAAACTCTTTGAGCCACATAATTATATATATATATATACAGGATTCTAATCCAAGGTGTAGTGAAAGCTTGCCAACTAAACACAGGGCTCCCTATATGCCACCTTGGAAATTCACCCAACAAAGGGGCTAATTGGGGATGTGTATTGCTGAGAGTACTCTTTGGCGTAATTTTAAAGGGACACCGAAAAACAAACCCCGCATTTAAAACAAAAGGAATAAAAGACAGAGCCACTTTCTAAACAGCTCAGATCGTTGGAGCCGCATTCTATGGGGAATACACGACAGAGCCACTTTCTAAACAGCTCAGATCGTCGTTGGAGGAGCCGATTCATCAGAGGCACTTTCCAAAGATCTCCCTGCTGGCATTCCACCACGCCGTGGCCCTCTCCACTGGTCTGACGTCCGGAAGGGCGAATGAGCCCGGGGGGGAGAGGGGGGTGGGAGGGACGAAGCGAAGTGGAAGGAAGCTGTCAAATTAGGCTGTCAAATTAAGTTCGGGAAAATTTGGCGGTCGAATTTGTTTTCGTTGAGTGCTCTCCTTTGAACTCTCTTGCGGGCCATTTGAGAGCCATCGGCTTCTCCAGCCGGCTCCAATCAGGGCTTCAACATGAGGTGGCCTGGTCCGAAGCCACCCAAGCCCCGAGTGGCGCAACGTGGAACGTGGAGCCTCAAGATCCCATCGATCGGGGGTTGTATTTTCCTCGATGGGCGTCCGAAATCCAGGCGGTTTTAAGGTTCGAGGCCAAGGCCAAAAGTCACTTCTCCCCAGGATCTGCATGCGTCCCAGCCTGGTTCAAGTCCAAAGACACCAACCACACGAATGCTTGTATTCCTGTTCTGCCTTCTAAAGACCTGCAGATAGATTCCAACACCACTGGCCCTTGAGGTGGCCTAAGTCAAGGGCCATTTCTAGTCAGCGGACTGGGATTAAACTGGGGTCATCAAGACAGGTCCCTATTCGGAGCCACCAACTCTCCTTTAAATTTATGTTTTGCCAGAGATGGTCAACTGGGTGCTGTTTTTGAAAAACATCCCCGTCACATGTTGAATTCCTTTGGGGGGCCCTATTTGAGCCGTGGCGAATACTCTTGTGTAAACAGCGGACATATGAACTTGCTTTCGCGAACCCTTGCGCGATGCTTTCGCGACCCCATGTTTTGCTTTACTACTTTGTATTGTCAGGGTTTACGGCGCTGCTCATTTGGAGCCACCAACTCTCCTTTAATTAAATTGATGTTTTGCCCGAGACAATCAACTGGGTGCTTTGTTTGAAAAACATCCCCGTCACATGTTGAATTCCTTTGGGGGAGAGGGGAGAAAATTTGGCCATTTAGCGCCCAGTCCCTGCAGTGTTCACCGCGTTCTCTGGCCACGAGGCAAAAAGGTGTTCATTCCTATTGTAGCTTTTGGTGGTGGGTTGCATGCTGAAGCCAAAACCCGAAAGCAGGGTGTTCTTTTTGTTGCCCGCAGAACATCTCCCCTGCCAAAGGAAACTCATCTGCAATGGGCCACAAAGCTGATGTTTTAAACGCATTAACAAAAATATTCTACCCAGCTGAAAGAGACTCCGGTGAAAGGAACCCCGATCGGGGCTTACCACACCCCGAAGTGCTGACTAGGGATCTTAAAACCTACGAACCTACGTAATTTTGGAGCCCCAAAATATCCCCAAGACTCCATTGATCGGACGTGTAGGGCAACTACCAGGGTTCCAGTGCGGGGTTGCCCCAAGTTTTGAGTGGAATAGCCGGAACCCAGAGGGTCGCTTGGTTCTTGAGGATGGCTTTTGAGGGGTCAAAAAGAGGTCCTTCAGCACGTGCTCCTTCAGTACGTCCTTAGAAGGTACCAGGGAGGGGACCCTCTGGGAAGTGAAGAGTGAAAAAGCCATGGCATCCAGTCAGGAAAGGCTTTAAACTGTACTTTGGGGTTCCCCTAGAATGCATATTTTGGGGTTACCCAATTCTTCACCCACCAGCCAGAAGTACCCGAAAGCCCTTCGTCGCCGCTTCGCTTCTTCCCCGAGCCTTCACCACCTCCACCCCCGGCGCCAGCTCCGGAGCATCCGGCTGGAACCAGTCCGCTTGGATCAGCATGGCCTCGCCACCCGCATCGACGCACCGACCGCCCCGACGCATCGGATGCGAGCACCGAAGGCGACGCCCCAGAAACCCGGTTTCGCGCGGCAAAGAGCAGACATGCTCGAGCCAGCGATTTTGGGAGAGATAGCTGTTTGTTTTTTGAGGAAGACTACAGAAGAAATCATAGACTTGTAGGGGAACACTAAAAGGGGGAGGCTGATCAAAGCAAAATAAGCTCTGGTGATATCCCCACCAGCATGCGGTGCTCTTTTTAATGCTCGCACCACCCCGCGCAGCCCTCGCAGAACCACCCTCGTGGAATTCTGGTGGAACCCTGGTGGAACCCTCGTGGAACCTTACTCAGGGCCGCCCCGGACTATCTGGGCTGAGACCCCAAAGCTTTCAGCTGTTGGGGAATAACATGTTCTTCAACGGAAACCCACACCTCCATCGGTTGAGAAGGTGGTCGAAAAGGACAACCCAAAGTAAAGCAACTCACTTGCCCAAAGCACCTGGAAATAGAAGGTTAACCTTTTGGGGCCTTCACTAAAAATGGTTGCCAACATGGGAAAACCAAAAGGTCCAAAGGTCGATTCGCTTTGGGCAAGTGCGGCTTCCCCATTTTGAGGGTTCCTGCTTGCAGTCTAGGCTTGGCCACTTGACTTGGCTTCGGGAGTCCAGGTTTCCTCATGTCCCGAACATCCCCCCCACACCAAACACATCACTCGCTGCCACAAAAGTGGTGCCAGCTACGCCCTGACAAGGAGTCTGTCGTCGATCCCTGTTTGAGGGCTTCGGGAAACAAACAAAAAGCGCATCAAAGACCGGCAACTCGAGGGCTACCTTCCCCATTCTGGGATCCGAATCTTTGCAGGAAACCATCAAAAACCCACAAGAATGGGGAATTCTTTCCAGGGATCCGAATCTTTTCAGGAAACCATCAAAAACCCAACCAAAAATGGCGAATCAACCCCTAGATCAATGTGTTTTGGGTCAGCAAGTGGGGTCCCCGCTGTGTTTCTACAACTTCAAGGGGTCCCCTTCGCGGCTTTCTAAGAGCCGAACCCGAGTTCCAATTAGGCCTTCTCCGTGAGTTTTGTAAACAAACTAACTCTGACCAGCGGTTTCGGGGTCTCGCCCCCCAAAAAACAAACACAAAACCAGCGGTTTCGCCCCACCCCCCCCCCCCCCCCCGCCCCAAAAAAACAGGCGCAGGGACCGCAAACGGCCCACCTGCCACGCGATCTGCGAGATGGAGATGAGGCAAGCACCTCAGCGGCTGCCCAGTGCTTCCCAGCGCTTCCAGTGGCTATCGTAGGCATGCAGAAAAAAAAGGCTGTCCTCAGATGGTTCAAACCCTTCCAGCTGCCCGCCGTTTCTCTCGTCGCTGACTGCCCGCTGAGTTAGGCTGAGCGGCCCAGGATCGGCAGCGTGTCCAAAATCCGCAGCAGCGCCTTCAGCAGCCAAGGCGCAGCCGCCAGCGCCAACTGAGAACATGGCGCGCCAGTTTCGGAGAAAGCGGGGGGGGGGGGGGGCTAGTTCAGGATGGGGGGTAGTTCAGGATGTATGTATGTAGTTCTATGTGTATATATATATATATATGTAGTTCAGGATATATATATATATATATATTATGCCTAAGCAGAATGCATGCATGAAATTGTATGTCTATTTGTGTATATATATATATATATATGTACACGTGCATACTCGTACATGCACATGTGTAAATTTGTAGCCCCGTTTTTGGCAGCTGATTTTAAAGGAACCACCCTCTGCACAAGGAGAAACATAAGCCCAGGCAGTCCCAACAGCTCCGGAGTCCTGCCTGAAAGCTGCCCCGAACGAGCCTAGCTTGGCGGAGACCCTAAAGCTTTCAGTGGTTGGGGCAAACAATACCCTCCATTTGCTTTTTCGCCCCCTAAAAAAATTAAAATCCAGTGGTGAAATCAATTCCCTTTAAAACTAAAAGCGGAACAATTAAACAAAAACAACGTTTCAGCAAATGGAAGGTTCATCTCTGCGACCCAAAATCCGCTTCGGAGTCGGAGCGGCTGGAGCTAGCGCTCCAAGGACCTGCCAGCGCGCGAGTTGGCAGCGCGCCAGTTGGGGCTTCAGCATTCCCAGCAGCCTCCTCGGCCAAGGAAAAGACAGTCCCCAGGTTGGAAGCTTTTCCAGCCCAAGAAAGAAGAGGACTTTTGAGTAGGCTTGCAGGATTAAACCCCCTTTTGGGATGGTGAGCTGTAATTTCAGTTTTGTGGGACGTTCAGGAAACATCGCCTTTCTGTGACTTTGCGGGAGAGTCAACATTATCATCTGCGGATATAAACAGCTTTCAGCTGGTGTCCTCGACTGTGGTAAGGAATTTGTAAGATTTCACCCTTGCTTCTATTGGTAAATTAGCTAATGCGACCCATGTCATCTTACCACAAATGCTGGCGAACACCAATCGTTGCTCATGTGATTAGAGGCTAGAGGCCTCTATTCTTTTGTCACTTATTACTAACTTTCCCAACGGAGGAAATCCAAGATCGCTTTGGTTTGGGCAAGCGAGACTTTCGCAGCAACTAGTCTAAAAGGACTTTCCACATAATATATATATATATATATATATCCATATATGTATATACAATCATGCTGCTTCCGACCAAACAGCATCAAAGCTAGCAAGCCCTACGATTGTTCATCAGAAGGTCCGCCTTGGACAAAGGAAACTCAAAATAAGAGCCCGCGCCGCCTGAATAATAAGCGACTTGCTTGCCCAAAGGACCCGGACATCAAAGATTGACCTTTTGCGGCAATGACTAAAAATGGATCAACATGCCAGAGCCGAAAAGTCAGAAGGTCCACTTTGCCCTAGGTTCAACCCCCATTGAAGGCATGGTCGACCGAATTTGGATGATGACAATCCTTAGGTAAACAATGGTGATGAAATATGGCCATGGGTCAAAATCCCGTACCCCCAGTGAACATCCCGACCCCACTAAAATAGGTTTTAAATGGGTGGTGCACCTACCCCAAAATGGAACCAATAGTTTTGACGCACAGCCATATGACCCATTGATTTAAGGGTGGCCACTGAACCCCTGGGGTTTGGACGACTGAACAGAAGCGACGCCTGAAGTCGAAGAGTCGAAACCAGCGTCTGATGCCACTCGTTGACGGTGAGCACAGACTGGGTCGCCAGCAAGATCATCTTGCTGACCACCGGCACGTCCTTAGGTTCCAAACTGTCATAGCATCTGGGTGTGTTTTCTGTTTTTTATTTATTTTTTTTGTTGGGGGGGGATCCCACACAAATTGTAGTTTTCTTGTTGGTCTCGCTTGAAACAACCCGCCAAAATCACCCAAAGGGTAGCCTCCAAAAAATAATCACCCATCTCTCCCGCCAATTGTTGGCCCCCCAAAACAGCCCCCGTGATCTTGGTGGGGCATTGGGCTGGGCAGTAGTCTGATCATTTCCTGATGCGAGCTACTGCTCGCAACCAGCAAGGATATTTCTCAAGGGGACCCCCCCAAAATAGTTGGCTTTCCTATTGGTTTCCCCGTTTAAAATAAGGGAAGGTTCAGGTTCCCCTAAATTAAGGCACACTCATATTCATAATCTGCAAATTCCACACTAGCTCCCCTGAAATCATGGATTCGCAAGTAAACGACCTACATGATGCTGAGCTCGTTTTACCCCGGCATTGGCAAGCTCGCCACAATGGGCAGATAAGATCTAGCTGTTCAGCAAAGCTGCCAAACAACTGTATGCCCAGACGCCACGCTGCTGACATGTGCCAGCTCCTTGACAATGTGCATCAATCGCCTCATGTTCAGGTTGCAGGAATCCGGAGGACCATAGTCCAGAACCCCCCTATGAATTGCTTCCCCACTAGAAAGAGAGTAACAGCTCAATGCGGTCTTCCAAATAAATCCGTGATTGGTTTTACCCCCCAAACCTGCAATGCTCAAATTTCTGAGAGAGTAACAGCTCAATGTGGTCTTCTACATAAATCCGGGATTTCTGCAACCTGAAATTTTAGGGAGCCCTAAGTAGAGGACCTTTTTTTCATGGCTTTCGCTCGTACCTCCGAATCAGCGAGCTCGCCATAGGCAAATCCCGTGTTTCCGCTGAACACTGTTTTCAGGACCGAGGGGTCAGGGAGTCTCATTGGAGAGTACGTAAGGATGTTCGATTCGCCAAGTTAGGAGTGAGCCACTTGGGGTAATACCCCCCTTGATAACAAAGTTCACCCACTGAACGAGGGACTTCTAAGTGGGTTATGGCCAAGGTTATCAACAACTTACTAACTTGGCCAAACACCCAAGTAGAGGTCTCTCATTGGGTCAGCGTCTGGGTTCACCGACATCTTCGAAACAGAAACCGGGCTCAGGAGCGCACTGCTTGTGTAGCATCTCCACATAGATCAAGCCTAGGCCGGTGCAATGGTTGGATGGATGCCTCAAGAGCGCTCCAAACACCGGGCAACCGCTCTTGAGGGCTTCCCAAGAAAAATGCATAGCCATTTTGTTCGTGTTGTCATTAGACAAACCAACATCAGGATGTTCCCTGTCAACTCAACCGGTTAGAGCGGCACAAGGGGTGGTCGTGACCCCTCCACTAGAGGGTGGTTTCCGGTCAAGAGGGTACGAGTGTAGTCCATGTGCAAGATCTCGCGGCTAGGTGGCTGTACTTGGCTCTTTCCTTCATGAAGTGGAGCTCAGTCTCAGCGTTGACCCGCTCGTACTCGTTCCCATAGATGGCGATGACCTGCCGATGTATGTAATATGTACTAGTTATAGATGTATACATGGTCACTACAGACAACCCACAGGTATTGGGGTGGGTCATTGGGGGAGGCATGTACATATTGCGGGTTTCTAGAAGAAAACATGGGCCTACGGAATGATCCGGGCCTCAAGTCGTCACGCAGCCTGTTTTTAGTTGCCAATGTTGGCCGTGCTTAACAAGGTCGATCCCATCACAAGCTTGAACGCTCAAGTCATTTGTCTTTTAGACACATGTGCCACACAGGCCACTCAGGCTCTTATTACTCGTAGGCAACCGTGGGTCAAGACATTACTAAGCTGGTTTAGCATGACAAGCAAATCAAGGAGATGCAACAACGCCTTGATTTGCTTCAGCAACAACAGCAGATTTTGGCATCTGAGGCATTGAGTTTTCAAGAAGATGCAATGCAGAGTTCGGCTATCCATACTCACATCGCGGAGGAGGTCAACTTTCGAGACCTCTCTTAAAGCAGGAAACTAGAATGTCTACCGAGTTCCTGGAGTTGAATTCGATGTTGTGCTAGCTTCATGCGCCGAGTTCACGATTTAAGAGATCCGCAAATAGCGTTTCAAATGAGATGATGAAGGGTTGACATTGTTTTTTTGCAGCAGGAAAAGCCGCTGCATCGTATTTTGGGAGAGCTTGATGTGACCACATCTTCGCTCGGGGTTTTCACACAACTACCTATGTGGTGTGGGTGGGAGAAGCCTCCAACCCTTGACAACTGTGACGTCCACGACTCGAGGCTTCCCGGTGGTCCTCGCGGATGAATTACTGGGATGGGTGTAGTTTGGGACATGTTCCCCAACATCCAGCCTCAAACTACCCATAAAAGAGGGAATTCACCCCATAATTTCGGGCAATAGCCCATGTTTAAGGGAATCGTGAGGTCGTGGCATTTTACTTTTCTGGCTTGCGAAGCAGGGCAACCCCCCCAAGGCCCTTCAAGCGCAAGATCCACCTTCAGCATGCATAAGGTGGGTTTACCTCAGATGGGTATGGGTCAAAATCAAAGCACCAGGGGACCGCAGGTTTTAGTCCTCGTTGCCATTCACCAGGGCCCCATTTTGGCTACCTGTTATTGACCCACACCCAGATGGGCTTACCGCCCCAAGTCCAGCTGGGGGATGTCCCCAAAGCCTCAGATAGCTCAGTGCTTGGCTCCCATCCGACCCCCACCCTCGGGAGCTCGTGTCGCCCGCCCCCCGCCGAAAACCGAAAATCAGCGGGCACGTTCTCCAAAGAAACCCGCCCTCGCCAGGCTCAGATTTTCGTGCATCCTGCAAAAAGACACCTGCAAAGGGGCCGGGGGCTCTTTGAACAGTCGGCCTTTCACAAGAATAAATAAATAATAACAGCCACAAAACACCTACAAAGGGGCCTGCGGCTCTTTTGAACAGTTGGCCTTTCACACACACACATACACAAAAAAATATAAATAATAACAGCCGTTTCAGCACATCCCAACTCCACCTTCCCCCATCCGAAGCCCCCGCCAGGTTCAGGATGGTGATGTTAAAAAGGATGGTACCAGAGACCATAAACAGCACCAGCGCCACCTGGATTCGAACGGAGCCTCGGGCCTCACCCCTCGGGCCCCTCGGTCCCCATCAGGAGACTTAGGGCCTCTCAACAGATCATGCGCAACACGGCAAAGAAGATGGGTGTGGCTCAAAAAACCGATACCAAAATGGAACCCTGGAAAGTGGAAACGTGGGCCAAAACCTGCGTAACCCCTGCTTTTTAGTTTTGAGCCATACCCATATGGGTGTATAACAATGGCCATCCTGGAGATTCAAACACCCAGACATTTCTGGGCGTTTTGGGTAATGGGTACAATTGGAGAAAAACTGGGCGTTCTAGTACGAACCGCTGGAAAACTAGTACAAAGGCTGGCGTCTAAGGTGCTGCCGACTGTTTGGGAGGACATTTGAGCCAACAACTTCTGACAGCAGTGTCCTTTTGCAGTGCTTGCAGGTCCCTTTGCAAGCATGACCGAACATCGGTCCCAAATCATGGAGTGGGGGCAGTGCATGCAAACAGACCCAATTGACCCATTTTTCGGGATTTGCGCTCGTTTACGGTTTTTTTGCGGGCGTTGTGCGGGTTGTTGTGCTCGGTTTGCGGCCAACAGTGGTACGAACAAAGAGCATGTCTCACCCAAAAGATGTTGACACTAAACTTGCCCCGAGTTGCGCACCACTCCCCCGTACATCTAGGGTTGAAGGGCTTTGATGGAGAGAGGGTTTAAAGGGTTGTCGAGTTTACAAGTTGCATGCAGAAGATTCAAAACTCAGGCTTAGTGGGCAACATCAAGCCGAATGAGGGAGAAAGTTCTGTGCAAGAAGGAAACACCCAACAATTCTAATTTCTGGGCGTCTTAGTCGTTTTGCGGTAAAAGTGGTACGAAACAGGCAAAAGCAACACAATGACCAAAACCCAAGCATAGTCTTCGCAAACAGTTTAGAGTCCAGGAACTCCGGAGACTCTGTACATATTATACCATGGTTATTCACCAAGCGGCAGACCGCAGAAGTTACCCCCCAAACCTGACCAGCCCCACCATAGCGAAAGTGTCGTTTGTATCCTATGGTTCCCGCCCTCACCCCCCCGTGCTGTTCATTCACCCCGTCTCACCCATTTTGGGCTGGACAAGGTTGTCTGAGGTTCCCTGTTCATTCACCCCCTCCCTCTCACCCACTCGAAGGCTAGCCCATCAGCACGTCACGTGCTCGCCTTGTTGTCGTTGTTGTCACTGCCCAGCATGAGGCCCATCCGGTCAAGGCCGTCCTAGGCCCAAACTGGATTGCGCTTCCTCACGAAAAGGTCTACCCTCCCACTGACTGACATGGAAGTACACAGACCCCTGTAGAAAGACGACTTTCCTCTTGGAAAGGGGCCAAATGTGCACTTCCATGAAAGTTGGTGGGAGGGTAAGGCTTTGCAATGGACTAGCCATTTCTTTCCAACAAGGTCCAAGGGGTTCGCACCACAGACCAGCCATGCAAAGACTCCCGAACCGAATGGCTTTACCTAAAGTGTCGAAAGCTCCAGGTTTGTGGCTTGGTTCAGGGGTGCATGAATACTTGGTTGACGTTGGAAGGGGAGCAAAAATGTAACTTGTTGCAGTTAGTGGGGATTTCCCACTAATCCACAATAAGCAAAAATTAAAACACATCCCAACAACAACCATGTTAACATGCCTGCATGGGAAATTCGATTATCAGGGATGGGTTGCGCGTGCGTGGTTGCATTTGCCGCGCTCGGGTCACCAAATTGGGCCTTAGCTGTTGGGGGGCTTTGGGGGGAGCTGGATCCCAAGCTTACCCCAAGTATGTCAGCAAAAACCTGATTTGCAAATAGGCCCGAGCAACAGCACAACCAAAGCACACACAAAGTCATAAACCAATTGGCTGCAAGTCATGGACTAAGTTTGGCGCTACATCTACGATATTCAATTACCTCTCCTTTTGAACCAAGGTTGTGAGGGAATCACGAACCGGTACCATAAACAAACATATTGTAGAAAATCCCCGGAATCTGTGCTACCAGTGTGGGTATTCACAATGACTGGTTCCCGTGTCACTTGAGGGATCTCGGGTATCACAAACAGTGGCACCCTGAATTCCTACTGTGGATGGACGAAATCCTGCACCACCTACAAAACCCTGGAACCATGACTCCCCTGTAAATACCAACAAACAGTTATTTCCCATGGTTTCTAAGTGGTGCAGGATTTCGTCCATCCACGGTATCTTTTAGACAACATGGGCAGATACCCTCCCCGGAAGCTCAATGGGGAAGCTAAATTGCGAGCCCAAATCCTCGAGGCTTGAGACAAATATCACGGCCTCGAATTGAGGCCTGAGATGCAACACACACATGTGATACTGTGGATGGACAAAATCCATTTCGCACCACCTAAGAAGCCCTGGAATGGTCTGATTCCCTGTAAATACCAACAAACAGTGGTTTCCCATGGTTTCAAAGTGGTGCAGGATTTCGTCCATCCACGCTTGAATGATCGAAATTACAGGGAAAAAGGGCCAGGTTCTCTTTTCACGGTCCGTCAATGTTTGTTCTAGGGGTTCACTTCATGCCCAGGTGACCGGTGTTTTGACCACAAAATGGCCCGCGCTTTGCAACAACATGTGCAGAGCGATGTGGCTTGGAAATCTCTTGGAAGCGACCAACCGAGCAGGCCGTGTTTTTTTGGGATATTGATAGGTCGCTTGGCTACGCAATGGGACAACCACTAAAATGCTTGAACAACCCACCCTCACACGTTCAGGAAAACAAACAAGCTCAAACCCACCCTCCGACACAAAAGCACGCTCAAGCGCCACAGTTGCCTTGAACCATTGAACACAGGATGATGACAAACCTATGTCATTCCCAGAAATAATCTAGCCTTCCAAACCAACTTGATCTCTCTCCTAAACCAGACGCAGACCTAGCCTTTTGAGCCGCAAACCGACCCTGAACCAGTCCAAAAGCAGCCAACGACGGTAGACACAGCCGCAATTCAGCTGCAAACCTCTCCTCACCTGAGCCGTCCAAACCAACAGCTGTTCTCCTAAAACGAGGTTCACACAAAGACAACCAAAACCCAGCGCCTGCATAAATGAGCGGAGGTGGTATCCCCCAAATTTTTGGGGTTCCCCTCCAGAACCTTATGGATCACTCCGGAGCATATCTGGGGCCAGAGTCCAGAGCTTTCCTTGACGTTGGAAGGGGAGCAATTGCTTTTCAACTTTTAGGTGGAGAGACACCAAGTTCCCAAGGCGTCCGGGTGGTTCACCAGGCCAGGTGGTTGGAAGGTTCACCGCCTTTTCTTGGTTGACGTTGGAAGGGGAGCAAAAAAGATAGCAGTTAAGTGGGGATTTCCCACTAAACCACAGCAAGCAAAAATGAAAAATGATTCCCAACAACTACCATGTTTCGGGGGGAGGGCAGTATGTATGCCACTTTCGTTCCTTGATCCCTTGTTAAAACCTGAACAGTTAAAACTTGTTACTCTCCCCCTTGGCCCCTTGTGGATTCCCGCTGGCATAGTTTAAACCGACCTGGAGGATATCTGGGCCCAGAGTTTTCAGTCGACGTCTTCAGGGCCGGGGCGCGCCGTCGCCAAACATGAGGCCCCGGTAGAGATAGGTCACCGTCCAGGCCTGTTGGCATGGTCAGGTATGGTTGTTGGAGGTAGGGAGGTGATAACTATAAATATATATATATATGTATTTATGAGTATACAATTATATATATACATATATATATATACAATATGAATATGGATATGAATACGTATATAGATACACATATGCCACGTATAGACGGAGTACATACTGCCATACCACCATTGTTTGGTGGCATACAAGCCTCCATACCAGCAATGCCTCGTGGCAACAAGCTAAGAGGTCCTTGCAGTCGACACTCTTAAACCCTTGCGCGCTAAGGGACGGAGCAACTCCTGAAAGGCAAAGGATTCCCAACTTGGGCCCGGCCACCCCCTATTCTCCATTTGCTGTTCGTCCCGTGCGAAGAACAAAATAGGTCCAGTAGGGATAGACTCCCTTTAAAACCAACAGGTTTTAAATGGAAGTACATCATACATCAGCTGTTCCACTACGTGTCCTTCTTTGAATTACTGCCCTACACAGTAGATTGACACGGAACCAACTACAACACACGTGATTTAGTTCAACATCTCCTTCGAGGGGACCCTCAAAGGCAGGGTCCATGTTGGTTGGCCTAAAGGCGAGTCATCTCGGGCCCCGTAAGCAGTCAGGACGAAAAAAACGTCGCGGGCTCTGGACCTGCAAATAGCAGGTGATCACCTGAAAATGGGAACCCAAAATTAGAAAACTCAACTCATGAGCTTTGCATGGGCAACCCAATGGTGATGTTTAAAGCCAGACAAGGAAATACAGTGCCCCTGAGTGAAAATAGAGCTTGTGTCTTCAGCGCTCAACAGCTCTCAACATGTTCATAAGTCGCACTCAATGTTCACAGAAGTCAACACGAGTCAACATGCTCTCAACATGTACCTGGAGTCTCCATGACCCTTTAAAAATAGGTCCATGACCCCATGGTTTAGGGAAATGACCAACCATTTTTCAAGGGTCATGGAGACTCCAGGTAGTTCCAAGCGGTGCATCGCAAACTTTTCCTTGGTTCCCCGACGTTCTTTGGCCTCCACCTCTCAAGTTGTTGGACATGAATTCCCACCCAAATGATGTCTACCAAAGGTGCCAAATAAAATTTCCCCCCCCCCCCCAAGACTGGGTGTGCCGGTTTTTAGGGACGCCCCAGAATGGATTTCAGCTTTCCGTTTGGTTTCGCTGCTCGTTCCTCTTGGTTCTCTTCAAAGCGAACCAAAAAGCGGCACCCTCAATAAGGCTTGTTACATCTTGTTACCTAAGTGTTATCCCCAACACTCCGCAACCCTCCCTGAAAGCCGCCCGAACCAGAGCGGCTAAGAGAGCAGAACCCCCACAGCTTTCAGCTATTGGGGAAAAAGCGGCTCCCTAAAACAAACACAACCACCGGGCCCCAATTGGTTTTCCTCTTCGTTTGTTCCCCGTGAAACAAAATGCATAGTTACCCATCAATCTAGGGGTTGGTTCCTTGTCCATTCTATTCAATCATCCTTCTTTCCAAAAAAGCCGTTTTTTTTTCCCCGGGGCTTCCGGAGGGTCTCTCTAGAAAGAATCGGACCCCCCTGGAATCAAGCGCTACCCTCGGAACATGATTCGACCGAGGCAACCAGTTGTAGAATGTATATTCTGTGGTTTTCTTCCCTTCGAGTCACGGGTAAAATGTATTTTTTTTCCTAAGTCTACCCCAGCAATGAACAAAAGGGCGAGGCAAAGTCCCTTTCTAAGTTGTACTTAGGACCCCCCTTAAAACTTCCTTTAAACCAACTACCTACCAATCAAGCGGTACCGTCTCCAAACAAAAAAGACGACCCAAGCCCGACCACGGATTCAGCCCTGAGCTGCCCGACAGCATGCTCTCGCCGGATCAAGGTCAAGAAGGCGAAGGAGAAGGAGGCCTCGGCCAAGGCCGACGGACCCTTGGCCCAGCCACGAAGCATCGCCGTCTCAAGGCGGACAACGCGGGATCCAGGCAGAGCAACAGTAAAAGACAACAAGACCCAACAAAGATAAAGAAGGAAATAAAGAAAGGAAAGAAGGAAAGAAAGAAAGACAAAAAGAGCGAGCAAACGAAATAAATAAATAAATAAATAAACAAAGGAAGAAAGGAACAAATAATAATAATAAAAAAGGACATAAACAAATGAATAAGAACAAATAAACACCAACAAACAAATAAAAAACAAAATGCAGAAAGAAAGAAAGACAGAACAAAAAGAAAGGACAGAAGGAAAGACATAGAGAAAGAAAAGAAAGAAAGAAAGAAAGAAAGAAAGAAAGAAAGAAAGAAAGAAAGAAAGAAAGAAAGACATTAAGGACGACAGACAGACTGACTGACTGCCAAGCGGATTGACCGGACGAGCAAAGAGTCCGGAAGTGAAAGGTGGATTTTTGCGAAGGAGCCATGATTCTGCTTGCCAACTATGCTCGACATCCATTTTCTCAGCAGTCATGCTCACTCCGCGTGAGAATATGCTAGTGTTGCACCGCCATTGACCTAGGAAATGATGTGGCGACTAAAAGGCGATCGACCTTGGGGTTGCCATCACTACTTGGCCCAAGGTACACGAAAAAACGTGTTCAGAATCTGTTTCATGTATGGTCCCGCCAAAGGTATGAAACATGTCTGAAGGAGACCCCAGAGAAGGTCCATTTCGGCATGTCAAAATAAAAGACCCGGTTCCCTTTGCCGCTAAATCTGTCAGCCAAACAAAAACGGAGGAGACCCTTTAAGGAAAGGAGAAGCAAAGGGCTGCACCACAGAGTCTTGCAGAATCCCAGCGAGGGAATCCCAGCGAGTTTCTATCCTTGCCGAAGCGTCCTAATTCTAGGGGCAGCTTCCCCGTGTTTTCAGGGATCAACCAAAAATCCTGATAATTGCCTGGTTTTTGAAAGGAACGATGGCTGAAAATAATAAGGAATCCCCTAGACTAATGGATTTGTTGGGCTCCCAAAACGCTTCTTTTGAGACCCTCCCAAGTTCTGCAAACCAAGCCCCGATCGGACCGTTTGGGTTGTGAAACCACTGCCAGCACTAGTTTTCATCCTTGAGGTTGAGTCATCTTTGCACGGTGAGTCGGAGCAACCCATCACATGGGCCGGTCATTACATGGCCCGGTCATTTCTGCGTGAATAACTGAGAACAACCAAGACTCAGCCCCTAAGCTTGACTCGCTTTTGGCAACCAAATAGAACCCGGCAACTTGGACATCTGTACTACAAGAAAGCACTTGTTCTATTTCTATTTCATATTTGGCCTACAAACTAAAAGCCTTGGACATTTACATGTTTGCAAACGAAAGATGCAACCAACTGGATTTCGATTCGTTTTGCACAGTTGTCCACCAGCTTTTTCTGCTTCATATTCGTTTTGGAGGAGACCCCAGGCACCCAACTGCCCTTCGACTCCATCGAGTCGTCTCTGATCGCTTGTCCGAGCTGCGAAGATCATCAACTGGGCGCGGCGAGCACCAAAGCCATGTTACCCCAGGAGGATATGCGTGCTGCCCTAAGGGTCTTGGTGCTTGGTATGCCAGGGGTCCCCGTACCGCACCACAAGTTGCTCTAGGCGTCATGAAAAACCAGAAGTTTGGAGCCAACAAATCCATCAGGACCCGTGGAGTAATGCAACTCCCAATAGACCTCTTCAACTCCAGTGGACCTCTACTTTGAATGGACCTCCCAATGGACACTGTTGTTTTGTGGGCAAACGACCGAAAAAAAAGGAAAGGGTTCATTGAGGTCCAGGTCCATGCGAGCCCCTTTCCTCGGACCTTCAAGACGCTTTGTCACCATGCCCATGACACCTTACGAAGGAGCCATAACCATATCATCTTTGGGCCTTTGGGTGGAAATAAGTTGAAACCCGAAATGGTGGACGTCAATTACGTGAGGATTTATGTCCAACCGTTCTGTAGGGTGTTCCAACTAACCAAATCATATTTATGTGTTTTGGCCCAAAAGGTCTGCACGGCACGTGTCTAAGGCTGCGAAGCCAATCAAAGGTCTCATAGACCCTAGTGGCCGCCGACTCCTTGTTTAAACATGATTAAGAAAGCTCTTGTTGGCTTTCCTTAGGGGCTAGCGCCTGGTTTCAACACACTTTACCCAACCCTGCTGTCGTGGACTAGAAATGGAGCAGGAAGGCTTTGATGCCAAAAGGATACGAGCTGGACTCGTATACGCAAGGCTCGGGGTCTCGTCATCTGGACCCAAACCACCCAAGACCACAAAATGTTCGATCAGGGATAGGGGTGAAGCCTGCGGAAGCCCGAGGCCAAATGGTTGTCTGGGATAGATGGCAACGTAGAAACCATGCAAGCCAGGGTGGCAAGTAGATGGCACAATGACCTTGATGGGGGTAAGTTGAGGAAGATGATCAAATTGGGGAAGTTCTGCCAGCAACATTCACCCAACTGTAGCCCCCCTTCATGATGTTCCTTCTAACTAGGGCTATCCATTTGCCACTTGGAAAAGGCGGGTCATGAACAGGAGGCCTGGAACACCCTTTTGGCGCCCTTTGGGGAAAGGAAACAGTTGTGGGGCCGGTTTCGTTTGAGGGAACCTCGTTTTGGGTTCTTACAAAGGAAACCAAATTGAAAACACAGGCTTGGGGAGTTCCCCTTTTAGAGACAAACCCATTACCACGCAGACCGTGATTTGAAGACTCGTACATCCATCTTTTCCTTCACGCACATCATTCCTAAGTCAAAGGAAGGGGAGTTTCGGTTGAATGCCCAGGAACACAGGGAGGCCACGGAGGATACTTTGCTGAAGAAGTACCAGGCTCCACTCGAAAATGACGCCCTTTTGCTGCATGCGCTGCAAAATCCCAACTATCAGGGGGCCTCAGCAGATTTTACCCTCAGGCGAGCTCATCATATTAATTAAGCAAATGCAAGCTATCCACCTCAAAACCAGAGTGCACGGAACCCACTAATAAATTCATGGTTGACCAAACAGACAGGATGGTAGATTTAAAGGTAATGCTGGACTACGAACAGGGCGTTCAAGAACACTTCGAGGTCGACATCCAGCGATTGGCCCAAGGGGCAGCAATCAGCAACATCTCCAGGATGGTGCGACTGAAGAATGTCTTAAAGATGGCCAGAATCCTGCTCTCACTCCCGTTCCAACCTGGACATACAAGGCTCTCACTCCTGTTCGAACCTGGACATAGCTGATCTCACCTTTTTTGGGGCCAACCCAACATAGGAACATCGAGTAAGGCACGAAGCCGTCGACAACTTCTGAAGATCCAAAACTCCGAGCGACAGCTTAGGTCCGTAACTCCAATACAAGAAACAATGTTCATACCGAGAGGCTAAATTTAAAACGACTGAAGGCGAGCGCACCCGACTGAAGGCGAAAGGCGAGTGTACCCGCCGTTAGCAACCGATACGTTGGCAAGGCCGCTCTCCACACGTCAACAAAACGTCATGGCTCCCGTAATAGAAATATTTGTCATCATGCCCAATGCTCCCATGTACTATAGCAGATAAGGCAGGAAAAAGTAAGGATGTTTGTGAAGTCTTGGCCAGAATTTGACCCCATGCGAAGAGTTAGCTTTCTGCTGGTTGCAGTGGAACACGAAGGAAACCTAAACGGACAACAAAAAACGGGTCTGTGAAGTGATTGGCTCAGTCCTCTTGAAGCGGTGCAGCAGGCGCAGCATGTAAGTGACCGCGAAGCCCTGCGCGAAAGTGTTGATGGCCAACATGCCCTGCTCCCACTCCGACATCACCTGGGCTGAGTTCCGACAACAACTGCTCATTCCTTCTTGGTTAACGTTGGAAGGGGAGCAAAAAACTAATTTCTAGCAGTTGAGTGGGGAATTACCACTAAGCCACAATAAGCAAAAATCAAACATGTTTCCCAACAACATCCATGCCTTAGCCTGTGAGAAAAACGGAGCCTTTGGCAACCACTTTCTAAACGTGAGCCGAACTAAAACACTTGCCAAGAGCAGTGCGGCGGCAAACTGTGCGTTTGACCCATGAATATGGCCATGGGTCAAAATATCCCAATCCCCACTAAAATAGACTAAAACGCTAAAATGGGTGGTGCACCTACCAACCAAAATCGGATCCCAAACGGTTTTGACCACCGCAGCCATCTGGGTACACCACTGAGGTCAAAGCGACTCAGTGGTCCGCTTGTGGGAAGCAAAGTGGCGCCGCCAAACCCTAGTTCCTACCACTGGCCCAGGTGTACTTATGTCACAACCACCCAGCCTAACATCGAACTTCGGGGGACCATCTCCCCGAAAAAAAAGAAGAAGAAAAAACTACACTTTCGGAGCTTGCACATGTACCTACGGGCATGGGTCGAGTAGCTCGGGTGTGCGAAACGACAGTCCATTGACCCGGGCCCAGTATCGAACATAGGCTCTGCGTATTGACCGAACCTCACCTGCTAAACCCCAAAGAGAACCAAGAAAGGAACCCCCAGTTTTGGGGTGCCCTATTTTAAGAAACACGCGCGCATACTTATGTTGCCTTCGACCCTCACGTGGCCTGCGGACTTGGATCTGAGGTACTCCTTCGTCCTAAAAGGCAACGGTTGCCTTGGGTTGCCTACTGTACGAATATGGGCAAGGCATGGAAGCCACTTCTCCATTCTTAAATCCACCCGTATTAATAGATGCTGCTTATTGTTCAGGCCAAAATCCAAAATTGGCAGGGGGGGAAGGCCCCCGGGCATTGAATAATACGGGGGAGGGAGTAAGTGGCTGGGTGTCCTTGACTGTTTGTCATGTATTGTCGACTCCGGATTGATCAACCTGCTGGATGTACGGGGAGCAGGGATTCCAACAAGAGGTAAAGATTCCCTGTTACAGGGGACACCCCCATCTTCATCAAACAGTGTATGAATCCTGGGAGACAACCATGTAAGTTTTCATAGGGGCCCCCCTTCATGTCAATTCCGGATTAATATTTAGTGGGGATTCATCACCCTTGGAGGGAACACCCCCCTAATCGGACGGGTTTTATGAATCCGGGGTCAACATTACAGAGCTAAGTCCAAAAGCCAAAACCCCAAACCCTAAGTCCAAAAGCCAAAACAACAAACCCTAAGTCCAAAAGCCCAAACAAATGGATTTCCATGCCTGCCGAAGGCGCCGGGTCGTGGTCCGGAAAGAAGGAGTCGTAGAGGCAGGGCAGCACCAGCAGCAGGCGGCAGGACAGCGTCAGGAGGGAGGACAGGAACCAGGCGTCCGTAAAGAAGTTCACCCTTGGCTCGCAATCCACGAAAGGATACAAACATCAACTCCAGAGTCCAAGGGCAGGATTCTGAGGTTCCCTGTTTGGTGTGGTTGATTTATACTTGGTTGGCGAGCACGACACTTCTGCGTCACTCCGCCCAGCCTCGTCCCTTCGAGGCACGACGCCTAAGCAGTTTTTCCTGAGTCTAGAATAAATCCAACACCTATAGCCTTGGTTGACGTTGGAAGGGGAGCAAAAACTTTTCAATTTTAGCAGTTAAGTGGATTTGGATTTCAACCACTCAACCACAATAAGCAAACTTGTAAAATGTGTCCCAACTACAACCATGTAAGGCTCGCAATCCACGAGACCAAAGAATAAAAGCATCTGCCTTCGTGGGTGTTCGTCCAGGTCAGTAAGTTGCTGGTACCCTAGGGTTGTAACACACTTGCAAGTCCCCACAAGTGGGGTTGTGAAGAAAAAACCTGGGTTTCCACGACCATTAAACCCTTGGGAATCGGTGGTTCGGTGGCTGCAAAAGGCAGTGTTCAAATGCAGATCCAAACCACCAACCAAGGGTTACGTGAAAACCCTGCCTTGGCGTTTTTCGGGGCCCTCAGAAGAACGGAGAGTCCGCCAACAAATATGGGTGTGTGCTTTAGTGGGAGGAATGGCTGTGCTGCGTTGTTGTTCCTTTTGGTTTCCCTTCAAATATATTAGGGTCACCTACCGAAAGCTAGTTACCCCAAAAGAAGACAAACCATACACTCACTTGCCCAAAAGACCTGGACATAAAAGGTTGACCTTTTGGGACCTTTACTAAAAATGGTTGACAAAACGGGAAAACCAAACGGTCAAAAGGTCGGCTTTGGGCAACCAAGTATATAAACTCGGGGCATCTAGCCTCGGTCCCAGGAACTCAGTTTCCCCAAGGCAGGTCAAAAGACGCCCTTTCCTCATTTCCGATCGAGTGGATGGGCCAAAAAGTCCGTTTTGGTTGTGTTCCTGTAAAATGGTCCAATCATAAAAAGTGATTCTAAGTCCGCAACGGAACTCAGGGAGTGAGTGTTTCTCTTGGAAGAACACAAAAAACAACCAAACAGGGAATTCACCTCAATATGTTGGGGGCAATAACCCATGGCATGTTTAAAGGAAATTAGAGAGGGCTCAGGTACCCTCAAATGCCCAGTGGCCATGCGAAAAAAAGGGCACCCTTTTTTTGTTGGTTGAGTTTAAAGGGGAACCCTTATAAAAAGGAAAAATGGTCACCGCTGGGCAACTGGGGTACCCTCAAATGTGCAAAAGAGGACCACACCCAGGGTCCAGGTCTGCTCTGACTTCCAAGCGTCGGATGCCACAAGGACTTCATGGTGGCGTCGGTGTGGGAATGCCACTTGCTCCAGTGAGCCAGGGACCACCAAAGAAGATTTAGTCCTGGGCTTGGTTGCTGTTGACCCCCTGCAAACAGTTTAACTGTTTGGGGGTTTAGTGGAAAAAAACTTGATTTCCCAATAACGTCCAAAGATCCAACCCAATAGCAGTCAAGTGGGAAACGCAAAAACATGCCCCGGGCCTCTTTCCCCATTTAATCCAGGTAGCACTAGGTAACCAGGCGAGCCATGTCCAAAACGTGTCATGATTTGCTAAGTCGCATCATTTTGATTACGCCACTAGCTTACGCCACCTTCTGCGCGTGGAGTGTTTCCTTACGCGACACATTTGGAGGTTTTGCTCACGCCAATAGCTTACGCCACCTTATACGCGCATGGCTTTGTTGCTTACGCACAGGTCGATATGACACGACTCTTACTAAACATGTACACGGAGGTTTTGGACGCCGCTCAGTTGTTGTTGTAATTAGGTTTCACATGAGATGATTGTTCCTCCGGGTTTCCTCCGCTTCCAGGTTCTACATGACATGCGTCTTTGTGTTCTCCTTTCGGGTTGCCTACAAACCCCAAAGAGAAGGGCCTCCAAGAGGAGATTCCTCAAAACATAGATGGCATAAGACCTACGGAAAGCAGTGGAACCCATCCATCCGATCAAAAAAAAACACACCTATGAGTCCATTGGTCCTTAAATATTTGACTCCCATCCCTGTACTTGCCTGCGGCAACCCTGGGCTTGTTGAGAAATTATGCACCAAGGGTCTGATGTGGGCACTCATGGGTGATGTTCCTTTGGTTTCCAGACAAACCATCGAGAGCAAACGGGAAGCAGTACTCTAAAACCGTTTCAACCAGTTGCCCTCCACAAGACGAGGTTCAGATCCGAATAACCACCAGTCCAAACCAGCGACAAAATTGGGGTCTCTCTTCTTGAGGGCACCCCTTCCTTGGTGGTTTTAGAGGCAAACCAAGAGGCCAACTACAAGCTTGGGGAGTCCCAAACAAGACGCACCCTTGGGCTGTAAGCAAAGCACGCTGTCTTGAAGCCACTAAGCATGAAGAGAACCAAACACCCAAAAACGTAACCCACATGAGTCACAATCAAAACGTGGTACAAAAATGGCGAACCCAGAACCATGCTTCAAGAATTAAGAAGGCGGATATCCGCGCCTATTTTTGGATCGTCCCTCACTAACCTTCATCTACCCGGGTTTGGATTGTGACTCACATGCCAAGAGCTACTCTTTGACATTGGAGATCCACGTGGATCACAGAAACTGGCAAACCCAATTTGCCGCCTCCTTTCCCAAATGTGAACGGTCTGACCCGGCCATTGGCGAGTGGGCTGACTTAAAACTGAATTCAATCATTCTCCAGTGGATGTAGGCAACCAAGGAGCCACTTTAACAACAAGCAACACTTGTTACTTGTTGGTTGCCTACTATGAGGACAACTGGAATCCACCTGGCAAGAATTCAGAAGCGCAACAGTGAGCTCGGAGGAATGATTCCGTGCCATTGCAGGAAAAGGAAAGCTTTAAGCGAGCGACCGAGTTGTTTGCTTCGGGCATTGGGGCAACGCCCCTGCACCTCGTGCATGAGATTGGTGTCTCTTCCAACTTGTCCCATCTGGAGATACAGAAACAATTACATCTTCAGACATGTCTCATAGTCTACCCGAAAACAAAACGGGAAACCCGAATAAGGCCACGGTAGCCAGCCTGTGAGATTGGTCGAGTACCTTACCTTGCTCGGCTCGGCAACTCCATCGCAAAGGCTGTTGCTTGGATACTCTGCGGTTTAGCAAAGGGGCTAGCAACCTGAGTTGACCCCACTTGGCCCGCGCAAACCTTTGGCTCAGTTGTTCAGTGACCCTGGGAAAAAAAGGGAACCCTTTTTGGGGAAGACCATTTGTAGTGGGGCAGCCACAAAAAAATATATGAAAAAGGGTGCCACTGAACAACTGAGTTGGAAGTCCGCTACTTGAATTTGTCCGAACTTAACAACTTGCTATGGCCGAACACCCAAGTACAAACCATTCAGCATAGGTGTCCTGTTGGGAAAATAGATGGCCCTGCTGGATGATGAAACAACCAGGTCAACAAGGAATCGCCATCTATTCTCTACCAAAACAACCCAAAAAGGACAACTATGCTATTAAGCTACCCCGACCAAGAGACTGATGCGCTCGGCAACCCTGCCCCCCTCCGCCCCCCCCCGGTCCTTCTCGGACCTCGGGAACGAAAGGAAACGAAGGTCACGGCTCACTCAACCAAACGACCGACCCACAAACTACCCATAGAACGAGAATTCACCCCATAGGCTTGGGGCAATAACGTCCTTTTTGAGGGCTGAGGTGAACACAACAACTTCCATTGAAAACGAAAGAACCTAAAACTTCTTACTTGCCACTATTGGGTCTCCACTAAAAGTATAAAGCCCAGATACTTGGGGAGTGAGTTAGCCGCACTTGTGCAAAAATTAACAAAGGGCGCTTTGTTTGGGGGTTATTTGAGGGGAGAAGCTACTAGGTCCTCCAGTATGATAGGATAGAAAATTGGTGCCCTTTTTTCTGTAGTCTTTTTAGTAGGGGAACCCTCCCAACCAAAAAAGGGGAGAGAAGGGCACCTAGCTGGAGGACCTAGGCTAACAACCTTGCTGACTCGCGCCTGAGCATTGTTTGTTCCTGAGTCTAGAATGAATCCAAAACCTATAGCCTCCCCAAACAATCAAATGACCTTTAGTGGATTGGCCAAAGTCGAAACGAACCAGCCAAGTACGTCTATGGTCAAACAACCCCAACTGGTACTCAGACCATCTAAAGCTGGTTGATGTCAACAAAATGACATTCAGTCCGAAACATGAAGCTCAGGGACTGAGTTTCCTATCTTTGCCAACTTGAAACGGGGGCTCCCGACAATCCATTCCAGAGCCGAGCCGAGCTGCAGCGCCGGACAGGAGAATGGACCAGAACCGATGGAGGTTCTGCAGGGAGTTGCTGGAGCGATTCCGCACCTCCGGAATCGCGTGCCACGGGAAGGAGTGAGCGTGCACGAATGAGTTTTCAGGCTTGGGCGGGGGGGGGGGGGCGGGCGGTTTTCACCTTGACTTGAGGAAAACAAAATGGACAATCACCACTTTGCGGGGAGACCCTTGTTTCACATGCTGTGAATTTGTGAATGTTCTAAATATTGCAAGGTCGCTTAAGGGAAACCATCTGGGAAAACTGCAATAAGTCAGAGACTGAACATCGGGGAGCTTTGTGACAGGAACCTTCATGGGTGAACCCACTAGTCGCGTCGATATTTGCCCAACACCATGGACTGCAAATTGCTGGGAAATAGTGTGGCTCCATGTGGTTGGTATTTGGGATGTGCACCGTGTGTTTCTTGCAAGTAGGTATCCTTTTTTTTTTTCCTCGAGGGTTGGGCCGACCACACGGCCCTCTACACACCCGTCAAAGACCTCCACACCGTCCTTTGATTGAAGGCTTGAGGCCGTAATTGGGCGAGCCCAGACAAACATGGCTTGTTGCCACCGCACACCCATGACCAATGCCTTCCTTCTGCAAAGGGCCTGTTCACTCCAAGATTCTTTTCGTTCTGGTTCTGGCCCCGTTGGTCCCGGCGTGAAAAAGGCGCTCTTCGGGAACTCGGGCAGCAGTTCTCTGAGCAGTCCCTCCGGAAATTCAAGTCGTAAACAACGACTAACTCGCTTAAGGCTCCTAGAACTTGAAAGTACAAGAACCGCAAACCAGCTAGTTAGCTATGTTTTGGAGTTGGTACTCTGATTGGCCTTACTTAAGATGGAAACAAAAGGAAAGCCATTCTAGTGGAATTACGGGCTTCCAATGAACAGAACCAACACACTCGAAAGTAGACAGCATGCCAAGAACACAAGTTCAGTGTATATAGCTTAGCAAAATCAACCTCTTAAAAAATAAGACCGAGGTTAGAAGGAATAATTGGTGCAATAATCTATTCCACATCCAAATGAAGGACATGATTAAGGATCAAGTGTACCTTCTGATGGGGCTTGACCATATGCATTCTTGAGGCACTCTGCACTCCCCAATGACCCCAGACCCATTCAACCGTCGAGGCCTCGTTTGCTCTCAGAAGGCTCGATATACCCCTTACCCTTAGCGGATTTAGCGGGGGGTCGTTGGAGGCTGGTTGCGCCCCGAAATTGCCGGGCTAAACAACACTGAGCGGAACATAACAGATCCTGAACGGAAAAAAACATCCGGGTGGATCCGAGTGGCGCAAGTGAGTGGCTTTGAGGTCATTTTGTGGTTTCCAGGTCCCGGTTTGCGGGTGGAACTGGTGGGTTTCCTCAATAGGCGTTTGGCTCATGGCCTTCCCGCGGCGCTCCTGTCACGCCCCGGCCTGCCAACACAGCCATGACACACCCGCCCGCGTTACCGAAGACACTGGATGACTTTGCCTGCTTTCGTGTTTGGTTTGTGCTACAGTCTGATGGGACCCCTGATGTTCATCTCGCTGTGGTACCAGGGCAAGATGACCTCCTGTCGTGGCCTGCTGTCATGCCCAAGCCTGGCACAACAATCAGGGTGTCTCTTCCTGGTCTCTGGACCACGGGTTTTTATGATCACTCAGGTGATTCTTGCCTGTGCATATTCAAGTGCTTCGCTTGTGCGGGTGGTCCAGCCCTCTGGAAACCAACCTCGGATGCTTTCGTGTCAGCCTTACATCCGGGAACCCCTTGCAAAGCGGTCAAGCATGCGAATCCTTTTTGTGGAGCTTTTGCTGGTTGGTCACATGCAGTACACCGCTTGCAGAAGCAGAGTGTCCAAATCAGGACCGTTGCAGCCCTGGACTTGGAGGAACCCACCATCAAAAGCTATTGTGCTCCATTTGGACCCACATGCTTTTCGCCGGGCACACCTGTGGGCTCATTCCTGCATCTACATGTTGTTCCGCCCTTTGCTTGGCATGCTGGCATAAGTGATAGATATCGGCAGCATGCATTCTCGCCATTGCAGTGTGATCTCTGGTCTGTCAATTGCCCTTGTGTTTTTTGGAGTCAATCGGGACGAAAGCAAGGATTGCATAGTGAAGGTGGCCGTGTATTGATCTGTACCACTGCCAATGCGGCTATGTCCAGACCGCTAGCCATCTGCTGTGAACAAGGGGCAGAATTCCAGTCACACCCGGATTGCGAAGTTGTTGCCGACCTCTGGCAGCAAGCTGGCTTTCGTATTAACAGAGAAGGAGTGTTCGACCTCCAGGAGGTTGGTCCTGTCAGGAGGAGACGCTATCTCTCGGTCTTAGTGCGCAAAGTCCTGCTGTGTGCACCAGGGATCAATGTGATGAGCAAGTGGTCTAGCCTTGGCCTCTTCACGCCTGCTTCTGAAGGTGCCATGATTGAGTTACCTGCAAGCTTGGAGAACCAACTTTTCCCAGGCCGGATGTTCCGAAGTTGTACTGGAACCCGGAGTTCCTGCCAAGGACAACTGACCCAATGCTGTTCAAGTGAGGCTCAGCAGACCAAATCGCGCACTAGCTTTGCTCATGCGCACGTATGGTGCCAATTCGACCCTGTGATGTTGCGCGTTGTTTTGTCGTGTGTTAACCCAGCCATTCCCTTGACGCCAATGGCGCACTCTTGGCCCCCAATTGGACCAAGCAGGTGCCTTTTCCTCGGGGCAAATAGCTGCCCTGGGGCAGTTAATGCATATCTGCAGCCAACTCAGTTTGGTCTTATTAACAGACCCTGAGGCTATGCTTTTGGCACTGCCTTCTCAATATGCAGTCTATGTTTGACTTCGACCTTGTAGTATTGGGTTTTGCCTCTTCCTCGCGCATCTGTCGCTTGAGGGTTGACAGTGCGGACTGTCCGTCTTTGCTTCGGCGGGGGGCGGGCAGTGAAGTCAAGCGTGACGGTGGGTTTCCTCAAGCTCCGCCCTTCCGAAGCTACGTCCAGTGGCCTTGGGCGGAATTGGCCAATGGGAAACCTCTCGAAAAGAAACACAAAAGCGACCTCCGCGGCCCCTCTGCTAAAACGCTAAAACCAGAAACCGTCCATCTATACATCTTGAGACCCCCACCAACAACTGGTGACAAAACGCCATGCGGCTTCCCAAGCTGAATAAAAGATCCAACCAAAACCAAAAGGACACGACGCGAAACTGGAGCTGCCAAAGTCTGGCGCCTCAGAAGGCTGCAGACCCCACCAAAGCCTGAGGTCGGGGACCGCACTGGAAGCAACCAAGGCCATGGGTTCGGTTTATGTTTCCTTTTTGGGGCCTTGGGGGCCTCGTGTTTCTATCTGTACCTTCCACTAGGTCCTCCAGCAGAGAGGTTAGAATAAGGGTACCCTTTTTGCTGTAGTCTATTTTAGTAGGGGAACCCTAAAAGGGCAAAAGGGCACTACTGGGGGACCTAGTCCATTATCTTGGTTTCTCAAGAACATGATGGGTGAAGAGAATAGGGAATCAACGCTTAGAGACTTTGGCGGGGAGGGTCTGTGAGTCTTGAAACAAGTAAACCTACTACAACCAATCAAGTTTGAAGGATGTAGGGCTAACTTGCTGCCCGACTTACAAGATCTACGCGGCATCTTGCGGGTCAATTACCAAACACTTCACTTTTTGAGTGGGCTGGCCCAAAAACGTCCGAACTTTCTGTTTGCCACCAAAACGATCTTCCCAAGAAGTTTCAGGTCCACGAGCACAGGAAGTTGCATGAGCAATTCACTTGAACCAGACCAGGTGAAAGGTACACCCTGCTTCTACCTTGTCCGTCACGACGGTCAGCAAAACATGACATCCAAGGCCACTGGGTGTGTGTTCTTCGGGGACACCCCACAATGGTGGCGTTCCCTGGTGGTTTCCCTTTAAAACCACTCCAAAAGTGGTATCCTCCAAAGACAAAACAAGCACCCATTTAGCTACTAGGTCCTCCAGTAGAGAGGTTAGAATAAGGGTACCCTGTTTTTCTGTAGTCTATTTTAGTAGGGGAACCCTCCCCAAAAAAAGGGGAGAGAAGGGCACCCAGCTGGAGGACATAAGCTAAGACCTAGACCATGTTGAAGCTTGACTGCAGCCTTGCCTCCCACAGGGATATGTCATGCTGTCTCCAACACCAAGTGGGTGGTTCTTCTTTTGAGGCGAGCCTTTCATCTCTACTCTTGGTATGGTAGCGAAAAACTTGGTTTTTTGCAGACCCCCAGTAAGAATGAACAGAACCAAAAACTAAAAAACAAAACATGCCAACAACAGTGAAGCTTTTCTTTGTGGCTTCAAAGGGACAAGGAAACCACCATAGGGGGTCCCCTCAACAATTTCGATAGATGCCACCAGGGAAAGGAGTTGACAAGCAACAACAAATGAGTCACAGCCAAAGCCTGGTACGGTACTTACTTAAAGGGTCTACCCAAAGCGCTACTACCCTTCATCTACCTGGGATTCAATTCTGGCTCAAAACAAGTTGTCAAACGTACGAGCACCACTGCAACCTGATTCAGTTGAACGAAACCTCACTCGCATCCTGTTCCTTACATGTCACCTCACATCATGGGCGCCACAGAATATCCACGTAGCAACCAAATATCCACGCAACCAAACCGCCATTTGGAATCCCTCCAAGTCAACTCTCGGTGGTAAAGATGCGGCTGCAAATCCAGACCCCCCCCCCCAAGAATATCCCCCATACTGAACCCACAGACCCTCCTCAATCAACAACCCTCCTCGCAAAAAGAAGAAGCAACAAGTTGCGCTCTGCAACCCATGTCTGGCTTCTAGGGAACCAAAGGAAATGTGGCATCCTTTCTTTGACAAATTTGAGCCTTGGTACCCCTTTTTTCGTGGTGACAAAGCAAAACCAAATTGGAAAGCCACAGGACCCCCCCACCACCACTCCCCCCGAGACCCGAGACCCAGGATCTCTGTGGGTTTTTTCTAGGGACCGGAAATCTGTTGGCCAACTTGGATTTCGGGTTGGAAAACCGCCTCACCACATCCGGCTCGGTCCAGTGGAAAGACCTGGTGGCTTTTCATGTTTTTTTGGCTTTCTGCCCGCAGTGGACAGACCTGGTGGCTTTATCGTTTTTTTGGTTTGGCAACCGCCTCTTTAAAAAATCTTTGGGGTTGGCAAACCGCCTCGGTCACGTGCAGTTGAAGATAATTCTGACAGGTGGCAGGACCCCCAACTCCAAGCCCATGAAGAGCCAGTGAGAGGCGAAGACAGGCCAAAGAAGCCTGGGATAGCCAGACAAGCCCCGGACATCCAACACCTAGAGGTCAAATACCTGGTTACCTACCAAAAAGGGAAAAATTGAAGCACTAGAAAGGCTTTCACTGCAATCTTTGGAGACAAATATTGTCGCACGGGGGGTTATGCCAGAATGAGCTTCGTTTGGTTTCCCCAGTTCTCCTGAAACAAATACACTCGGACGAAATGTAGGCCGCGGGACTCATACGCATTGCAGGACCTGAATTGTGCGCCGAATGAACAAGGAGCTATTCTTGCTGTGCAAACCATACCCAGTGATTCCCTTAACCAGGTGGCAGGCAAGGGCATTCCCGCCCTGCAACAACTCGGGCAACATGCTTGGCTGCTTGCTCAAGTGGCTCGCGCGACGGAGATCAGCTTGCCAGAAACAGTTTGGACAGCAAACAGACCCCAAGAGCTAGTTGACCAGCCGCCAACTGAAGATTACAAAATACAACATGCAATATGGAATGGCATTAGCGCAAAAACTAGCACACCTAAGTAAATATTGTTTAAAGAAAAACATTCATACATACATGTCTAAAAATGCAAACAACAGGATATCAAACAAAAACAACAAATAAGTCAGCAAAACAAACACAACCACATACATCAATATCCACACACGTAACTGCATTTGCATACCGGCGCCCCCAACATGCTTGGAATAAACAGCTCTTGGGAGGGTGGGGGGGGGTTCTGTTGTACATTCATGAATATACATACATACTAGCCCCCCCAGCAAAACACACACACACACACACCAACACAACACAACACAACGCAACGCACCGCAACACAACTCAACCCAACACAACACAACAACAAACAAGACATAACAACAAAAAATACATAACACACCACACCACACCACAACACAACACAACAACACAAAATACTTAACACAACACAACACAACACAACACAACACAACAACAAACAAAACATCACACCATGAACTCTCGGCACACAACACAAATCACACGGTGTCCCCTTCCGTCGTGAGTTTTTGTTACGTGCCCAGCGGCTGGTCCCAGAGGCAGTAGATGGCTCCCTGGATGGGCAGCTTCGCAAAGACGTGGTTGTGCGTCTCCCAGGTCCGAGTCCTATGAAACAAGCGTGGCTGAAAAAAATCACCGGTGAGCGGATGGCAACCCAGGAAACTAAGCAAATAGGTCCTCCAGTAGAGAGGATAGAATAAAGGAACCGTTTCTTTTTTCTGTAGTCTATTTTAGGGGTTCCCCCCCAAAAAGGGTAAAGGGGCACTACTGGGGGACCTAGGCAAATTGGTGAACACTAAATAGTCCACCAAAAACAGGAAGCTAACTTTGGGTGACCACCAAATGGTCCAAACCACCAAATGGTCCCAAAACAGAAAGCAAACTGTTGGTGGCCACTGAAATGGCAACCAAACCCCAAAAGTGACCAAAGGAAACTCAGGAGGTGAGATTTACGCAGTTGCCCTGAAAATTCACAGAAATTAAAGGCTTGTCTTTGAGGATAATTAAAAGGTTTGTCTTTTAGGATGGTGCAGCAACACTGGAACAGTTGGCAGTCGAAGTTGGCAGGAGAAGCTTGTAGCCACTTTTAGAAAAAGAAGCCTTCGCGTGCTTGCGGGCAAAGGCCAGCGTTTTGCAGCCATGCCTGCAAACGAACCAAGTCGGGAATTCCAAAGGGTAAGGTCGAAGTTCTTTCAAGTTGGTGTAATGGGAGACCGACATCAAAACCTTGAGGAGTCCCCCCATCTCTAAGGTGTCTTAAAACAGGAATCGGTACCCGACTTGTGAGTTTCCTCGACCACTTTCTTCTGCTTTGGTACCGCTTTCAGTGGCTCAAAGGCAGCACAAGGAGCCATGTCCTCTTGACCCTGTGATTGATTGACGTTGCAAGGGGAGCAAAATTTGAAATTTTAGCAGTTAAGTGGGGGGGTTCCCACTCAACCACAATAAGCAAAACTAAGCAAACTGTTTCCCAACAACAACCACGTGTGGGTTTCTGCTTTCGCGAGGCCTGGTATCTTTGTAAGAAGCTTGCTTGGGAAGAGAACACCAACAGGCAAAACACCATCTTGGAAGTTCCATCTTGGAAGGTCTTCTCATTTTGATCAGATTTCTTGGGCCTCTTTGCTGACCCCTTCCTTGGCTTTGTACCAGCTTTGCTTGGGTCCTCTTGGCAGGAACAAAAAAACGGGGGCCAACAAGGGGAGTTTCAGGTACTTCCGAGCAGGTAGTCGTTACCAAGCGATTGCCCCAGGTGCATCCAATGAAATTATTCAGAGAATGAGGCGAATTCCAGATAGGGTTGTCGTTGGCCTCTCCCTTCTTGGCAAGAGCTTACTAACCACGATTACAATCCAGCCAGCGGACCTACAACCATGGTGAGTGGGTTCAAGTCCTAGCTACCAACCACGGATCAAGAAACCTCTGCTACCTTTCCATGCCCTTGTTGTTGTCGTCCAACTGGCTCGACTCGTCTTTCTCAGTGCATTGGCCAAAACAAGTTCAAACTGAGTCAAAACTCGACTCAAAGTCTCAGTGGATTGGCCAAATGTAGCTCACACCCGCTAATTTCTAACCACGAAAAGTTGAGAGTCCAAAACTAATTTACCACCAAGCTCCCCTTTTACCACCAAACACGATCTTCCCAGACAGCTTCAGGTCCACAAAGAGGAAGCGCGTCGACCAGAAAAAAAAACGCGCGGAAGGCAAACCAAGAGGACGTCACGTCCGAGGCGCAAAGCCATGAAGATGTCCACATCCAAGAGGTTCGGCAGCAAGACCACCTGAGTTCTCGAAAAAAAGAATAAAATTCCCGCGATTTTTGGTGTTTTGGACTCTAAGGGGTTTGAAAGCGAAACCAAAAGGGACATCTCCTGTTTTTTTTGAGGGGCCCGCAAGTTTGACACATAGCGCAACTCAGCGATTGAGTTTGTAGTTTGGATTGGTGGTTGGCTAGTGGGTGGCTTTCTTTTTACCACCCTAGACCCAGGGCTGCAAATCCAAATCCGAAAAAAATCCAAACCACCAAGCAACCTGAACAACCACACCTTCTAATCCTTGGAGTGTGAGCTCCCTAAGGGTCCCGATCGATGGATTTTGGGGCTCCAAAGTCAGGCAGGTGTTGAGACCCCATTCAGCAACTCGAATTGGGTGTAGTGCGGGCGTGGGTTGTCTGGGTTCTGCATACCAAGCCCAGATATTGAACCCTTACCCCCTCTGGGTCCAAGCAATCAAGTATATCTCATATTTGCGGAGTTGAGGAATCCAAGTATATCTCATATTTGCGGAGTTGAGGAATCCAAGTATATCTCATATTTGCGGAGTTGAGGAATCGGTATTTAACGATTTGTTTTGAACCAAACCACAGATACGGAGCCAAGGGGCCCTCTGGGTCAGGGCCAACACAAGTTCCCCCCCGCAGCTCTTTCAGCTATGGGGCTTCTGGGAGGGTTCCGCATCCGGCAGGGTTGCTGTGGATAACACTGGTCGTCAGTTGCTGTGTTCTCTTTTGCAGACATCCGGTAAACGTGAGCAAACACCTACAAGGACCAAACAATAATTGAAATCCTGGTGTGGCACGTTTGTTTCCACACCAAGGCATAGAAGCGATAGAACTAGTCATCATTTCGCAAATTGGACCCTCTGGAAGGACAAGGTGTCCCCACCTTCACGTCCACATCGTAGACGTTGTCTTGGCGAATGTCCGCGGCCTAGGATTCGGGCTTTTGTGCTCGGCAAACCGCCAACTTCGGCGCGCAAGCGGCACATATTTCACGTTGATGACCATAGCCTGTGTTGAGCCTCTTGGTCTCCGGTGAAACGGGCAAGACAACAAACAACAAACATGAACTAATTATGACAACCCATTCAACACGGTTTGCCTTATCTTGGCATCACATTTGCGCTACCCTGGCCTTACCCTGGCCTGATGTGCGTATGTGTGGCCCGTTGAGCATGGCTTGGTCGCATTTTAGGCTTACATTGGCCTGAATAGAGGCCCACTTGACTTATCCATATCCGCACCCCAAATGCCTGGCCTCGGCCCGAAATGGCCAGGGTCCAGGGAAAGTGGTCCTGTCCCGTGTCCTGAAGAGCACCCAGAACAAGGATCCTTACATTATACACCTGAACATTGCCTTCTAAATGGAGGCGTCCCTTTATTTTGGTGGAAAACGCCATGTTTCAAATGGGCAAAATGTATCTTTTAAGGAGCCCTGCAGAAGAAAGGGAGCGCACCTCCATACATTTTGAGCAGTATGCCTCTTGCAAATAACTGTTGAGAGGCATACATCTTCATTCCACCTGCCAGCGTCTATATCCCTGCAAGCCAATTCGTGTCCTTTAAGTTATCCTCTGGGCCCGAGGCCGTCTTTGAGGTCTTGTCACGTCTCTGCGGCCCGCACAGTGAATGGGTCCAAGTGTTTTGGTGGTCTCGACACTGGAATGTGCTTAACTATCGCAGGAGCCATAACCTTTGGCTCCAACCAGTCCAACGTTAGATCCTTGGAGTTTTTGCACATGGAGAAATTCACTCGGGGTGGGGTTGGAACTGGTCGGGTCACCGCAGCCATCAAGAATGCATGTGGGCAAGTGTTTTTTGAGGGCAAATACCCTTTTTTGGTCTGTTCTAAATGGACACCCAAAGGAAAACCAGAAATTGGGCAGTCCCCCTATTCTGCAGCCTACCAACGTAATATCGGGTTAAAGGACACTCGCGTTTAAACAAGAAGATAAAGCAAGAAAAACAGTTTGCTTATCCGCAGGGTGCCTCGGAAACTTCTGACGCACTAAAAGACCCTTGTTATCCTCAAAACCCATCCTCCAAACCATCCTCTCCAAACCATCCTCTCCAAACCATCCTCTCCAAACCATCCTCTCCAAACCATCCTCTCCAAAACCATCCTTGCAAAACATCAAAAACGGTGAACAAACACCCTGTGCAAATCATATGTTGCTCAAAGAGTCTCTTGGAAGACTTCTGGACAGCCCAAACGCTTGCCCTTCAGCGAGGCAGGGCTTCTTGTTGCTTGGTGCTGTTTATTTGTGTCAGGTCCTTTTAGGGAGGGGGAGGGGTAGGGAGCCCAAATAAGCCCTTATTAAGCCCTTAATAAGGCCTTATTTAGGGCTTATTTGGGCTCCCCTCCCCCCTCCCTCCCCCCCAGCCCCCATGACCTTTGGTTTGGTTTTGTCAGGTTCTGTTCATTTGTTCGTTCCTTGGTTTGTGGCTTGGATTGGTTTCGAGTTGAATTAGACCCTTGGTTCTTGCAAAGGAAGGATGAGAAACGACTAATCCAAACCATCACTTAGAGGGAAGTTGATCTGGCCAGCGTCTTGGGCGTTGAACATCACCAAAAACTAGAATTACGTTAGGTTGAAAGTGATGGTTCCCAGTAGGGAAATACAGCCCCCCTGTTTGGAGAGCCCCCCCCGAAAAGCAAACACAACAATCAACCCGCAACTTTAGTACAGCCAACAAACAATCAGACACTTGCAAAACAACAACAACCAAACAAAAACTAGCAACTTTGTAAAAAAAAAGCGCCCATTTCTCCAAGCAAAGGTGCGCGCTTCGGGACGAAGCGGGCATGCCAGCGCCTTGGGGTGGAAACCAATGAATGCCCAGATCCCAGGCCCCTGACTGTCGAAAGGGAGTGATTTCTTTACTTGGTTGCTGTTGACCCCCCTGCAAAAAGTTTAACTTTTTGGGGGTTTAGTGGAAAACACCTGTATTTCCCAAGAAGTTAAAGTCTAAAGATCCGACCCAATAGCAGTCAAGTTTAACGGGGGGAATCCGTTGTTTGTTGCCAAGGTAGTATGTAGCTAGCCACTTGACGTGTAACTTGCAAGGTTCTTTGGTAAGGTCGACCCCGGAGTCCAAAAAACCCGGTTTATTAATCTGGGGGGGGGGGGTTTGTGGCCCCTCCAAAAGTGTGTCTGAATCCCGCACCAAAGCCAGAAATGGACACCCCCAGATTAATAAACAGGGGTTTATGAATCTGGGGTCAACATTGCTTGGATGTCCGTTGCCAAGTTGGTATGTAGCTAGCCACTTGGGGTGCACCTCCCAAGGTGAACCCCACTGAATGGGGGACTCAAAAGTGGGTAAGATTCCAGGTTACCAACAGCTTACTAAAATGGAGTAATGGAGTTTCCATTGTGGGAGTTCCCTTCAGCTTTCAGAAAGAAACAATATCAAATCGATCAGTGGCTCATGTCATTTTCTCCTTGCGTCGAAGCTACCCAGCCACCTGGCACTTGGATCCTAAAGCCCCGATTTGCTTTTTGTGGGTATCTGAAGGTTTAAGGCAATCCTAGCCGTAGCCTATCTATTACATAAGGATTTTGTTGGTACTTGTTTTTTCAGGATTTCGGACATGGTTGAAAAAGCAGTTGTTTGGGGGGGGGGGGGGGGGGAATGGTAAGGATCCGATCGATGGATTTTGGCTTCGGCTCCAAAATCGTCTTGTTTGAGACCCGGAGTTGCACAATTTGAGGTGGTATGGGAGTCCGGACTTCTTCATACCAAGCCCCGATTGGACCTTTAGGGTAATAAAGGCATTTCATGAATGCCAGGCTTAGCTGAAAGTACCATCAGAATCTAGGCATGAAGGAAGTCCCAGGACTTTTTTCACTGTGACTTGAAGAATTGGACCAGCACTTCTTTACAATCACCTGGAGGAGCGCCCCCAGAATAATATCCCCGACCCCCCGCCTATCCCAGTGTTTCCACTTCTTGCAGGTACTCGCCACAAGATGGAATCCGAAAAGGGGCTCCATGTTCATCGGGTAGCCCTTCGATAAACTTACCTCTCGGCTTTGACATGGAGCGAACCGCTGAAGCCATCTGTGGGGAATTCCGTCGCGCCAGGCGGCTTCTGGACCTGGTTGTCCGCGTCGTACTCCCACTGCGGCCACATGAGATCCCTCCTGAGGGGGCTGAGAGGTGACAGTCAACAGAGCCAGGGCCTGAAACGAAGGGGAACAGCCATTAAGCGATTCCCCACAAAAGGTGTCAAACTGACTGGTTGGGTCACCGCAAAAGGCGCCAACGGGCGCAGTTTTCTTTCTGAGTCCTTTCAAGACAATGACCTTCAGGGGAGTTTTCGGAAGCAAAAGGGGTACTTGACTTTGTCAAACTGAATGGGGTTGGGTCAAAAAAAAACGGACAAAACCAACGCCCCTGACCCAACAAAAGGCTGGCAGGAATCTGTCTCTGGGCTGCCTCTCATTTAAGACGGAAATCCAAACGGTCCAAGTTCTAACAGCCTGGACCCACAAACTACCCATAAAAAGGGAAATTCACCAACCATAATTTTGGGCTACAAGAACCCATTTAAGTTAGAATTTGGGGGGGTCTAGCAAGCTACGTTGACCCCTTTCTACCCCTCAACCATCCCTATACAGGGTTCCCTATGTCCAACCTGTGGGACAAACATGCATTGGAATATGGGCTCCATATGTGTCGTAGGGGAAAAACCCAAAATAGGATTGCGGTTCTCCTGCTGGTTTTCTTAAAAAGAAAAATCACAAACAAACCAAAAACGGGGAAAAAAGAACAACACATGGTGCCCGCGTGGCCTTTTGTTAGCAGCGCGGTCCTCTGCACCATGTCCGGCTGGTACGTACACCGCGCAGGGCCCGTGTGCAGCGGCGCGCCTCGAGCGGTTTAGCGGTTTGGGGCATCGGAGGGTTCGATGCGAGGCCCTGGTTTGTCCATGGGTTTCTGGGCTGCCCTCAGATCCGCCGCTAAAAGTTTAACTTTTAGTGGGTTGAATGGAAACTACCACTAGACACTAAAAGGCTAAAACGCTAAGGGGATGGCTGGGAGCCACCAAGGTTTTGTTGCCAAGAGAACCACCTGGACCCTAAAAAACAACCCATGCACATGGGTTGCCCTAAAATTTGAGTGATTTCAACTATTTTCATGGGCTGGCTGTGTGAATCTAGTTTTTCGGGTACCGGTGTTGTGCTTGGTTTAGTGGAAAACCAAAAGGACCCACCTTCAAAGAAAGCGAAAGATCTCCTTCAAAACCAGTGGAAAGCAACAACATCATTTCAGCAAATGGAATGATGGAAGGTACAGTTTGTACCCAAGTGCACCCCCTTTAAAGACCAAACGCAAACTGGATTGAAGGCTTGCCTGTTATGGCAACTTGGATCTGGAACCAGCCTTACAGTAGATGCACGACCCCACAAGCTGCCCTCATTTGACCCGCCTGAATTTGCAAACTTGTTTGGCCAGCTTTTGGTCTCTTCGGGTGGTCCTTGGAAAAGGGGGGGGGGCGTTGCTAAATCTTCGCCCCTGAGCCTGCGCGCCATTTCTTATCGCACCCTCCTGCCCAGCTTGCACCCTAGAAATAAAAGGTGATCACCTAAAGGCCACTGAACATGGGAACCAACACAGGAAAAGTAAAAGGTCAAAAGCTATGATCTTTGGGCAACTGAGCTATAACTTTGCTACAATTCAAGAGGAAATTTCGTTTGGGGCCACTCGCAAGACAGCGGAAGGCGCTACAACCAGCAATATTGGAGCTTGCCGAACCACGCCTTCCAGAATTGCCAAGACCAAAGAGAACCATGCCTATCTCACCTCCGCTTTTCCTTCCGCTTAGATGGTCTGGGGGATGGCAAAATGATCTAACTCAAGGTTGAAAATGCATCATAGCTTTTCGAAAACCCCTCAGCATCCCCTTGAGACATATGAGGTCTTCAAGTTGTGAGGGGGTGTCTTTTTGGATGATGCCGTTTTGGGGGGGGGGGGGGCGTTTCAAGGTAAACCAAGAGGAAACCCACCCTATGGGTCCCCCCCCAACAAAAAAGACACCCCGATGAGCGATACGTCTTATAATGTACCAAGCCGTCAGACTCAGAAGGAAAACAGGGGTTTTGTGACTGCAGGGGTCAGGATCCGCGAGGAACACTTCACTGAAACTCCCCCCCCCCCCGCGGGGGACTTCACTGGACGTGAGTGGGGCCACTCGAATCGACAAAAAAAACGGAAAACCGAAAAATCGGGTCGATTCACCGCGGCAAGTGAGACATATATGATGCTTCCCTGACAAAATCGCCGTTCCAAAACAAAACCTAGTCGTGCTTACACAGGCTTTGCTTCTGCACCCTTTGGAAGGTGGAGGTTTTCGCAAGCCCTACCGCGCGGTGCCGACAAGATTTCCCGACCATAGAACATCCTGCTTGGTTCAAAGGGAAATCGCAAGAAAACTGGGCATTTGTTGACATGGCGACGTATGTCCACAATGTTTGAGGGGCCTGTGGGTTCCGTGTCTAATCACAAACATATGTGCCATGGTCGAATCTTCTTCTGTGGGCCATGGTCATGATTGCCTAGGAACCTTTACGTTGGTTTCCAAATTCACTATAGAGGGGTCCATGACCATCCCAAGCAATCACAAGTAAAAGGCTCAAAAGAAACCGTGGCACACATGGGTGTGTCTGCTTTCAGGGGACCCCAAGACACGGTTTCCCTTTAAAACCACAACACATGGGGTACCCTTAAAAAAGGCAAGCCCACATAATACAATGTGCCATGGTCAAAAGACCCTTTTCCTCGGCATAGGTAAATTGGACCCCCCCCCCCAAAAAAAAAAAAAGAATGAATAAGAATAAGAATAATAGTACAAATAATAACAATAATTAATAATAGTAATAGATAAACTGGACCCCCGAGAAAGAAAAAAAGGAAAACACAACTAATAATAATAATAATAATAATAATAAGAAAAAGCAATAGATAAACTGGACCCCCCAAAAAACAAAACAAAAACAAGGCCGACCGAACAATCGCGCGCAATCCTAAGGCTTTGGCGCGAGGGCAGCGGATGTTTCGCGGCATCCTGGATCACCGGGGGCACCGTGAGCGCATCCTGGATCACCGGGGGCAACCGAGCCGGGTGCGTCGTTTAGGGGGCGCCGTCCAAGCGGAGGTTTTCTTTTTTGGTTTCCCTGTCAAAGAGGAAAATGATGGAACAGCCTACACCTACGCCGGCTTAAGGAGAGTTCAGCCCAAATACTTCGACCAAACACATAGCAGAAGAAACTGAGGCTCCAGGAACCTGGCAAAACCGGGTCACCCGAAAGACTGGGTCGACAGCTCATGGCTCTCAAGTGAAACTCGTGAAGGCCGGGCAAGCCACACCCTGGATGCAGCTTTTGGAAACGGACACGCGTGAAATGTGAGCGCCTCAATGGCCTGCAAGCAGGTGAGGCAGTTGCAGCACGAGGGTTGACCCCATTTGAGGGGCATGGCGGACGAGTACCGTGCACAGGACACTCCATGGATAAACCACTTACAAGCCTCTTCTATTATATATATATATGGCTCTCCCAGTTTGGATACTCAGGTCTAACCCGACCACAGTCTTGGCATCGTACACCAATTTGAGCTTTTTGCAGGGCCCCGATGTCTCGAGGTATCCCCGCCCCCGCCCTACGTCGCGAGACCAAAGGTCCAGGATCTCAGCACCAGCGTGGGGCACCATGTAGAGCAGGGCTGGCAACAGGCTTGGCTGGGAACAAATCTTCCAACAACCACAAAGAATCTTCCAAGGCGCCATTTTGGGGTGTCCTGTTGTAGGGGACCCCCGACAAATGGCTGGCGATCCTGAGATTTGCTTTAAAGGGGTTTAAGTATCACCTGTGAAGGAAACCATATTTTTTGTTGGGAACAACAACCGGCCACCGTGGGGAATCAAAGGAAGGAAAGATGCGATTGCCACGGCCGAAAGCCGCGGCAGTGCTCGGGGAGTTTTCTAAATGCTTAGCTCACTTGAGTGCATTGGCCGAACAAACGTCAGATCTCTTGTGTTGGCCACTAAAAGTGTCTTCGAGAAGTAGAAAGGCCAGGAACTCTGGGAGTGAGTGAGTAACCGTACTTACTATACAGGGTTTCCATTCTAGCCCTTCGCATGTGAGCAAAAAACTACAATGTTTGCAGCCACCCACTCAAAATGAACAGCACCAACAAACAAAACAACAAAAACACATGCCAAGAACCGTGAAGTTTTTCCTTGGGCTGGGGGCTAACCGTGGGGAGAAGCTAACAACTTTGCCAAGTCCTAGCTCAACCAACTAAGAAGGCCGAATCGAACCGCAACCCAGTCCAGTGATCCTGGCCTTCAATTGCCGGTGAGATTGGTGGTTTGTGGATTTCAATCCCTTCTTGAAACCAAAGGAAAAGCGCTTGAGCTGCACACGCAGCTCGAAGAAACAAAACAGCCCTCCATTTGCCGTGTCGCCCCCTGGGAAAAAATAAATATGTCCAGTAGTGATAGGGGAAAATAATAAACATTATTACGCAAATGGAAGCAGCCATTCGTGAAAAGCTGAAGTAGGAAACCAACATGTTTTCCCACACTTCCAAGCATGGCTCGCCTTAGACCCACTGGGCGGATCAAACATCAGATCCATCCAGGCCATTCCTCCACGGGATTTTCAGTGAGGACTGTTTGGGGCAAAGCCCATTGCGGGCCAACAAATCTAGGAACGGGATCCGATTTTTTGCGAAAACGGGGGAAACCAGCGGACTTCTTGAAACAAACGATGGCTAGAAAGAAGGGATTATGAACTTAATGAACCGCTAGAATCAAGGGAGACCGACATTTAGACATGGAGAAACCAACTTAAACCCTAAATAAGCAACATATTGGTATTGGGATCAACTGGAAACGTGTCCATCCCGCGTGGTGTTCTTAGGAGTTGTTGTTTGCCTGTGTTTAGTTCACAAAACTAGAGGTGCCACACTGAGACTTTTACAAGGCCTCTCATCATGGATGAGCTCCCATTTAAATAGTGCAGACACAATTCTTTTGGGACCAACCCAGTTGACATGTCGCTCCCCTCCGGGTGTTCCTCCCCCGCATATCACCCAAATCCAGTGACCTTTTTTGAACCAAACAGCCTGCAATTCGGTCCACCGCGCCGTTCATCTGCGCCTCCTGCGGACAAGATGTGAGGGCCTTCCGAAATTTGGCAGTGGGGCTGTCATTTCCTGGGGGTAACCTTTCTGGGGTTGGCTTACAGGGAAACCAACCGAGCCATGCTCAAAACAACGATAGATTCCTCTGCGATTGATAACAAGTTGCTTAATTAGGTCAGCGCTTCTGTGCGGCTTATGCGCTCACATTGTCAGCTTACGCACAGAAGCGCTTCATGGCAGAGCTCACACAAGGTGTCATAAACCACATGAATCAATAAATCAATCGATACATTTGTCAATAACTGCCTAAGTCGTTTTTTTCTTTCTGATATATTCTGGGTTCCCACGAAGCTTGAGCAACCCCCCAAAAAGACCGAGAGAGCTCCTTGATGAGCATGTCCAGCAGAGTGCTGTCATTGCGCGCCCGTTCCAGCAAGTCGTGCGTGAAGTCCTCCGCCACCTTCATGTTGCCTCGGCGAAAGCGATCGGTTTTGACGCTCGCGGCGCGCTCGAAGAAGCGATTGGAAGCAGTGTCTCCCACCAGGGGAAACCATCCTCCCAGACGCTCACGATTCGATTTTGGGGCGTCGGGGTGTCGCGGGGCGTCGCGGGGCGTCAAATGAATTATTCGGGGCGCCACACTGAGATTCCACTTTGCCATGCTTACTTTTCTCAGTGGCAGGAGGGTGTGTGCAAAACACATCCCGGCCGCACCCCATTACACACCTGCACATTGCATCAGGGGTCATTGTTAATGTTGTTCGGCATCACCAGGATGCCGAGGGTAGCCTCCCAGCATGTTGCTTTTGCCAAGCCCTGCCGCGCACGATGGCACGCAGCACGGCCCGGGCATAGAATCTGCAATTGAGCTGGTACTTCCATGCTTTAACTGCTGAAGACACTCCTGCGTCCTTTACATAGCATTTGCGGGCTTCATCAAAAAGCTGGGTCAGTTTTTGATGGTTCGCGTTTCCAAATACACTGGAGTATGCATTTCATTCTTCTTACTTTCCCGCAGCCACAATTTTTGGTGCAAGGAAATTGCTAAACAAAGGCAAGCCAACCAGCCCAAGAGCTAAACGCCGTTGTCAAGCGCAAGCCACCCAAGCACGCGCAACACGACGCAGGGTCATGACACTGGTGACAGAGATGACTGCATCTTGGTCGGCCAAACCGGCCGCCTCGCAGCTTGCTAACGCCTTGCTAGCTTCTGCGTGCAACCTCTGCGCCTTTCTCGAAAAACGCATTACGTCAACCTACCGCCCTACTGCGTGAACAAAAGGGCGCCAGTTGCAGATGGCTCTTTGCGAGAACTGTGACGGGCCAGGCTCAGACACTCAGGGGCTCGCTTTCCAGCTCAGGGCTGGGGAAACGGAAGAGAGGCCTCAAGCAAGGAAGCTGACATGAGAATTTGCGTGCTCACAAACATTTCGAAACATGAGCCGTCAAGCGCTTCTGCTTCTTTCTCGCAGCAGGCATCACGATGGTTTCGAAAAGGTTCCGAGCAAGGCGCTTACGCTTGGGAAGAGTCCAAGCGAGACCTCAAGAGTAAAGCCGACGTTAGGCGCCCGCTTGAATCTCGAGTGCGTTTCGATCAGGAAATGCAGTTGCAGCCGTCAATGACAGATAGGTACGTGTCGCCCTGTCAAGTCCGCTGAATTCGACGTCCCACATGCTTTGTCTCTGTGACATATGGTTGCCTTTTTTACAACTGGCAAGAGGTGTGCAAACGAAATTTATTGTGGCATGGCGAAATCGGCGCCCTTTCCGGCCTTTACTCCCGAAAAAAAAACTGAACCGATTGCAGTGTAAATTGTCAGCTTGAGCAAATGCAGCCCACGCACGATGTGTTCACTGTACTGCCCTTTGTTTCAAAGGGTTTCCCAGTGTGCCCGTATCTATCAACATGCGTGATGGCCCAACCTGTAAGTTGCAATTTCCGTTGGAAGAGCGCCTGTAAACATCGAGGGGGTCCGGCATGTTGAAGGTGAGAAGAACCCAGGCTCCAAAACCAAAACAGACCTGAAGCAATCGATGTCCCAATATTGGTTAAAGGAATCCGACGCCCAATCCGACAGAATCCGACGCTCGGGGCGTCAAATCTCTTAGTTTCGACACCCCCTTGACGTTCAATCCGACGGAAACCGACGGAATCCGACGGAATCCGACGCTCGGGGCGTCAAATCTCTTAGTTTCGACACCCCTTGACGTTCAATGCGACGGAAACCGACGGAAACCGACGGAATCCGACGCTCGGGGCGTCAAATCTCAGAGTTTCGACACCCCCTTTCACGCTCAATCCGACGGAATTGGAATCCGGTGCTCGGGTTGCAAACAAGAAATGGCTCAAAGTGGCTGCGCCAGCTTGATTTCGCGAACCTGTCACTGCTTTGCAGAAAGCTGCGTAGCCTCAAGTTGCAGGTCCAAGGGCTCCACTTAGGGTAAGCCAGAAAAGCATTATTCGTCTTTAGAGCTGCCAATGTCAACCATGGGACTTGCCAGCATCAGCCGCAAGATGATTCACCGTGTGCCGACAGCCTCCAGAGCCCGTAAATGCATCGTGCCTGCCGTTTTTGCTGTGGTACAAATCCTGCACGGTGTGGTTTTTGTTCCCCAAAGAATTTATTCTCTTGTTTGGAAACCCTTCAAAACCCACAAGAGTTTATTCATGTTCACACCTGCTTTGCAGAAGCTCTCTCCAGTTGTCAAAGCAACCATACGTCATAATTACTCAAGCAAGTATGGACGAATTCGGCAACGACATTGCCCGCAAAGGCGGGGAATTCCATTCCATGGCTGCAACTGTCATTGGCGCCTAACGCCGGCTTTACTCTTGAGGTCTCGCTTGGACTCTTCCCAAGCGCAAGCGCCTTGCTCGGAACCTTTTCGAAACCATCGTGATGCCTGCTGCGAGAAAGAAGCAGAAGCGCTTGCCGGCTCATGTTTCGAACTGTTTGTGAGCACGCAAATTCTCATGTCTGCTTCCTTGCTTGAGGCCTCTCTTCCGTTTCCCCAGCCCTGAGCTGGAAAGCGAGCCCCTGAGTGTCTGAGCCTGGCCCGTCACAGTTCTCGCAAAGAGCCATCTGCAACTGGCGCCCTTTTGTTCACGCGGTAGGTGCAGTGGTTGCATCCAAATGCCAGCAAAGCGGTTGCAAGCTGCGAGGCGGCCAGTTTGGCCGACCAGAATGCGCTTATAGTGTCCTTGCCATGTGGCGTTTTGAACGAGCTTGGGTGGTTTGCGCTTGACAACGCCGAGCAGCCATTGGGCTGGTTCGCGTTGTCTTTGTCTAGCAATTGCCTTGCACCAAAAATCGCGGCTGCGGGAAAGTGAGAAGAATGAAATGCATACTCCAGTGCATTTGGAAACGCGAACCATCAAAAACTGACCCAGCTTTTTGATGAAGCCCTCCAATGCTATGTCAATGACGCAGGCGGGTCTTCAGCAGTTAGCGCATGGGAGCACCAGCAAAATTGCAGATTCGGCCGTGCTGCGTGCAAGGATTTATCGTCATTGCAGGTTGCAGTGCGCAAAGCAGAAGCCTTGAGTCTCCGGGGCGTGCTAGCGACACCCCCCAAAAAATCAGCGAGGACCCCTGACACCCCACAATTTCGTATGCAAGTCACGGGGTGTGCAATGCGCAGGGCCGGGGTGTGCATTGCACACCCCGTCGAGCATCTGGGCTGGTGAAACCTAGACTGGCTGCCCTTAGGTCCCCCGCTAAAGGTTTAACTTTAGTGGGCTAAATGGAAACTACCTTTAAACACTAAAAGGCTAAAAAGCTAAGGGGATGGCTGGGAGCCACCAAGTAGAGGTAAATATACCCAAGGGCCACCATGGCAACTGGATGTGCTTGGCTTGGTTTTCCTCAATCAACCAACCTCAAAAGGGTCGCAACACCAACAAATCACACACCGAACGTTTCCGGTGATACCCTACTCAGAACCACAAAGGAAAGTGCCGTAAACTAGAATGCTCTATGATGAAACCCAAGTCAAAGAAAAGATGGTTGGAAATATAAAGATAATTGTGCAAATAGTTTTCCTTGAAAGCCATCCAGAAGGGGGAGGCTCCCCTAAAACCTTACGACGTGCGAGCATGTGCTTAAATAGGGGGCGACCTCCCAAACATGGAATTCGGTCTTGCTTTGGGACACACACACACAGACCCATACCCACGTTCCAGTCCCCCGGTCTCAAAGACTGAAATGACCATGGTCTGGGAAGGTAGCTGAAACGGTCATAACCATGGCTGAAACGGGGCGGGGGACCTAAGTTAGTAAAGCGGAGATGAAGTATAATTTGGCGGTAGAATTGCCTGACGCTCCTGCGCCCCTGATTGTTCTGCGTAAAATGTAGCCTGGTGTCTGTTCAGGGACAGGCCTTTGGCATGCTGTGTAGCTGTTGCTTTGTTGCCCGCCAATTATTCTAGATTTTTCCGCGCGCAATTGCCCTATGTGAATGATCACTGTTCGCAACAAGTAAGTATTAGAAGGAGACTTGTGCGCAATGATGCTGTTGCCGGAATATATTGTTGCATTTATCGGTGCTAGATTGCACCTTCGACATTCTGCACCGAGCTTAGGTTTCTTGTTTGTTTTCACAACAAAGCCAGTAAGCTTTGAGCTGCAACTGGGATGGTGGACGTTGGGAAAAGGAAAAGCAGTTGGCTTCGATTAATCTCATGGGTTGGCAGTGGTACTCCGTTTGCGGCTGCCTTATTTCCGGAACCAGGGGAGTCACAGCCACGCCCGTCCAAGTGCGCCCATACTTCGTTGACAACACGTTCTTGCTATCTGGGGCCTATGCTAGTATAGTTTGGGTTGTAATTCGCGAAACACGGGAACCTCAGTACTGATTGAAGACCCGAGATCGAAAGGAAGACAAGTTGCCAAACTGTACGCGTGCTCCACTGCGGTCTGTCCCTTAAAAGCTTGAAGTCCACAAGGGGAAGTGAGGGGTAACTCAACATACATCAACCTGAAGAACACCCCAAAAGGACACCTGGACCCTCAAAATTCCCTTTGAATGGTGTATAGCTATTGCCCCTTTCTTTTTGTTAGGGCTAGTTTGAGGGTTCAGGCACGTTCATGGGATGTCTGTCGCAAACCGCTACCCTTTGCCAAGCATTCAACGCATAACCCCAAAACCTCCTCTGAAGGTATGGGCCCTTCGGCCAAGCATCCCACAAATATGTCAAACAGCCCAAGCCGCACTTGGACAACAGCCGGATGTCCGCGAAAGCGCGGGGGTTGTCGAAGTTAATCGACCTCGTGCCGATTCCAAGCGCTGCCTTTCACTGAAGCAGCCTCCTGTCCACTAACATAGAACCCCCTCGAGAGTCCAGGAAGAGCATGGGATGGTTTGGCAAAAGCTGAAAAAGGACGCCGGCCAGAAAAACCAGGGCCGAAGGAATGCCAACCTAGGGAATACTGGCGTAAAAGAAAAGCACCAACATGGACCTGTCTTCCAAGAGGGGACACATCTACGGAGTCGCCTCGTGAATTTCGGACTGACGGTGGTTGTGGGGAATAACCTATCTGTGATGCCTGGGACTGCTTTGTCAGGGGCTCCCTTGGAATTACAGAAAGTTGGGCTTCCTTCAAACTATTTCGGCAACCATGCCATGACCCGCAGGTACCCTCACAGCCACACGAATATCTTTCACGTGGTCCCAGTGCCACTTTCGTGGGCAAATTAGCACATCTCAAAACACCCAGGCGACTCCCCATTCCCATATGCCTAACATCTCCTGTCTTTGGCTGATCCATGAAACAACCCTTTGCGCCGGAAAAAAAAAAAAAAAAGCTCCCAAAAAAACTGGCGCTGAGCCCACTGAAACCCAGGGAGTGAGCCCCAGTTGGCCCGGAGGCGAGCGCGGGAAAGTGGCGTGGCCCAGTTCGGACAAAGCCGGGCAACGGGCATAAATGCAAAGAGCCACATGTCGGTGCGTATCTTCTGAGCACCTGGGATTGTTTCCAGAATAGGAATTGATACACCGTAACAAAAGCAAAACATGGGGACCAAACCTCCAACATTGCGAGAGAAGAGTGCTAAGCCAGAGTGCAACAGCCTTTTGTTGCTAGTTACAGTCTCCTCAGTTGGCCAAGATTCGTCAATGTGTTGGGGACACCCCAAAGCCAATTGGCGGCGTTTAAGCTTCCCTCTCCAAAAGGTCAACAAGACAGGGGAAAGGCCGGACCCAAAGCGGCCATGGTTGCTTTCTCATGAAATTCTGGCAGACCCACATTTTGGGTTGGGGAGCAAATCTTTCGACGAATCTGAGCCCATGGATTCAAGTTGAAACTTTCAGACGAGATGCTGGAAGGAGGCAGCCATGAGATACATCAGATCCTTGGGATACCTGGCCCCCAGAGAAATCCGGAGCAGCGCCGTGTTGACAAGGGTCCAAACGGGGGACCCCCAACAACACACCGTGCCCGCCCCTAAGCACAAAGAGTGGAGGCGTGTTTGGAGGGTAGTGTGTGGCTGTGCGATGTAGGAGGAGGGGGGGGAGGAGGAGTAGTAGTAGGAGGAGGAGGAGGAGCAGTAGTAGTAGTAGTAGTAGTGGTGGTGGTGGTGGTGGTGGTGGTGGTAGTAGTAGTAGTAGTAGTCATAATATTGTGATAATCTGGGGGTCGGTAGCAGTAGCGAAGTGACATGACATGATGTCCGAAAAGCAGAGAAGAAGGGGCGATCAAGCTTTAGAACCGCAGATGTTCCTACTGTGGATGGACAACATCCTGCACCAGTTTAGTAGTGGGTTAATCCAATGTTCCCAGTACTCAGGGTTTTGCCCCTCAGCCCACACGAGCTTTGACCAGTTGTTTTTTGTAGGGTGGTGGTCATTTGTCTAGGGCTTGATTCCTTCTCCATTCCTTTCAAGCATCGTTCCATTATCAAAAGCCGGATCCGTTTTTTCCAATTTCTGGAGGTCTTCTAGAAGGATTCCTGGGTTCAGCATGGTTGGAAGGTAGCAACCAGGATTTGATAAAGCCAGAAGTTAGAACTGGCTGAGTCCGGGTGGGCAACTGAATATCTCCACAGGTTGGCGCATTGACCCCCCCAAGAAAGACGGCTCCATGAAGGCCACTTGCGTTGCACGGTCTGTGGCTGACATGCGCGGCGGAAGCAACGAGAAGTTGCGATCGATGTTTTTGGGAGCGATTTGGCTCCATAGTCTTCCCAAGGCTTGCTTCAATGAACCGTTTGTGATAAGGCCGTGGCGACCAAAAAACCGGATTTCCAAAATGGCTTGCCCGATCGGTAAGTGGAAACATGGGTACCAAAACCTGCGGTTTGCCCCTCCGATCGTTTAATTTTGAGCCACGCCCAAATAATTTGGCCAAAGCCCCTCAAGCATGATCAACCCCTGACGTTGGAAGTCAGGGGGGGGGAGTGATTGAGTGAGACTTGCGGAGCCTACGTCGTCTGACCATGCAACCCTGCAACCCTGCAACCCCCAAACTTGGTGGTGGCGACATGGTGGGCGTTTTAACATCCCGCAAAAAAGAATGGACAGCCACTCAGTTTTTTTTTTGGACAAAAGCAACCAGTGGTATTCTAAAGAACACCCCTATGATACCCCTTTCTGTGATACAACAGTGGTTCCCACCCGGACCACTTTATGACAAAATCCCCGGAGATTCCATTGGCTCAATGAAAGTGACAGCCTCAAGTCACCGATGTTCCCACCCCACGACCCCCGAGTAAGCAGCACCTTCTGCTTTCTTTTGGGGGGGTCGGAGCGATGGGTTCGCAATGAGACTCGCTCAGCCATGCATGTCAAGTCACTGCGTCTCTGCTGCAATCTCCAGTGGGATTTTTTGCTGCAGGAAGGGATCCTCAGGGTAATTTCGGCGCAGCTTTCGGAAGACATCCATGGGATCCATGTAAATCCAACGAGGGAATCATCCATCCACGTAAGCCTAAGGCTGAGTAAAACATCTTTCATTGACAAATGCAGGGGGGCAGGCTGGAGAATAATTACCCAAGCGAGAAGCTGTAGGGTCCAAGCTGAGTTCGTTAAACAATTGTGCAGAAAAGTCCTCACGCTTTTGCCTGGGGTCTCAGGGCTGCTCCAAAGGCGTCGCAAAGGTGGAGGATTGCCCCCTGACCCAATCGGTAAGGAAAACCAAGACCCATTACTCTCTTCCCATCGAGTGGATTGGCAAAAAAAAAACTGATGTTTTTACCAAAGTGGTCCTAACCCAAAAGGCAATTGTCAGTCTACCTCTACCTTTGTTGCTTTGTCATTGCTGAATTCGAAGGCAACACTGCTTTGCCTTGGCTTGTCACTGTTTCGAAGTTGGTCTGGATGTGGATGCTTTGAGCCAAAAGTGAACCCCCCCTCTTTCGGAAAATAGAAGGCACCCCGCCACCCGCGGATTCTGACCATAACTCTCTGGTAAAGCGGTGGACCATTTACGAACTGAAAGGAACATATCTGGCTACCTGTGGTAGCTGGGAATCCTTTCACCAGCAGCCTCTTGACACGGTGGCGCTTGTGCAAAAATGGATTCAAGAACTTGGCCCATCGGCCCATCGTTGCTGGTTTGAGTTGGTGGTTTGGTGGTGAAAGACAGACTCCCATTAACCCTCTACAAGAAGCAGAGGTTCAAATTGCCAAACCACCAACCCATAACATGTTCAGTCCATAGCTCGTCTACCCTCATTCTAAGACCCCAGGTTTGCTGGACATCGACAAACTCCTTCTGGAGAAAGCACTGGCATACTCCTTATACTCGACCTCAACCCCTTGGTACAAGTCCACATGATTTCCGGCACTGTGTTACCATCAAAGTAATAATCCCCTGTTACGCTACCAGCAACAAACCCTGACGTTGCAAGCTCTGAAAATAAGGTCAACATTATTCGTGAGATACCCCCCCACTCCAAATACCCTCTTGTTCCAAGGCAGTGTTTTGAGAACCTGGCTTCCATGGTAAATACACCCTTTCTAGTAAAGGATTGACATGCCCTGGACACACATTTGCAGGGGGTACATACTCCTGTACCTCACTCCCGCATTCCGGGCGTCGCAGGGGTATGGCTGCTGCGCGGAGAAGGAACGAGCCTCAGATCGGCTTCGGCAGAAAACATGCGCAGGGCAACACAAAGACTCTCCACCCGTCCGCAAAACTTCAGCTTCCATTTGCCTTTTTGCCACCTGAAAAAAAAGAAGATATGTCCAGTAGTGATCAATTCCAGGAAGAAAAAAAACAAAACAAGAAGGAAACAACATATTCCGAAGCAAATGGAAGTCAGCTTCCCTCTAATTGGTGGTTTGGTGGTTGAGGGCAGCTTCCTCTTTACCCTCTACAAGAGCCAGGGGTTCAAATCCACCAACCCAAATCACCAATCAAGGCGTCAAGGTGCACCCGAAAACTGGGTCGGTCTGCTTTCACCAAAGATCCACAGGTAGAGTGCAGCCATTCCCGACGGGGGGCGGGGAAAAGGAGGCGGGGAGGCTCACTGCAAAAGCCCTCCGCAAATTGCCAGCCACGCAGGCCGAAAAAACGGCTGTAAATCGGGCTCAAAGTAGTCAAACTAGGAATGGGAAGGACTAAGAGACTTGCAGTTATGCCAAGCGCTGGCAGTCAAATTTGTCAACGAAGGTCATTGAAGACTCAATTTGATGGGTTGGGTCCTGGTAAAAGCTTGAGCTTGTTGGACTTTCGTTCAAGCATGGAAGTTGGAGTGTTGAGGCAGGCCAAGTCTGACTGTGGAGGGGTGTCAGGATTGAGTTGGCGCCTTTGACTTTGCAGACTGCAGGGTTCTGTCAGATGATTTGTTGGGCCTTTGCTGGGGTTGCTTCAAGGGAACCCAAAAGGACTGATTACCCATTTCTTGACACCCGTCAATATGAGGTGTCCCTTGGGAAAAGTTGAATTGGACAACTGGATGGCCTCTCAAAGGACCGCTCCCCACCCACCCCAGCCCAGTGCGTCCGGGTAAGCCACGACGGTAGGTAAGCATGCGTTTCTACCTCCAGGTCTTACCATTGGTTTTACCATTGGTTTCACCGATTTCCTAGTATGGTGGTAAATGGAAGAGCTGGGTATTGTAATGGAGGAACCCCATCTGAGTAACCTAGCTGCTGGCTCCGAGCTTGATTGAGCAGCAGCCAACACACCTTGTCTGCCAAATCGAGTTTCGCTGTACTAAGTTTGTTGCTCACAGGTTTGCTTTCCAGTGACCTGGCCAAACAGCCAAATGGATTTGTCTTAGAACAAACAAGGGACCCCCGAAAAGGCGTCCTTTTGGGTTCCCTGTTTTGAGACGCCCACATATTTTGCCAACCGGTTTTCTTGGGTTGACATTATTCTGATATTCATGCCAGGAAAGCTCATCATGTCCGGTCAAGATCATGCTGGCCCAAGAAATTTAGAGGCGTTAGGATCAACCTAAACAAAAACACACAAAAAAACAGAGGGCTTTGCAAAGCAAAAGAGGTTGTGGGGCCCTGTTTCCGGACTTCACTTGATATCGTGGCATGTGGTTGGGGAATTGCAACCCGAATTCCTTCTGAATCTGTTTTTTCTTTTCCCCCGCATGAAGTCTCCGAGCAAGGCCGTAAACCAACGAGCAAGCACATGCAACGTCCCTCCTCTGACTTGGCCCAATTCGTCCCGCGCGTGGCGTATTTGCCAGGTTCTCACACTCAGGTTCCCCTTTTGCAACCTTGGACGGCACCAGTCACCAAGAAGCCTCTCCTTCAAACCATGATCCCTCCAAAGGAGACCAATCCCATGGCCAACATGGGATTGAAAATCAGCCCAGTGATTCCATGTCCCTTAGTATGGCATCCCAGAAAGAACAACACCACTTGAACAGGAAACAGAAGAACACGACTTTCGTCTGTCGTCTTGCATTTCGAATCGAGTGCAAGGCACGTCCAGGTTCGCGCAATGCGTCAACAAGGCAGAGACCACTTCCTGCACGTCGGAGTCCATGAGATTGCCCCGGCCTCATGGAATCCACAGCGAATGGGAACCCGACATTTTGTTAGAAGAGTTTAACCATATGGCAGTGGGTCAAAAATAGGTACCCAAAATGAAACTCTGGCAAATGCCATACCCATGTGGTTCCCGTTTCAACCTGTAGACTTACTTCCGATCGAGTGGAGTGGCCCAAGAAAGTAAGGAAACTTTTGGTGCAAGCCACTGATGTGGTCCAAAGCCAAAAACTGACTAAAGTCCGAAACAAAACTCACGAAGTGAGCAATTGGAAACTGGAAGCACTAGTGGCATCACAAGAGTCTCGCCAACTTCCAAGCTAAGCGATCCTCTTTTTACTGGAGTGACGGCTGAGCTGAGTGGTGGGGGAGACGCCAGCAAAAGAAAGCGTGCACCTGGCGTCTCCACATGACCAGTTCAACAAAGGCCCTTCTGTTTGCTACGGACCCCGAAAATTTAAAATTCGGGACAGAAGGAGACTTGAGGTGACGTGCACGGTTTTTGGATCGTTGACCATTCTCGGTAAATTCTTAAAGGCTGGAATCCACGCGACTGGAAGATTAGTCAACCAGAATAGGCCTGGAGTTATCTGGTTTTGGACGCGAAGCAAACGCCCTGAGCCAAGGTGGTCCCCTGAAGCCCAGAGAGTCTTTGAGGAAAGCTTTCGCAAGTAAAAGCAACCAAGTCCCTTACAAGGTACGCGGACCCTGGGGTCTGCAATAAAAACACCCCACTAAACATCCCGTTCTGGGTTTTTGAGTTTTGTTTTTGTCGCCTTTTTGTCTGAACAATTAGCAGGCAATCTCACACCCATGAGCCCAGACCTCCCCCCAAACCTTTGGCTGGTGGATTTTGACTTGCGAACGCTCAGGGCACTGTAAACCATGCACCAAGCTGCCAAGCGGGTCTCATGTGGGTACCAATGCATGGGTGAAGTTCCTTTGGTTTCTAGAAACAAACATCGGGTGCAAATGGGATGCAGTACTCTAAAACACACAGCTGCTCTCTTCTTTGGTGGTTTGGAGGTGTCGAGGTTGGGGGATTCCCATTCACCCTCTACTAGAACCAGGTGTTCAAATCCGAATCCAAACCGCCGATCCAAGACACCAACTATATGGGTCCGCCAGTTTTGGAGGGAACCCCTAAGAAGGTACTTGGGTTGTTTTACGGGGAAACCACAAGAGCAACTGAAACCATGTTCTCGCTTCCTGGGTGGATGGCCCAAAAACTGTCTGTTTAACACTAAGCCAACCAAGTATAAAGTCCATGACCTCAGGAAGTGAGTTTTGCGGGTGCAGCAAAAAACAAACACACCCACATCTCCTGAAGCAACCCGCCTCCGATGAGGGCGATGAAGTGCAGAGGGGTGCAGCCGTCCTGCGACAACGGAGCACAGCCCCAAAACGACCAAACCCCAATGTCCGTGATACCCACCCGATGCAATGTTGCTGGCAAACAAGCAAGCAAGCAAGCAAGCAAGCAAGCAAGCAAGCAAGCAAGCAAGCAAGCAAGCAAGCAAGCAAGCAAGCAAGCAAGCAAGCAAGCAAGCAGACAGACAGGCAGGCAGGCAGACAGACAGACAGACAAACTGGCAGGCAGGCAGGCAGACAGATAGACAGACAAACAACAAAACGCAACACAACACTACCCAACGCAACACAACTAACCAACAAACAAACAAATGAATAAACAACAATAAAGAACGAAAGCAAGAAATAAACAAAGAGAGACGCAACGAGCAAGCCATGAACAAACAAACAAACACACAAACAAACAAACAAGCAAGCAAACAAGCAAGCAAGCAAGCAAACAAACACACAAACAAACAAACAAACGAACACACAAACAAACAAACAAACAAACAAACAAGCAAGCAAGCAAGCAAGCAAGCAAATAAATAAACAAGCAACAAGCAATAAGCAACACAACAAACTCAAACGAACGAACGAACGAATGGACAAACAAAACAAACAAACACAATCAACACAAAACAAGACAACACAAAACAAAACACTCCAACCCAAATCAAAAAAAACACAAAACTACGCAACCCAACTCAAACCCATCAGAACCAACCAACAGGCAGACAAACAGCAGGACAACAAACCACGCAAACAACCTTCTTTCAGAATCACAAACATGACACCTCTTGGCAATGTAAGTGCCTAAATTATTCTCATGATGGGGCTGTGGGGTACTATGATGTTAACTTGAGGGGAATCAGCTAGCGCCTTGTTCTTCAAACGGGGAAGGGTCCTTGCACGGCTCTGACCCCTCTCAGGGACACCCCGATATCCCTCAAATATGCGTGTGATGCGACAGCCAAATGGAATCCCATCTCCATGACTGCTTTGTCACTTCCACGGGGATTTCCTTGGTATCTCAGAAAGCGGCCTATTCCAACTTGCCAGCACTCCTCAACTGGGTTGCGCTTTCCCACTGAGCAAAAGGTCGATCATCTGTTGCAGGTTTAATGGAAAGCCAACATGTGTTGCCGAAAGGTCCAACAGGGGCCCTTCGGCCACACCAACAGCAAGCCATGAATAGATAGGCATTCCCAACCGGATAGGCTGCTTCGCCCGCATGGTCTGAGACATCGACGGCGCTGGCTGAGCTGGCTGGTCTTCGTGGGCTGCACATGTTTCCAAGGCGGCTCCAGCATCTCTGCGGATTCAACTGTCTGAGGCTCTAAGAAACCAGCAACTGCATATTCTACAGGAAGTCCGTGTTTTGGGAAGGACTTTGGCCACAACATCCCGCAAACACCTGCTGGAAAACCCTCTGGTCCGAAGAAGGGAAATTGAGGGGCCGGTGCAGAGACTTAGCATGTCTGCTGCGGGTTCCTGAATCCAAGCAGTCGCTCAACCATGGTCCACAATGGACCACTCTGGAAAGGCAAGGTCAAAACACGCCACCAAAACCGGATCAGATGAATCTGGCACTTGCTTTGCCTTACCCCTGAAAACTCCAAGCCCTGGGGAAGTTAATCTTTTACAGACATATAGCCCATGTTACCCCCAAAAAGTTGAAAAGTTGTGTTTTTTAAGAGGGAAGTTGCAGTCGTGATGCTTTTGAAGGGCCTCCAGGGGGCCTGTTTCATCTGCAGCCTTTGGGCCTTGCGCTTCTCCTTGTTGATCGCGTCCGCGCGGGCCTTGTGCTCCAAGAGCCAAAGTACCTCAGCGATCCGCCACAAGTCAGATGGAATTGTTGTCGCTTTTTCAAGCTACCCCTTGCTTAGCTTTTGGTAGAGGGGTTAAAGGAAAGCCAAAAGGAAAACCAAACTCCATGCTGGGAGTTCAAATATCTAACTTGGCCCATACCAAAAATGTACAAAAGCAGTTGTGCCCAAGGAAAACCAGGGTTTATCTTTAAGTCTCTGCTGCAAATAGTGGAACCCCCTAGAAGTAAGGGGTCCCTTTCTTTCTGCATTCCAAGAGGGTCAACAGGTAAACTCGGAAGAACACTTGCGCCGAGGGCTTCCCTTGTTTCCACACCCAGCTTTTCACACATGAGCTACCTCTCAGATTGGTTCTTGAGATTCGGTCTGACTAAAGAATCATCAAAAAGTGCTTTCTTCAAGGCCTCCAAAGGGGAAGTAGAGTTCCCTCTCAACAGATGATCAATCTACTGCTGGTTTCCAGTAAAACGATCGCGACGTTTGAGGAAACCTGTATGATTCGAGGGACCCCTATGTAGGGGGGAGGGGGGACCCCCACATATACATTTAAGCTGCGACCACAATCCTACCGCACCCCCCCCCAATATACATAAACATCCGCTTTTGCTGGGTTTTGCCCCAAACATCAGCAAGAGACCAAAGCCAAGCAGGCCCATGGCAGACCCTGAAAAACTCCAGCTGCGCAAAAGAAACGGCGCCCACACACAACAAGCAAATTAGGAGCCCTCCTGAAAGACGCCCCACTTCACGCAAGTGATCAGCCCGACAAGTAGGCCCTGAAAGAAACAAGCTTCGCAAAAAAACGGGGGCCACACACAAAAAGAAAAATTACAAGCCCTACAAAAGCAGCAGGCCGACCCAGCCGGCCACGCTGGGGCCTGAAAAAAACACAGCTAGCGCAACAAAACGGCAGCCACACACAACAAGCAAATTAGACACCCTACGCAAAAATCATTAAGAAAGCAGCAGCCCGACCAAGCAGACTAGTAAACGGCCAAATATAACCGCGCAAAAAAAATAAACAATCAAGAAACAATCAAGTGGGTTAGTGACAAGCCCGAAACAAAAACAAACTGCAAAAACACAAAGCGCAGCGAAACACAACAAACAAATTAGAGGCTCTACTTGCCAACAAACAGTTGACAAAAAAACAGCTGCCCGAACAAGCAGACCAGTGACAGGACCTGAAAACAAGCCGCGCACAAAAAATCCAGAAGCCCCACTAAAAACATCCCACGTGACGAAGAGCAGCAGCCCCGACCAAGCAAACAACTAGCAGGCCCTGAAAAACAACTTCGCAAAAAAGGCAGCCACACACAACAAGCAAATTGGAAGCCCTACTAAAAGCATCACATTTCACGAAAAGCATCAGCCCGGGCCAGTGACAGGCCCCAAACAAAAGCTAGCTGCAAAAACACGGCGGCAGCTACAAAGCAAATTAGAACCATTGAAGGGGCGACCGCCGAGGGGGTCATGGCCCGACCGGCGACGGGGTCGGGGCCCGACCGCCGGCAGGGTCGGGGCCCGACCGGCGACGGGGTCGGGGCCCGACCGGCGACGCGGTCGGGGCCCGACCGCCGGCGGGGTCGGGGCCCGACCGCCGACGGAGTTGGGGCCCGACCACAGGCCCTGAACAACATCAATCTGCACAAAAGAAAGGCAGCCACACACAAGCGAATTAGAAGCTCTACCTTGACGAAAAGCAGCAGCCCGACCAAGCAGCCCAGTGACAGCCCTGTAAAAAATCAAGCCGCGCAAAAAAGGGCGGCAGCCACACAACAAACCAGAAGCCCGGCGAAGACATCCCACTTGCAAAAAAACAAGAGACCAGAAGAGCACGGGAGCAGGAGACTAAGGAACATGATTGAAACGTGTCTTGTTTTTTGATGGCCAGTGACAGGCCCTGACAAAAACCCAGCTACGCAAAAAAAAGGGCGGCAACCCCACACAAAAAACTAATTAGAAGCTCTGCTAAAAACTCCCACTTCACGAGAATCATCAGCCAGACAAGTAGGCCAGTGCCAGGCCCTGAAAACAATCCAGCTGCCAAAAATAAACGGTGAACAAATTCAAAACAGTCGCTCTACCTGAAAAAAAAAGCTCAGGTGGCATCCCCAACAGCATGCGGTGCTCTTTTTAGTGCGCGCATCACCCCGCACCCCTCGCAGAACCTCGTGGAACCCTGATGGAACGTCATTGGACCTTGGTGGAACGCTCGCGGAACCTCACCTCAGGGCCGTCCGGGACCACCCCGGAGCCTATCTGGGCTGAGACCCCAAAGCTTTCAGCTGTTGGAGGAAAAAACAACTTCACGAAAATCATCAGCCCAACAAGTAGGCCAGTGACAGGCCCTGACAAATATCCAGCTGGACAAAGAAAGGCGGTAACACAGACAACATGCAAATTAGAAGTGCTACTCAAAACATCCTGCTTCAGGAAAAGGTCGGCTGGCGGGGTCGGGGCCCTGCTGGCGGGGTCGGGGCCCGACTGCTGGCGGGGTCGGGGCCCGACTGCTGGCAGGGTCGGGGCGCGACAGCACGCACAGTTTCCTTTGCGACCGGGCGCTGAAATGTAAACCTACACAGGTGGCTACAAAGGACTACTTGTCGGGCTGATGATTTTCGTGAAGTTGGTTTTTATGTAAAGATTCTATTTTGTTCGCCGTGCATTTTGTGCAGCTGGATTTTTTCAAGGCCTGGCACTGGCTACTGGTCTGGCTGATGATTCTCGTGAAGTGGGCTTTTTCAACTAGGGCTTCTAATTTGGTTGTTGTGTGTGGGTGCCAATTTGTTGTACAGTTTTTCCTGGGCCTGTCACTGGCGTGCTTGGTCGGGCTGCATTTTTTGTGATTTGGGCGTTCTGCAATAGAGTTTCTAATTTGTGTTTTGTCAGTGGCTGCCTTTTTTTCGCGGCTAAAGCCATTGTTGCGTCAGGGGTCACTTGTTCTTACGCCCGGCGGGCTTAAGAACAAGTAGGCACTTTAGCGAACAAGTGACCAGGTCACTTGTTCCGGTTGGCCCCCACTTGTTCTTATGCCCGCCGGGCGTAAGAACAAGTGACCCCTGAAAACGCTTGGGGCTGGGAACTAGCCAAGGCATTCCAGGACTCGTGGGAGCGGCGCAGTGGCAGCATCTGATACCTACACCAAGCAGCGTATTTGCTCTGTCGAATTACTTGATTCGTCGCACGGACGCCCGTCATTTCGATCTACAGACGGCATCACTGGCATCGCCAGCATCACCAGCAATGACGCCTAGCTGATTCTCGCTCTGACGAATTAGCTAATTCGTCGCACGGACACCTGTCGCCGTGTCGCCTTCATCTTCGGAGTGCGTCACCGGCATCGCCAGCATTACCAGCAATGACGTCTAGCTCTCTGACGAATTAGTTAATTCGTCGCGCGGACACCCGTCGCCTCGATCTCACCGGCATCGCCAGCATCACCAGCATTACCAGCAATAAAGTCTAGCTGAGACGCTGAGATTCGCTCTGGCGAAGTAAAGCTAATTCGCATTACCAGCAATGAAGTCTAGCTGATTTTCGCTCTGACGAATTAGCAAATTCGTCGCACGGACACCTCGCCTTGATCTACGGAGTGCATCACCGGCATCGCCAGCATCACCAGCATGAAGTCTAGATGATATTCGCTCTGTCGAATTAGCTAATTCGCATTACCAGCAATGAAGTCTAGCTGATTTTCGCTCTGACGAATTAGCAAATTTGTCGCGCGGACTCGATCCACACACTGGCATCAACAGCCTCGCGAATCCCTGGAGCACAATGAGTGCATACGCTAAGGCGCTGCTTGCTATCTGTTTGCTCTGCTCAAAATATTTAGAGGCACCCCTGCCCCGGTTCGATGTTCTCACACCTCTGTGATCCCGACTTCTCACACCTCTGTGATCCGGACAGCAACGAATCCGACACTCGTCGCCCTTCCATTTCAGCTAGTTCCTCGCGATGCCGGCGGCCTTCTTTGCAACGAATGTATCTAAATCGCAGCTCGGCCCCGCTTGCAATGATGTGGGAAACGCTGGGACTGCTCAATCAACTAGCTCTCTCCCACACAGGCTTTCTCGTCAGCACTCCCCTGCTGGAATTTTCGAAAGCCTGCGGCTATCGGTCTGACGTAGTGGATAGCAACGCATTGCTCCGATTGCTCTGGGTAAACCAGCTTGTTTGCTAGGATTTTGCATGCTTAGTGAGGGCTCCATGTATCTCAGAACCGACGATCGCCACGGGGTGGTGTGGATCGACTTGAACCTTGGCCGGAGCAGGAAGTGATCACAGGGGCCCAGCTGAGTTCTGTTGCGCCTCGCGTACGGCGCAAAGCTCGTGCCCTTCAGCATGGCGCTGCGACGATGCGCTTACTTGAGCTAGGAAACTAAACACCACTACTCTTTCGAACGAATGCTTCCTATAGGGCTCATATCCGGCAGTGCGTTGCTTCAGCGTCACTTGAAAGCAGTGACAACACGTACTTTGTCTTCAGGGCGGCCCTACTCAAAGCAAAATGCAGCAAGCCCTATACGAGCGGCGGTCGTAAACCACTTAGCAAGTAGATAGGGTCCGCGTCTGTACAGCTGACTTCTTGGCACTTACTTCTCAAAGAAGAGACCGAGGTGAGCGACACGATGCCCCAGAAGACGGTGGCGTCAGCAAGACTGACAAGCTTCCAAACAAGGCGCGCAGTGCTTCCCCCGAAGCAATCCCAGTGTTGACTTCGAAGCGAGCTGGAAGTTTGACCCTCATCACACTTTCAAATCTTGGGCCCTCTCGGAGGCGCGTGCTTTTACACGTGTGCGATGCAGGAGCTAGAGCTGTTGAACGCCGGTGGGGGGGGGCCTAATTGGAGAGACAATTGTAGTGGGTGTTGAAGTAGGCCAGGGCCAGCCACTTGAAGCAACCTTGACAAAGTTGGCGGATATGTCCCTGGGCTTTGTCCACGTGGTCCGCGCAAAAATCAGCGCCTGTTGAGCAGCAGAAGAGTCTCACAATCAAGGAATCGGACACCATCGCCTCCATCAGGCCCTGGCAGCACAAGATGGAGCTTGCTCAGCTACATGCCGTACTACATGCCCACTTCAACACTCCGTACGAGTTCTAGGACATGTTTTTGGCAAAGCCCGTTCTCGGGCTGCTGCCGGAATGCGTGATGCGGATTGCTGGCACATGGGCCTCTAGAATCGCGCAACACCTAATTTGAAAGCATTCCAACACTGAGCCGCAAACTCGCGGACCTTTCCAGGTCCATTTGCAACCATTTGCTTCTGTCTACCTACAATTGTGCCTACCTTCCAAAAGGCTGTGACTGTATATCGCTTTCTTAGGTTCTCAGCCTTGGCAAAGCGCTTAAGACTCTTGGGGCGGCAAACGTGGAAAATGTATTAAATACATTCCCCCCTTCCCACTGGGCATACATTATGAAAGGGGTCCCGCGTATAATTAGTGGGTTACAAACGCTAGTTCGGGCTAGAGTATTAAGCCTCCTGGATGACACCCCATATAGATCCACCAGCAGTTCCTTCATTCTGGGATGCAAGTGCTTCCGCGAATTCTACAAGAACTCAAACACCAGAAGAAGAAAAAAAGCCAACTGTCGAGGGGAGTTCGCCGTAAAATGGACAGATTACTTGAGACAGGACACTGCATCCTTCTGGCCCAAGTAGGCGGCATCATGGATGGGGCAGTAGAAGTCAAAGCGCTGATCGCAGCCCTTGATGTTCACCTCTCAGCGCAGCTGCTGGGCTGCACAGCCCTCCCAAATCAAAGACAATGAGCAGCGACCAAAATTCATGGACCTTGGTTCTAGTAAGATCTGGTTTCTGCCTTTGACAAGCAAAAAAGTGGTAGGAAAGCATATCTTTTGGAAGGGGTCTGGTAAGATATTGATCCCAACTTATGTAATAAGAGATCCCCTAAGAAATGCTCATTGTGGGTGGATTTATGCCCATCGGTAATCGGTGAGCTCGATAAACAAATACCTGCGGGCTCCAAGGCCTGGTACAGGGGAATAGGCAGCCGATGCCTCGTTTGCGGTTGACCTTCAGTGAGTTCCCTTGCCCCCTGCCAAATGGACCATGACCGAAAATGCGGACCAAAACGATCGAAAATTACAAGAGAGCGGAAGAGGGAAAACCTGACTTTGCTGACGACAAGTGCGATCTTTCGCGTTCCAAAGAGTTTGACGCTGAAACACGAACAGTAGAGACATGCACTTGTCGGGCGAGGCCCAAGACCTTCTCATGGAAAGGCCAAGAGATGGAATGTGTTCTCCTTTGCCCAGCTTGGGACCCGTAACCTTTTGGGGCTACGACCAACAATGGGTTGAAATTGCAAAATTGGAAAACCTCAGGTCGTTTCGCCTCGGGGCGGGGGGTGAGTTAAGCCTAGAACCTCTCGGTGCATCTTATAGGATATGGAGCCGGGTTCCAAAATGGCAGGAGCTTCCTGATCGCATAATGTTGATCCCATACTGTGGATGGACAAAATCCTGCACCACCAAAGAAAGCCTGGAATAATGATGCCCCTGTAAATGCCAACAAACACTTGGGTCCCACGATTGCCAAGTGGTGCCTAAGAGGATTTCGTCCATCCACAGTATTAATGAAACCCGGATTAATGATGGAAGGTGGGTAACGGTGTTTCCTTTTTTAAGGCCAAAACGTATGGCCCGCGACCGCCCGGGAGGCGGGTCCCCGGGACCTCCAAAAAGTGTGGCAGGCGCGGCAAAAATGGACTTCCGAGCCCCCCGAGCCCCACCCCAGCTTCATGCTCCATACCCCCTTCATGGAGCGCGGCGGCTTTACCTGGTTTTATACTGCTATCATCAACACAACCCTAAATCTAAACCCTAGATACCCCCCACTAAAAACCCACAAAACCCAAAACCTAAACCCTAAAAAGCGTAGGCCTAAACAACCTAAACCCTAAGAACCCTAAACCTAAGCCTTAACAGCCCTAAATCTAAACCCTAAAAAGCATAAACCTAAACCCTAGTAACCCTAAACCTGCCAGCACGATCATGACCTTGTGGGCGACACGTATATTTTGTGGGCTTTTTTTTACTAGGCCTGGTTTTCCGCAGGGCTCACCAGCATCGCTTGGTCCTGCGGCCGCCTAGTGGCTCTGATTGGGTGGCAGGAGTTGCTGTGGGCTGGTTTAAGTTAGGGGGCTTTTGGCCATCCACAGCAGGTTACTGTTGAGCTCCCCTAACTAAGGTTCACGTTCTTATTAGGGAGGGGGGGTTACAACCCAAGCGGCTAGCCACTTATTTGGCCGAACATCGAAGTATGCTCAGCCCTGGGCCCTCCTGGGAAGTAGGCTACGTACTTTCTCCCCTACAACATGCTTGCCCCACCCAAACCTTTCTTTTCTCAGTTGCCCAAAGGACCTGGCAACAAAAGGTTACCCTTTTGGGGCCAGTACTAAAAATGGACCAAAAGGAGAAAACCAAAAGGTCCAAAGGTCGGCTTTGGGCAACTAAGTCTTGACATGGGGCTGCTAACGTTTCTTTGTGGTAAATACGTATGTATATAATGTGTCTACATATTATGTGTGTGTTCAGGTTCCAGGTCCCACCCCTCCCATGGCTCTACATATAAACAATATCTGTCGATGAAAAAATATATTGGAGGCACTTATCAGGGAAAAGAAAAAAACAACATTTTATTTTTTATTTATTTAAAAAAAAAAAAAAAAAAAAAAAAAAAAAAAAACAACAACATGTTCTTCCCCTGAACAAACTAGAACCACGCCGCGCCCCCGAGTCCGAGCGCCGCGCCGTTGCGAAGCTCGACACGAGGCCTGGGCTCTCGCGTATGAGGGCGATCTAAGCAATGGGAACCCTAAGTAGAACCCCAGGTTGACGGGGGGCACCCCCCTGTTTTTCGGGACTCAGGCCGCTTTTGGAAGGAACAGGCCCCTATTAATAGGACGGGTTTATGCAATCCGGGGTCAACATTACAAACATGATTCTCCCAGATTCACGGCCGAAATTGGTCTACAACTACCCCACGACCGCATTCTCAGCATTCAGGCCCGCACGAAGGAAAAAAAAAAACTATGCAATGTTCGCTTGGGTTTCAGAGAACACCGTCCTTCTGAAAGAAAGCAACCAAGTAATGGGTTTAGAAACAAGAAAAAACATACTATGGGCAAGGTAACATGAGTCACCAACTTCAAGAAAAGCATTGTCAAAGCTTACCCCAGGTTGTACCACCAGTGCACCAAACCCTTGGAACATACCCCTCAAGGATAAGCCACACATTAAGGGCAGGTCAGGTGTAAAACCGCTTTCAATCAAAAAAGCAGAGCAAAGGCGCCGTATCACCGGACTTTTGAAACATCACAATTTGAGTGACTAAGGGGTTGATCAGCCCTACATGAGGTTAAACTGTCATATTTCTTCTTTGGGCTTTGGTCTGGGACCCGGTCAGTGGGGGCCGGGGGGGGCCGTGAACATGGAGCTGCCACTTCCGTGCATAGCAGGCAACCAAGACCCTGCCGCCCTTGGTTACCTACTGGACGGGCAAGTGGGATCGCATGGTTAAAACTGAATTGCTGTGCGACGAGCTCGATCGAGTTGTTCTCTCACACTAGCATGTCTAGGCCAAACATGTCCAGTGTGTCAAGTGTCAATTTCCTACATAGGTTAACAAGGGGTATCACCCCGAACAACAACTATGAACGATTTGGCTAGCTATGGTGGTACCTGGGGTCCACTTGGCAGATTATGTAATGCTTTTATATATATATATACACCCGTTGTACAATTTTTGTCTCCGCCAATGTCCAGCCGCATATCCCCATAGACTGCATCTTGCCAAAGGTTCCCTAAGAGTCTAAGAAGAATACCAGGAAGCTCTGCTACTTGGAATGCTCATCTCAAGGCCCTCCAGCGGCGCAAAGGGGAACACAAAGAGGATTGCTGAGTGGTCCGGAATTGAGCTAGAACCCTTGTGTTTGCGGGAAGATCGCTTTGGTGGGAAACACAACAGCTCTTTGGACTTTGGAACCAAACAACTCAGAAGGTATCTCTGGAGCCCCAAAAGACAACATCATCGAACCTCCTGTGAGTTATCTAGGGAACTAATGAGGTTTCTCCCCACTTCTTTAGCACCCCGGCCTTTGGGGTGAGCTTAAAGAGAAGCAACCCCTGCGAGGGAGAAATTTGAGTGGTTCCAAGTATAAAAGACACTTCCTGGCATGGGTTTTTGAGGCACGGAGCTATATAGGGAAGCAATGGGCAATGGTTGCAGTGTACAGCACTGTTTTATGGGGGACATTGAACCACCTCCGATCTCCGAACAAGGCGAGAACCCGAGGATCGAAACCACCCCTCACTCCCTGAGTGGATGGCCCAACAAAGCGTCTGAGCTTCTCCTTTACCAGTCAAATGGCCCAAACCCAAACCGGTCTAAGTTCAGAAACTCACAAAGTCAGACATCCAAGTTTTTTTTCCCAAGTTGTTGTGTGTTCTTTATGTATATTGTTTTTGCTTCTTTGTCGTTTCCTTGTTTTTCTCTTTTTCTCCAGCGCCCGCCCGCATCCGCCGTCATCCGAGGCGCGGGGCACGTTGGAGGCCGCGTTGCTCAGGGCGCGCATGGCCTCCAGGGACCCCAGGCCCGCGGCCAAGTGGATGGCCTCGAGCTCCGTCTCGTAGGTGACCTCCGGAGGTCCCATCGCGGAGTCCGAGGGGATGAAATCGGCTCGCTCCGTGAACCGGCAAGGGGGTGTGTGAGGCCAGGAGACCGCTACGAGGTCCTCCAGATTTGAGAAGCTAGAATAAGTTGGCACCGTTTCTTTGTTCTCTAGTCGGGGAACCCTCCCCCAAAAAAGGGGGCACGGGGTTTCGCAGGACCTATGGTAAGTACCTGGACTTCCCAATACTTCCCATAAGGGGATTGACTTTTTTGCAATGTGATCGAAACACCTGAATGATCTTCCGAAGTAAAGGATCTTTACCATGGCTTGAGCGTTCTGCTTTCAGGTGAGCCCGGCATAAATTATGCAGATGGCTGGTTGACCCCGAAATTGGCACAGTTGGCATATCCTAGGTACTTGGAGCCTCAAACAACTTGCGAACGGTGGGAGGGATGCAGGGAATGAGAAATGGAATGACCCCAAGAAAGAAGAACACATCCCACTCATTTTCCAATCTTCGGGATTGCTTGTTGGTATTTACACGCGACGTGACAACAGGAGAATGATGAACCCCGCGGCGATCGTTTTCGCGTGGGCTGTCGATCAGCCGATCGGAGCTGTAAATGCTGGCGAGGGGCATCATCCCTGAGCGCACGCACTGCCAAAGTGTTTGAGTCGTCCCTCATGTTGGCCCACAAAAACCGGGGACTCTAAAACAAGTAAGTTGATTTGTTCAGATTCTGTGTCATGTTCAGTCTTTATAACACTAAATAGTGTAGGAGACCACATGTTGATCCTTGATGAACTTGCCTGGCGAATTACTTGCGATGAAACATACTTCCTTTAGTGAAGAACCTCTTCTTGGGGTTGCACCCTCCCTCCTCAGCCCTGTATAAGCCAGCATCTACGAATCCTGGGACAGCACACGGCTTGAATCTTCGGCCCTGGTTAGCGGGTCCAGAAACTGTCTTTGCCAGCGGCTTCAGTTCATCAGGCGAGGTCAGTAGTTGGTAATGCACTTACCATGGTTGTAAGTCACCTAAAATAAATCTAAAGCCAAAGACCCACAACTAATTGTAACGATATCTCCTTGTCGGGACCTGCCCCCCCCACACGTGTGTTAGTTCCATCCCGGCAGAAACGACATGTTATATTCACTTCCTGCGTGGCCAAACCATGTTCATATTTGCGTTGCCACTCAAACGGTCTCGCTAGAATGTTCATGAAACAGTCAGTTTAAAGTCCAGAAGCTCACTTCCTGAGTGGCAAAAAGGCCCAAGAAGGTCCAAACCTTTTGCTTGCCGCTGAAAGAAAGTCAAAACCCAAATAGTGGCTCAAGTCCAGAAACAGCGGTAGCGAGAAAAATCTTCAAGTCCAGAGACTCAGGAAGTGAGGGAACATAATGGAAAACCAAAAGGATAAGTTGCAAAACTGAGTCTGGCAATGGGGTGGGACAGCCACAAGCCACCAGTGGTTATCTGTTGCTCGCTTAGCCTGGGGCGTGGAAATACAGAGGGATCACCTCGAAGCACCTTGACGAACGGCCAAGCTGTGCGTGAATCAATAGGACCCGACTCGTGGACGTCAAAAAACGGGATGCCAGCGTGTCCACCATTTTTTTCCGGGATGCGGCCCACACAGAAGGCCCATGGCGTCAGTTGGGATGTGGCCATCCGCACACCGAAAGGTCCATGGCGCAACCCGTTTTCCGCTCGCCACCCGTCTTGGAAGTTGTTGCAAATCCCAAAACCCGGGTCCCATCAAGTCCGGTCTCCGGGAAAACCGGTCAGGAAGTCTTCGGGCTTCAGGTCCAAAGCCGCACAGCCTGAAGTGCTGAACGCCAGCCAAGAACCAACCCACCAACCAACCAACTCACCAACCCACCAACCAACCAAGCAACCAAGCACCCTAGTGATAAAAAAACAAAAAACACACGGCCCTAGGGGAAAAAAGCAAAGACCAGACACCGGATCCCGGATTTTGGAGCCAAACAAAAAAATCCCAGCCAATAACCAACCCACCAACCAACCCACCAACCAACCAACCAACCAACCAAGCACCCTAGTGATAAAAAAACAAAAAACACACGGCCCTAGGGGAAAAAACAACCAGACACCGGATCCCGGATTTTGGAGCCAAACGAAAAAATCCCAGCCAATAACCAACCCACCAACCAACCCACCAACCAACCAACCAACCAACCAACCAAGCACCCTAGTGATAAAAAAACAAAAAACACACGGCCCTAGGGGAAAAAAGCAAAGACCAGACACCGGATCCCGGATTTTGGAGCCAAACAAAAAAATCCCAGCCAATAACCAACCCACCAACCAACCCACCAACCAACCAACCAACCAACCAAGCACCCTAGTGATAAAAAAACAAAAAACACACGGCCCTAGGGGAAAAAACAACAAGACACCGGATCCCGGATTTTGGAGCCAAACGAAAAAATCCCATGGATCGGAGCCCGTGCAGCCCGCCACTTGGCCACACCGAGGGGCTTCACAGTGACGTACATGGCCTTGGCGTTCACGTCCGCCTTCGCCTCAAGGACCTCCGACACGCAAAAGCCTCAGGCGGGCGAAAAATTGGGCCCCAAGCTGAAACCCTACTTACCCCTTAAAACTCCCTGCGCCCTGGGGAAGTTAATCTTTTACAGACATGTAGCCCATGTTACCCAACAAGTTGAAAAGTTGTGTTGTTAAGAGGTAAGCCTAAATGGAACCAAGGACTAAAACCTGCCAATTCCTGGTGGCATTAAATATTTTTGACCCATAGGTGAGTCATCATCAAAACCGATCGGTACAAAAATGGTGAACCCAGAACCATGTAAGGAATAATGAAGGCGGATATCCGCAACTATTTCCGGCTGGGACTGCCCCTTACTAACCTTCATCTACCCCGGTTTTGATTGTGGCTCAGGTGGAATGGGATGCTTCCCCTGGAAGATTGCGGGATTTCCAGCCATGGAAACGAAGGCATCCCAGGACCCCCTTGGTTGGATTTGGGTTTGAGGTTGCCAGCTTCTATCGCATAACCTGCTTGGTGGATTTGGAGTGCGGTAGCCCTGGCTCTTCCAGGGACAAAAGGGAACCACACCTCCAAAGCGCCGGCTTGGCTCCAAACCACCGAGCTTAGGCCCCGGGCTGGGGGAAGAAAAAAACAGAGCTGAACATGCTGGGGTCCGGGCTGGGGAAAAAAAATAAAATACAACATATATCCATTTGAGAAGCGCCCAACACCAATTAACACTATTGGCCTCTACCAACGAGCTTATAAAGGTTGATACCGGCCTTCCTACAAGCCCCATGAAATCAGGTGAGCCAGCAACACCAAAGGTCAACCTCGCCAGAGAAAGGGGTGCTCAACAAAACCGTTGAACTGCGCCGAACCGTTCGGAAAAAGCTCCTGAAACATGGCCAATGGGCTTCTCAAAATGGCGGACGGAGAACAAAAAGGAGACCAATTCATGTTGCTCTCTAAGCTTTGCCATGGATGTAGAACTCAGGGCAAAGAACACAGGGGTCGCTGAAGTTCCCTTCAAAGGTTTCAATTGACTGGAAGGGTTTCCCTTCAGAAAGGGAAAATGCCTCGGAAACCCAGGGAGTCAGGGAGTGAGTGGAGGCCAGGGAAGCCTTCGTTCCTTTTTCATCTCTAGGTCCTCCAGATTTGAGAGGTTAGAATCAGTTGGTACCGCTTCTTTTTTCTTTTTAGTCTGTTTTAGTAAGAGAACCCTCCTCCAAACAAGCGAGAATCAGGGTAGTACCCATGTTTTTCTTTTCTCTGTAGTCCGTTTTGGTTGGGGAGTCCCCCGAAAAAGGGGTGAGAAAGGGCACAGAAAGACGACCTAGATCTGCACAGGTTTGGCCAGGAGGAAGCCAGGGAAGCGAAAAGCAGACGGAACTCAGGGAGAGACACTCTGGGCTCAGCCCTGAGGCCGATTTTTTCCCCCAACAGCTGAAAGCTAGGTCGATAGGCCGAGATAGGCTGGTTCGGGCGCTGGTTCGGGGCGATTTCCGGTGAACATTCTGGAGGTTTACCTGCTTTTTCAGGGGTTTTCGAGCCACAACCTCTGTTTCAGAGACTGACACCCAACTGGACAACTGAAATCCATTATGGGCCCCCAAAACCGGCCGGCGCACCCAGTTCCAGGGGTGAGGGGGGGTTTGGTTTACGGTGGCTGGCTTTGGCTGGCGTTGGGTCCCCGGGCCATTCTGGAGCCTCGCCGCCTCCATGACCGCAAAGTGCAGCACTTGGCACCGGATCACCAGGCGGTTCTTGAACATCACCTGAGCCAAGACCCATGGGCTACTAAGATGGTCGAATGTGGGAATCAACCCCTAGTAGGTCCTCCAGTCGAGAGGTTAGAATAAGGGCACCAACTTTTTTCTGTAGTTTATTTTAGTAGGGGAACCCTCCCACTACTGGGAGACCTAGTGGTGTAATGCGGACCCCTTGTTTCAAACAATCAACCCCCTATGAATTCATTTGAGGGTGTCCCTAGGTTTCGTGGGGAATCAAAACAGTCTAGTGAGGGGTTGACTGTTCACAAGGACGTACGCAGGCTTCACACCCCACATGGCACGACTTGAAGGGAACCCACAAGGAAAACCAACTGGGAACCCACCAGAAGAACCAATCAGAAGCTCTGTGGAAAATGATCGAAATCAGGACCCCCCCGAATCGAGTCAGAATCAAAGCCTGGTATGAACATGGTCGACCATCCGACCCTTTTATTTTTGGGAATATCCTTCACCTTTATCTACCCGGGCTTTTGATTGTGGCTCAGTTTGGACCCAGAAATCAGACCCCCCGTTATATACTCTTGTGAGGGTCATCAGGGGTTAATATTCACCCAGTTGCCTAAAGGACGCAGAAATAAAAGGCTAGCCTTTTTGGCGTCATCAAGTGAGTTGTGACCTAGCCTAAACAAGGAACCGGTAAGGCATTACTTAGCCTTGTTTGGTCTTGTTTGGCGAACCCCCCGTCCTTTGGTTTGGCCATAGTTGGCTTAACGACACATTCGGTCATATTTGGCCACAAACCCCACATTCACTGCCAAAGACACCCGAAGGGATGTGGCTGTGGGTCAAAACCCTGTACCCCTGGTGAACATCAAAATAGGTGGCAAATGGACGTTCATCCACTCGAAAATGGAGCCCTAGGTTATGCCCCGTGGCCATGTAGGTCAATAAGCATTCTTGTGGCAGGCGTCCTTGGAGTATGGAGTGGAACGCCCTCTGATGACCCTGCAGGCTCCTTCTCTCCACATCAATAGCTCCTCCCTAAGGACAAGATTTCCAGAGGGACAGCTGCATGGAATCCCTCGGCATCAAGCTGAAAGGCGGAAAGGATCACTTGTTGAGCTGGCAAGCAACAACTTTTAGTTGGCACTTCTGTTGAGTGACGGTCCAGCAAGTTTGACGTGTGTTGGCCACTCAAGAGGTCAGTGAGAAGACCCGGAGACCGAACATTTGTTTGACAAAAACCTGTGTGCCTCGTTCCTCTCCCTGCCCAACGGTTTGGCCCCGGGATCCCGGCGCATCTGTGGAACTCCTGGTCCAAGGCGACTTGGTTCTTGCCCCTGAGCGCGCGGGCGAAGAAGCGTGGCGCCGTGTCTTGTTCTTTTGCCAGCCGAATGGCGCCCTCCGGGCCTCATCCTTCAAAACACAAGCAAGAGCCAAACACACTCGCTGGCCAGTCGGATATGAGCCCAGACAAGTAAAGGCAACCCAATAAGGGTTAAGAGCCAAAAGGTCAGCGATGAACATAGGAAGGATAGTAAAGAGGTGTAAAGAACAAGAAGCTCTGCTTGCCAAAAGCCCCAAAAGGGAACCAGTGGGTTCATTATTTTCTTGGAGTCACAAAATGGAAGCGTCTGGCAAAAACTCATCACACGGAAAGGGCGTCGGCCGTTGCTTGGGTGTTCGGCCAAATGAGAAAGTTGCCAGTAAGCTGGCCCACGTTTGAGTCCCCGGTTCAGTAGCCTGGTTGCCTACTATGGTGCAGCAGTGGAATTGTCTTGTTTACCTCTACATGAATTGGGCTTCCTAAAGCCAGGAACTCGGGGAGTGAGGACTTTCAAATGCACCAGGCGGGGGGATACAGGGTTTAGGTAATGTTGACCCCGGAAGTACTGGGGTGTTCCCTCCAAAAGTGATGAATCCCACTAAAAAGGGGACACCCCCAATGGTTTTATTAACCAGGTTCCCATTGTAGGTTGAAACCGGGAGTTGTCGCCTGAAGTCGGCTCTTAACAGACCTCTGGGCCAACAAGAACACTTGGTACCCGCAAAGTACAGGTATACCACATTCGAGGAGCGCCAACCTGAGTCTTAGACATGCTGCCAGAAAACACGTGAGCATGTCTTGAGAGAAGGAACAGGGGTTACTGGATGTGCCTCAAAAGTCGATCACTTTCCTGGCGGGTTTCCAGTCTCATCGAACCCATCGCCACTTTTGGTTCCCTTGAAAGGGCAATGGCCCGGAATCTCGAGGAACCCTGGGCAACCTCCAGAAAAACCGCCGAAAGCTGGCAAGGACCCACCGGTTTTGAGCCTTTTATGGTTTTGGCATTATATATGTGTCTTTAAAGCACTCCAAATAAAACAAAAACCAACAACCACTTGCCTTATTTGGTGACATGTTGCCTGTGGCCTTGAGAGCCTGAGTAATTGGTCAGGCCCTTTCCCTTTGTTGTGTTGTTCTGTTTGGGTTCAAGGAACGATTTCGACCGCAGGTGAATGGACGTCGGGACTCGGGAAACTTCAGCGTTTCTTAAACTGGGCTGTCTTCAGATCCCCTGCTCAAAGTCTAATTTTTTGGTGGGTTAAATCAAAGTCTAAACAAGGCTATTGGGATGGCTAGGAACTGCCAAGCAACATAAAAATCCTCCCAAACAAAGTGGAGCGTCCCTTTCGTTTCCCGTTAACCACACGCTAAACGCGGGTCCGGATCGCCATTTTGAGAAAAACAAATCTTCGAACGGAGCCGGACGAATCATTTGCTGCTGTCAAGCATCGCCAGGATGTTGCCTCAGTGAGACATTGGGGTACAACGTGCTGAATCACACAAAAAGCGTACCAACATCCCGAGTGAATTTCGGAGGTGCAATGTCTGCCGCCGCATTCTCTATCCGGAACCCAGGATTTATACACTAGCTTGGAGCCACTCAACACCAGGAACAAACACATTGTGCAAAAACAACGACAAGTGGTTGCACAAAAAACACAAACAAACAAACAAACAAACAAGCAAACAAGCAAACAAACAAGCAAACAAACAAACAAGCAAACACAAACAAACAAACAAACAAACAAACAAACAAACAAACAAACAAACAAACAAGCAAGCAAGCAAGCAAGCAAGCAAGCAAGCAAGCAAGCAAGCAAGCAAGCAAGCAAGCAAGCAAATTGTGTCTTGCTTGAGGATGTCCAATCTTAAAGGGAATCCCCTTCAGCTTTGAAGGGAACGCCCTTCAAAAGGTCCATGAGGTTGACACAAAGGGGTCAACATAATATTGGCGGGCCTGGGGTTTCATGTGAAATGCTGACTCCAGCAACTGCTTGCTCCAAAGCGCTGGAAATCCAGGCACTTTCCCTGGATTTTCCGCGAGTCTTTGTTCCCCCACTTCTGTCCAGCCTAGAATACCGGATGAATTGAAGCTCGGTCCATCCATTCTTTGCTCCTTCGGCCCCAACCTGAAGCTATCGACAAGTGCCAGCCAACACCAATGCCGCTGGGCAACTCTTGCGGCGGCGCAATCAAGGCAGGAACCCTCCAAACAGGATCGAGCGAAGCAAACTTGAAGGACCAGGGTACGTAGATGGGTTGTAAACCTGATAACCCACGGGCCACCCACGGTACCTGACCCTAGAACGATCCATCGCTGGCCGTGTTGAATCAACGACCAGGCCCAGGCGCTCAACGTCTCTCGACACCGGAGCACCTCCTGCGTCTCGACAAACACGCTTTTGGGAGTCGTGTTGCATACTGTGGATCCATGTTTGAAACCATTCTTGGTTGGTACTTAAAGGAGAATCATGACAAACCAGGATTTCTTAAGTTGGAACGGACTTCGTCCATCCGCGGTCGGGCGGCTATCAAAGGTTGGCGTTTTTGCAGAGATTGGGAACCCCAAACTGCTCACTTCCGAGCGAGCGGATGGGCCAAAAAAAAGCAACCAAACCGCTTATTTGCCACTAAAATGGACCCTGGACCCAAAAGGCGTCCCTCACCGGCTGAGTGGATGGCCCCAAGAAAGTAACCAAACTTTAGATTTGCCACTAAAATGGTCGTCTCAAAAGTTTAAAGTTCATGAACTCAGGAAGTCAGGTCCAGAGTAGTGAGGCTAAAATTATTTCCTCAGTTCTCTCAAGAAAGACCAAGAGTTTCAAAGTACGCTAAGGGGAGCGAGGTCCAGTTGCCCATCCTTGGCCCCCAGAGTCACTAGGTTCCAACCGCCCTGATCTGACTGGGACCATTACTGACATGGTTCCCTGTCTTTCCCGTTGAAACATCACCCCTGCCCCGAAAGGGACATCCAGCAGGCAAGATGGGAGTCGGATAAGTTTTTTCCTGCAGCTGACCGGAGTTTCTCAGCCCCCTCCCAAAAAATCAAAGAAAACCTCTGCCAACCAGAAGTTGTGGATCGCCAACTCGACAGGGCCTACAGGGTGATCTCGACCCACCAACATCTACTCGGTTGCTTTCTGCTCCCCTGCTAAAAGTTTAACTTCTACCCGTTTAATGGAAAACCCACGAGTTGGCAAAAAGTTAAAGTCCCAACATCCAAGCTACATGCAACAAAGTCTAAACGGGTGTGTACCCTTGGCTCGCCATGTCCAATGGTCCAAAGACATGAGCCATGTCCCCGCGCGGGAACCGCCTTCTGCTCTAAGCGGGTGCTGGTCTGCATGTCATTCACCGTCAACACCCCCTCCACCGTACTGCGCCGCGACCACACTTGGGACTCAGAGCGGCCCCCGCCCGAAGCCCCCAGAAATCTGCATGAAAGACCTGATCTGGGTTGCTCTGCCTGCCTTGTACATCCAAACCCACGGAAAAAATGGAGGTTCTGGTTTTAAGGCTATATATATATATATATGGCCAAGAAACCGGGTTTTCGAGACAAATCCGCCTTGTTTTGTGGGTTTTGATGTAGAAAGTGAGCAAAAGGTCCAGTCTGACCTTTTTGTCTCCGGGGCCATCTGTCACACCAAAGATCATGCCTATAACAGGCAACCCGGGTGCAGGAAAGTGGAAGGGTACTTGGTAAGTAGTTGGTAGCCATGTTTACAACCCACTGGGCTAGAACCATGCTTACTTTTGCTGCCCTTTCTCACGCGCCTTTTGGGGACCCAGAAATCAAAGGCGATCACCTTTTGGGGTGACGAAAAATGGGAACCCAAAAACCCAAAGTTTGGGTACCTAAAATGGAGCAAATGGTCCATATCCTGGTGGTTTAATTTTGACCATTGTCCAAGTGAGGGACACAACAAGGTCAGATCAATCTGTCAACTCGCCGCCCGTATCGATCGACCATCTAAGCGTCAGGCATCGGTGTGGCCGCGGGACGGAGCATTGAGGGCAGTGCCGCCGCTCGAGGTGCTCAAATCCTGCACATGGATAATTTGGCAGGATAATGTTGTTGGTCGTGTTTCATTGGTTTGGTAAGTTTTGATTGTTTTATCGGTTTGGCGGTGGGTTTTTTGGTCGTGTTTCATGGGTTTGGCAACGGTTTTTAGGTAGCGTGTCATGGATTGGCAGGTGCTAACAGCGGGCTTGGTATGGTTGGGGAAACTGACCGATCCAGGCCTCTCAATAAGTGAGCCTGCAGGAAGGTCACTCAAGAAGTCAATTGGTCGGCGCGGAAATCGGACATTGGGGCATTCCAGGTCAAAGCCTCGTTGCAATCAATAAAACAAGCATCCAATAAGGGCACCCGCCCACAAACAAACAACATGTTGGTCCAAAAAGGACCACTTTCGAAAGGACCACTTTCGATTCAAACAAGCGCAACACACCTATTTTTGACTGGCACACCAACTTATTTCCGGGTGCTTGCGAGTTGTTGTGTGGGCGGCCCCGTTCGAAGTCGAAGTCCAAGTCGGCCCCGCCGGTCCGTGTGGCTCTTCCGCAAGGTCTTCGGCGCCGGCGCCGGGCGCCGAGGAGGCGAGCTGCCGGAGGACATGACATCGAAGCGGTTCACTTCGATGTGAGGAAGATTTTGGAGATGCCCGAAGCTTGGTCTGGTTTTTTGGTCTGGTTTTTTGGTTGCCGTGGCGGGATTTTGGACCTAAACGAATTGGGGAGTGTTGGGTTTGGTACGCAGAACTCGGGGGTTCCCCGGTCCGAAGCCGTACCACACCCAAGCTGTGAGTTTGGAGCTGAAACCAAAATCCGACCCTTGGGGTGTTTGGATAAGACCAGCGGTGTTTGGACGAGGGTTGCTCTAAGACTTAGAATTTGTTGAGGTCGAGTGGATCTTGTGTGGGAAAAGCCAGTGAAGCTTGCTTTGCCCCTTGGGGTATTGTAGTGGACTCAGTGTTGTTTAGGTGCTGGATGATCTGCCCTCGAACCCAGGGGTCATCTACGATTTGGGGGAATGCAGAAACTCTCAGGATGCTGGAAGACTTCGGACAACATGTTGACCAAATGGCCGGTCTCGGTTGCCAGCTCCATCAAACGGCTGGCAGATGGATTTATCCTCCCACAATGTCCATGGGGTCTAGCGGGCCCAAGCAACATGCGACATCTCCGACAATTGCTACACTAACCTGTCATGTTGCATATCCAATTGTCGACATGTTGTGTTGTTATAAATATAAAAATATTGCTACATTTCCATACATTTCACGTTCTGTTGCATTTACATCAATTCTCCCACTCGATTTGGCTGTGGGTCAAAAACATGTACAACAATGGCAACTTGCTAAATGGATACTAAAACCTCCGCAAGCCTAGGTCTTTCATTTTGAGCCACACCCAGCTGAAGGCTCGATTTTTGTTCTTCTTCCGACTCAACGGGTTTTACCCTGGATCCAAATGCTGCAAAGTCCGAGGTTGGAGAGCAGTCTCCAGCGCCGGCGAGCAGCCCTGTGGTCTCACTGATGCAGTGGATTGGCCCAAAAAGTTACCATGACTGTTCAGTTCCCACTAAAATAGTCCAGCAACTCAGTCCAGCAACTCAGAGAGTGAGTAGTAACCATGATTTTGGACAATATTGTTGGCCCATGATTAGTGACTAAACTTTTAGTCAATATGTTTGGCCCATGATTGTTCAATGAGTCACTAAAATGGTCCAAGCCCAACAATAGTGCCTCAAGTCCAGTCCGGCAACTCAGTGAGTGAGTAGCAGGTGATCCTCCGTTGTTTTTGTGTTTGTTTTTGTTTGGGTTTTTCTACACTGGGTTTTGCCATGAAGGGTGTTCCCAAAGTACGCGTATCGAATTTTCTAAATGCTAGATTCCCATCTTCTGTTGCTTTGAACCGGGCCGGACTTAGACGGACCCAACTTTTCGCCAAGGGAAATCACTTGCTGGCGCGATAGCTAGGGAATACCCGAGGCCGGGAGTGACCGAGTTTGGGCGTTCCCGAATAAAGGAAACCACAGGATGGATGGTTATTTGGGCTGAGAACCAGCAAGTTGCGCCGAGAAACCGTGTGATCCTCACATCGCATTCGCAAGGGAACTTGTACATACCTCATGCTTACAATTCGACTGCCAGCGGCGTGGTGTTGCTTGAACAAACAAACAAGCAAGCAAGCAAGCAAGCAAACAAACAAACAAACAAGCATAGTTCAAACAAACACAGCAAACACAAGAACAGGACAAACACACGTAACGAAGCAAACAGTTCAATCGGTAGTGACATCAAAGTGGTTGACTCCCGCCCTTCACGAGGGCTAGCCAAGGAGATGGCCAGAGCTTGCCGCAACTACACAGTTGCAAGGCAAGCCACGAAGGCTTAAACAGTGCGTTCCCCTGGTTGCCCAATCTGGGTTGCTCCAACCCCTTAGCAAAAGGCCGCTAGACCTTTTGCTGGAAAAGCCATTTGTGTCCAAAAGGTCTAAGGGGCTCTGGTGATTGTCACGAACCAAATAGAAGATGATACTCAGCCTAGACCTAAGAAACCCGCTGGCCATGTTTTGTTCTGAAACCTCGAAGTGCAGACTCATTGCAAATATATAGATATATATATATATATAAAAACTCAAGCATGAGCAGAACGGTAGACTGCTTGCAGTCTAGCAGGCAACCCGGTCCTTACCCATACCTAGAACTTCCTGCGGCGGAAATTTCTGCCGCAACGCATTGCGGCGGAAATTCCCGCCGCATTCCAGAAAATCAGCCGCAAACCAAACAAAACGCCGCAACCAAAACAAAAACGCCGCAACACCGTTTGCCTTCCGGGAATTTCAGCCGCATTCCCGCCGATTTCCGCCGCATTCCCGCCGATTTCCGCCGCAAATCGGGGGGTAGAAAAAACTGAAAACAAGTTCTGCCGCAATTCTTAAAAAACGCCGCAAATCAGGAAGAAATGCCGCAAATCCAAAAAGGCGCCTTTTTTGATTTGCGGCAGAAATTTCTGCCGCAACGAATCTCTAGGTATAGGCCCTGCTGCTTTGGGTAGCTTTTGATGCCCCAAAGCAACAGGTGTTACGAAAGGCAACCCTTGCAAAAACAACCGAAATGCAACCGGCAACTCAGTGATGGGATCCTGGATGCCTCGGGATCTGGTTTGGTTCACCTCAAAGCCATGGTGTTAGTTTCCCTTCAAAGCCAGAAAGTAAAGGTCCCCCAAAAAAAACAGAACCCAATTATTCAGTTGCCAGGAAATCAAGACGCCAAGTCTCACTTCCGATGTGGATTAGCACAACCTAAGCGTCCTGATGGATTTTGGGGCTTCAAGAGTGAACTTGGGGTGTGGTAACCTCTAGGCAACTGACGCACTTGATTGGTATGGGCTTCCTTGCAAATTAAGCTGATGGTTTGCCTCAAATCCCCAGAAAGCCAGGTTTCCATTTAGTCCCTTCAACACAGCCCCATTTGTGGGGTACCCTCAAAAAAGGTACACACCTAGGTCCTATCCTTTGTAGGGTCTGCAAGGAGAATCTTCGGTTCAACCAGGAAAACATGTGTGGTTCCCTCTGTCAGGGGTGAAGCACCTTCCGGACTTTCTGGACGTACTTGCTGGGCTTGGACCATTCTAGTCCAGCCGGATCCCGATCACTGCTTTTTGGTTGCCATACAAACGAGATGTTGGACCGGGTCTGTCAATTGTGGCTGGGTATACAAAAAGCTTCGGATGGTTTCTTGCCGAAGGGTCTTGGGGCTTGCAGAACCCGGGGCCCGTACCTTCCTTTCGTGGCTTCCCACTCCTGACGAGTCCCTATTCTTACGCCTTAAAAAACTCCAAGGATTGGGGAAGTTCTCATCTTTTACAGACATGTCGCCCAGGTTACCCCCAACAAGTTGAGACAAGTTTTGTGTTTTTTCAGAGGTAAGTATTCTCTTCCCGCAGGGGACAAAGCCGGAAACCTCCCAGCGCATCCCAGGCGCCACCACAGACCCCGCCGAACCAGGCCCCCGCACCGCTGCCACCGCTGCCTGGCGGCTCATTGCATTGTTTGAAGACCGGGGGAGTCGCAGGGGGGTCCTTTCCAGGGCGCACTTCCGGAGTGGATTGAACGCATTGGCAAAGAAACAACCAAAATTTGTTGTGTACCACTAATAAAAAAAAAAAGATATAACCAAACAACCCAACATATCCTGAGTGAACTGGCAAAAACTACGAAACTTGTTGTTTACCACTAAACTTGTCCAAGCACCCAACAAATGACTAAAGTGGGAACCTGAACTCAGGAAGTGAGATACTGATTCAGAGTGGCAAAAAGCCATGTGACTGTAGGCCCCCAAACTCACCAGGCTGCAATGACTCTGTCGTTTTTTGGGGGACAGCCTGTTAGGTTGGTTTAAAAGGGAAACCAACAGCAAACCAGTATTTTAGGAGGGGGGGCCCTAAAACTGCCAGACCCGCATATGATGTGTAATAGTGCCCCTGAGAATGGATAAGTTCTTCGCCCCTCGAGCGCCCATAGATTTGAAGCCAAAGGGAAACAACACAGCACCCACATGGCGAGCTTCAAGCCAACGAGATCCGAATCGCTCCAGAAAAAGAAGAGAAAAAAAACGCGCTCCAGAGAAAAAAAAGGAACACAAAAAAAAAAAAAAAAACGCGCTCCAGAACACACAAATCCAAGTCCGGCCGGTGTCCTGAGCTCCTATGCAAACACGTCTTCCATGAAACACCATGGACCTAAAGACCTGGGACGCGCGGAGCTATTGCTCAGTGACCCTGGGAAAAAAAGGGAACCCTTTTTTGGGGCTTGGACCATTTTTAGTGGTTGGCAGCCACCAACAAAAAAGGGGAACAGCGGTTTGCCGGAAATGCTGAAGAGAGTCGGGCAGCAACCAGGGTCTCCAAGCATTGCCACTCCCAGGCTCCCGCAACCAGTGCTCATGTATTGCTTTTGCATGCTGCCTGGCAGGGTCCGTCCTCAAGAACCCTCCCCACAACAGTTCAGGATGTGCCGAGCCGTATTCAGGCTCAGAGCTTATGTATTGAGCCGTTTTAAGGCCAAAAGCCAAATAAGGCACCATAGCCATTGAAGGAGTCTTTGGGGCAATGCCCCAAAGACCCAGTTGGGCTGCCAATCCCAAACGGAGCTGGCAACAGCAGCAATCAAAGAATCCGCGGCGTTCCCAAAAGATACATCCAAAACCATGCAGATTCACAACACAAAAAGAAATATTGAGAAAGCTCTGACAAACACGTTCTCCTTTTCTTCCTCAGCCTTTGCCCACAATTAACTATGCTTCATTTGTTGGGAGTGTGTTTTTGAGGGTGCCCTTTGGGGGTGGCTAAAAGGGAGCACACGAGGATTTCGCCGATTTTCCGCGGCTATTCTGGCTCCAGTTTGACACAAATGCCGATTTAGTGAAGATCGCTCAGATCCCAACCTTGGTGTGTCTTGCAAGCCTGAACTGTTGGCTTTGCGGGGCCCGGAAACCATCAATGGTTGTCGAGGTCCTCCGGTAGAGAGGTTAGAATAAAGGTACCCTTTTTCTCTAGTCGATATTAGTAGGGGAACCCTCCCCCCAAAAAAGCGTAAACGCGCACTGGGGGA